AGTTATACCTAGTCTATTAATTACAGTTTCCAATATTCACAGCCACTTTTGGTTAGATTTTGTACAAATGTTATTTTCCATTTTATGGTACGATGTGGTATGTTTGGTTTGTGTATAAACCTAGTATGCTTGAAATACATGATTTATAATGGGGAGGCTGAGATTTGTGTTCTGGACTCAACAGACAAAAAGAAGGACCGTTAAGGATTCTAGACTGCTGGAACAAGTTTTATGCGTCATTAGTCCGGTCGATAATTCACTGTTGTCTAATTAGCAGTAGCATTACGTTAGATATTAAAAGGTCACAAAATTGAATGAAAATAAAATAAAGGCGATTATGTCAATGAATGAGTTATGTTTAATCTTACAATTAAGTAACAAACTGAAAAGAGTTAGGTCATCTTTTTTTTGTATGTGAATTATGTTACTCTTGATAGTGTGGAAGATTTCCTTGTGCAAAATGATCATCGCAACGATGTCAATTCACATCCTGATCAACATGAATAAATTAAGATCAAGAAATGAAGTTAAAAATTTTAAAGTGATATAAAATTAAATAAACAGACAAAAAATGATAATGACGGATAGTGGCTAGCAGTGGAATCCAGGACAAAGTGCGTTCCGTCCTATTTGGGATTCGTCAACTGGATGTACCTGCATCTCAGAGTTGATGTTCACTCTGTGACTCCAACCCAGTATCATTCGCTTCAAGCGCTATCGCGTTATCCACTCAGCTACTGAGTCCTGATAGCCACTTGCTTGTGCAATGGGGTGAATTTAAATTCACTTGGTATTGTTTGGCTTGTATCTTCCCATTGAGGTTTAAGACTGCAATTGATCAGTCTGTGGACATCAACTCTGAGATGCAGGTACATCCAGCTGACGAGTACCAAATAAGATGAAACGCGCGTCCTGGATTCCACTGCCAGCCACCATCCATCATTGCTTACAAAAAGCTTGCGAATTAAGACAATATCGAGGCATACACACAGTATGCACATATGCCAATAAGAGACTGGTCAATTACAGTCTTAAACTTCAATGGGAAGATACAAGCCAAACAATACCAAGTGAAAAATTGATAATGACAGAAAGGAGAATCATACACACACACATATATCACACCAGATATTCTCTAGTGTGTAAATGTTTTATTTAGTTGCATAAATTCCAGTTTCCTTCCCTGTATTTTTTTATATATAAAAATGAAACTAAGTACTAATGAACCCAATTTCTGTTAAACGGGTAAACTCTAAACAGATCAAATGTTTGGTTAATTTACTTACCACCCCCTAAACAGTTACTTTCACGATCAACAAATGATTCCTTAACGGTACTTCAAACAATTCTGTTTCTATAGTAAACCTTTGTTTTTCTTTCTCTTTTAATCTAACCGTTTGAAGATAGTGTTTTTGTGTTATTCATAAATATTGTAAAATAAGAACTAGTGTTCAGGTAAAACATTGTTTTTGTTATGAAATAAAAATTTAGAAAATTCAGTTTAGAAACTTTTCTTCTTAACTAAATCATTTACTTAGGGTGTAAAACTCTATTTATAACTAGACGATAAATATATATGGGTATATAAGAGAATAAAAATAAATTATACAATAAACTGATCCAAAATTTCAAATGTCAAATGAATGTTTAGTGATAATCTAGAGGTTATATGAGAATAGGTGAGGGGTGAGAATAATTTATTGGTTAAAAATATGCAAAACTAATGTTAGTTTTACAAAACTAAAGAATAAATAAGAATCGTAGAGGCTTTAATAACAATTGTCCCTACTAGTAACTAAGTTATGAGCGGAAATTTTCCGAGCTTTAATGGAAAATTGTAAACACTGGAGTATAACCATGTCGAGTGTGAAGCAATTACCCACTAAAGACAATTGAAGATGGTTGATTGAGGTTAAACACTAAAATCACTGGATATCGGCTTAGTGGTGTAGAGCTTGCGCGTTTGTGCACAAGATTAGCGGTCTTGGGTTCACTCGTTTGTGACGAAGCCATGGATGCGCACTTCCGAATAATCCAAAACTAGGAAAAAACAGCCGTTTGGTGCTTCCAGGTTTACAATGGTTGATCAACTTAAATGGGTTCAGGATTCTAATGCAACTGAATTATAAACATAAAAAGTTGTTAAAGGATAATAATAACGTATTACAGTTTGAAAAATAGTATCTTTAAAAAATAATAGTATTTTGCAACACTTGCACACGGAAAGATGAATTTAAATTTTATACAGAAGTGGAAACAACAACTCACACTTACTACATAAGGTATAGGAGAATATATCTTTAGACCAAAGACAAGAGACTGATCAATTGCAGTGCTAAACATCAATGGGAAGATTCAAATAAACAAAACCAAGTGAATTTGAACTTCACTCCATTGCACAAGAAAGTGGTTATCAGGATTCAGTAGCGAAGTGGATAACGCGATGGTGTTTGGGTTGGATTCTCAGAGTGAACACCAACTCTGAGATAAAAGTATACCCAGCTGACGAATCCCAAATAGGACGAAACGGGCGTTCCATACTCTACTGCTAGCCACTATCCATCTTTGTTTATATGCAGTGACATACCTTTTTCGTTTTAACGAAATGATATATAATTCGGGTGAAATAGCGTAAAAATGGACATATATAAAAATATAAGCCATATGTTCAGAAAAGGTTTTTTATTTGAAATATAGATTAAGCCATTTCATTATTTGGATAATGAACATTTTTCAGTATGTTTCTTGTTCAGTTAAAAAATAGTGTACATCTGTAGTGCTGTATAAAAATCTCTATAATCTATAACCAGATTGATGGTATACTGAAACAGAAAAGGCTATACTCCAGTACTTTAGAGTACCAATGACCTTCTAGTATTTTCGGTAATATTACCATCATTACAATCACTTTATGGATTCTTTATGTAATTTGGAAGACGTTTAATCCAGTGTGAAGATAAAAGAGACAAAATTTTAAATACATTTATTTGATCTGTTATGGCTTATATCTACCCGTTGTTGATGTTATGAACTGCAGTTAATCAGTGTCTTTTGGTATATTTTTTATCCAGAAAGGACTGTCTCGATATTATCATTAAGCCAGAAGATTTAATTATCGTTAAAATTGTGGCAGTACTGAGGTCAGGGAAGTCTATTTCATAGAATTCAAAGTGCAACTTCATTTTAATGTTGATTTCTGTACTTTAGTTGTTCAATTTCAGTCTATGAAATCGATAACGGTCAGATTAAAACCAACCTCAATTAACAATCCAGTGGTATTTGTACTTAAAAATTCAATGAGTAATGCATTGGATATTAGAGTTCTTGTGTGAGTGTCAACACAAAAATATGAATACATTCAGAAGGCTAGCTCGAAGTAGGACGAATCGCACTTCTTAGACCTCACTAATGAAAAATATTCTAGCTTTAATTAAAACTTCTGGTGTACCTGATTGAAAAACAAGAGACTATATTAAATACATTGTTTTCTCTCGTATTAATCACTATTGATCAAATATCTTATTAAACCAATAGTCTCAAATATGTTGAAACTGTTAAGCAACCCTTTCAAATATATTTGGAGCAAATACTTTCTGTATGACATGAAAACACAGCTGAAATATATTGAGTGGTAGATAATGCAAATATTAAATACCGGAAACTATACACATGTACATTACCATGAATACAAGTTCTATTTTACATAAAGATTAAATAAATGATGGTAAGGTTAATTCTGTACCTTAATCGACTTAAAAGAACACAACTGAATCCGACATCTTAAGTCACGTTCGAGAAAGTATCCTTCAGTTGTCGAGTACTGTTCACAGATCGCGTTGTAATGCCTTCAGACAATAGTTCTATACCTTAATATTTTTCCTGAGAACAAATGGAGAGGAAACTTAAATTGATCAATAATCTATTGTGATATATCAGTGTTCACGTTGCTGTTACAAAATCCAAGTTTATGAAAAAGTGCATTATATGTTAATATTTTAATTGTAAACTTTCTACATTAATTAACACAACTATCAAATTGTTTTCTCTGAAATGTTTATATATATAGATTTAATTCAAGAAGTATACAGGATATGGTGTTTGCTTCAATAGAGTTAATTAATTCTAAAGTTGAATAAGTTTGTTAAGCAAATTATTAATTTAATGACCTCTTTATGCAACATATTACAAAATGGGAGTATAGCTTACATTAGATTCCGTCGGACAATTATTAGTGAATAAATAGTTGAAGTCATGAGTCATTTAGAACTAGACCACCATGGAAAACCTGAAAGTACTGGACGGCCGTTTCGTCCTATTATAGGACTCCTCAGCAGTGCCCATCTATGACTCCACCCGCAGGATCCGAACCCAGGACCTGTCGGCATTTAACTGTGTTAATATCTAAATTCAACCAATCCATGAAATTGCGCCGCCGTCCACCATTGTCTTCAATGAGTTGTTATCTCATAACAGACCCGGTTGGACTACATTGGTCACTGCTTCCCAGCAGAACTTCATCAAATACCTCTTGGAGACAGTGCTTCTACTGCCGCCTGGTTTTCCATAGTGATCTAGCTCTAGATGACTCATGAATTCAACCATTAAATCACTATAATATTTACAAAACCCCTTTCTGATTATAAATATTAGTGAGTGATTTTCAATTTAATGCTGATATTGTTCTAGGAATACAGAAACAGTTGATTTAAATTCTGTTAACATCACAGATTAACATCAGTTAAAAGATGTTAAATGAGAATAAACAGCACTGAATAACTGTTTCTTCCTTATCTGAAATTTTTCAACAGTTTCTATGTCGACAATTTATAAATGTCAAAACCAGTTAGTACATGGTTTATGGATAAAGTTATTTCAGAATTTATTATTCAAATATATTACCGGTCTAATATAATATTTAAAATACATTCATTTCAATTATATATATTGAATCATTTTGTAATTGTTTATTCTGATCTTTTTTATGATTCTTTTACAAACAGAAATCAATCCTGATCGTGAAAGCAATTCACCGAGTATCGGTAAGTGAACACTGGTTCTCCGTACTTGGCTTTTGTTAGTTGTTAGTTTTACAAACAAACATATATTCCTTGTTCATTAACTTAATTAAGAATTTCACATATTTATCTGCTAAGTATTATATATTATTCAGTAAACTGACTAGTTTGTATTGAGATTATAAAAATATGAGATGTATTCAACTTTATCGTAATAAATAATAATCTAACTGGGCTATCTCTGTAATTGTCAATGGTCCTAATAAGGCAGATTTTCCCATTTAGTTTTCAAATACCAATGTCTAACGTTGTTTAGTGAATCAAATTTTTTCGCTTTTGAATAGCTGTCGAGTGGAGTAAAGGTTTATATAGTTCACCGTCTGACTTACTTACGCCTGTCACTCTCGATGGAGCATAAGCCACCGACCAACATTCTCCAACCCACTCTGTTCTGAGCCTTGCTTTCTAGTTCTATTCAACCGCTGTTCATTCTTCTCATATCTGTCTCCATTTTTTGGCGATGAATTATATATCAAAGTGGGCAGCGAATAGATATTTCGAGGAATAAAATCATACATTATTAAGATCAGTATTATGTATAGTTTAGATTTGCAGTGCTTCAAATTGCCTGAAATCTAAAAGTTTGAATTAGTGGATTCTCTACAGGACGTTGTGTACATTGGTTAGCAGAAACCTACCACGTTTTTTATCGATTGAAAATTGTAACAAAACGTTGATGACATTTGTCTGAATCTTAACAAATATTCAGCTAAATAATGTGTCTTGTTCCGCAACCTCAGATTGATAATAAATCAACGTCTTGACGAAACCAGTAGACTTTCGTTCAATGTATCTAAACAATCTAGACATTGAGAAGATACCTTAGAAACTCACATTTCCTAGCCTTACGTATGACTGGGAGTAAAATATTCTTATACCAGTGGTAAATAATTACTGGGTTTGTTGTGTATGCATGTTACCATTTCAATGCTATTAGTGTTAACAAAATTTTAGGTAATTACAATATAAATACACAAAACACTTTCTTTGTGAACACCAACCGCAACTATTATGATACTAATTACTGAACAATAGTGAAACAGTAAACAGTCTAATTAGTTATAACATTTCGAAGTAATTTACTGATCAAAGTAAAGTATGATGACTTATATCATGAACTGAACTCGGGAACCACTGCTTATCTTCAAGGCTCTCGTGAGAAGCCATAACAAGTGGAATTCAGTGAAGTAGAGTGTGAAGCAGTTACCCACCAATGACGTTTAAACTTTTTGCACAGTATCGCGATTTGATAGGAATTTATAATATATGCCATTGAGTGACTGCTCAATGGTTTAAAGATTAATCGATTGTCACATGACCTGAAGGTCTTGACATCAATTCCCTATGAGGTCGTCGAAGTGCATTGCTAAGGATTCTAAGAACACAATCAGATATCTTTAAATTGCTTGCTGGTCTTCAATGCTTATTTGGCTAAGGTCAATTCATAGTGTTAACTATGAAACTCAACAATCTCAATAAGTCACTTATACTAAAATATTATAAACTAACAATTCTTATATTCCAGATTGTTTTTTTCTTAATAATTATCATTCAATTGTAATAATAGATGAGACTCCTGAATGTCATTTATCTTAGCCTTTATTTTGATCCAACACTTTTTTAGTGACCAAAACACAGATTGAAAGCTTATGAAGGTTTTTTTATATTTTATTTTGATTGTTATACAGATGTAGATAAAACTACATTATGATTTATATATCATTATGTATCCACCAATCATTAGATGTATCTGTGGAAACATCTTATCTATGACGATATATATGTTTTAAAAGAATAAATATAAGATAGGAAAACATAACAATATAGATATATTCTAAATGATTTCATCCTATACACGATTCCTGATAAGTTTTATTTACATTAATCATTCTAATCACTTATAATAGTTTATTTTTTTAATATACAGAATAACTAGTTACATGTATATCTTTAGACATTTAAAAATAAACAGTGAGTATTACTTGTATCATATGATAGTTAATGTTTAACAGAACTGAAATTTTGACATTTTCATTTTCTGAGCTGGATGGTATATTTGTGAGGCTTTTATGTTTTTCTGAATAGTAACATCAATACAAACTTCATCAAAATCATCCATCTGAGATAAAAATCTCGGTAATCTTATAAAACTGTATATATATATATATTACGTGATTGAAATCCTGAGCCGATCTAAGTTTGACAACCTACGGAAATCTGAAAACACTGGACCACTGTTTCATCGTATCATAGGACTCTTTATCAGTGAGCGTTCTCGACCTCGCATATGGGAACCAGACATAGGAACTTTGGTCTAGCGAATGAACGCTTAATCTCTAGACTACTTAATTATTTATCTCATATTCAACGGAAATAGTGTTTTTGAAACGAAAGTCGACACAGAAATGTGTTAACAAACACATTGTTGTAAAAATAAAATCAACTATTTTTGAGAAAACGAATTTGTTGAAATTATCAAATTTGAAGTTTATTAGAATTATGAATTGACCGTCACTACCAATGTTAGTGTCTTCTTCAAGAATTTGTACAAATCTTATATTCAGGTAATTTATATGTTCATTCATGACCAACTTTCAGAAGAATCCTTAACGTCCATAAGAGAAAACATGACTAGTTAAATACAATCATCTTTTGTAAAGCGCAGTTAATAATAAATATTAGTTGTTTGATTTCGTGTATTGAATAAGTATTTTAAGGTATATGTATATCGAAAGCTCAAAATGTTAGCAAACTAATACCAACTTAGTGGTCCAAATGAGGCATGCATCCACTCAGTTATTGATGTTTTAATAAAAGACCATCACTGCAGCATACAATGCCATCTTTCTAATGAACCGTCGTTTTCGATAATAGCTTAGTGAACGAGAACACAAGTGGCGACATTCGAATGTAATCGAATACAAAACTACAAAACATCTTAGTAAAATCTGAGAACCATACAATAAATTCTTTATTCGCAAAATGTCAATCAGCTGTCTCAAACTTAACTGTTCATTTCGCAGATATCAGTTACTCGTCTCAGACCTCTCTGTTCAGTCATTTCCACAGAAATCATTCTTTGTTCTCGTTCTCTTTTATTGGTCTTCTCAACCTTCTTCCTTTAGGCGCTTCACCTTCGATTGATAATACATACTACTTATATCTATTGACATCAGTAGCACGCGCTACAGTAGTCAGAGTCAGTATGTTAAGTAATTACTATAATTAACTTAGAAGTATATTTGCGGTAAATATTATCATCACTTGGAACAAAATTACGAAATAACCTTTTAATACGACTTGAACTTCTTATGAACTATTTCAAATATTTTCTTATCTCATAAGTTTATTTCATTTATAAGCATCACACATTTTTATTTTTAAAAAGATAAAAAATATAACTTTTAATAAAATATAAGTCTGTGTGTGTTGTGAGCTACTGATGTCGATAGATATAAGTAGTATGTATCATCAATTGAAAGTGAAATACCTGGCAACACGAGATTAAGAAGACCAAAGAAAAGAGAACACGAACAGTAAATCATTGACGTGGAAATGAAGGAACAGTGATATCTGAGACCATTGATTTGCAAAAAGAACAGTCACGTATGAGATAATTGAATGACATTTGGCAAATTATCTATTTACTGTATAGTAATCAGATATTCTGCAATATTTTTATTCAAATACATTCTATTGTCACCAAATGTGTTCTCGTTTAATAAAAGTGTAATAATATTAAACTTTCTATGAAAGTATTTGTACTTTTAATATGTTAAGTATTTTTTTTGTTGTTGATAAAAGTGCACGTATTACATGAACTTAACAAAAGAAAACATATTCATAGTTATAAATCTCCACTGTTCTCACAATTGTTAGTTGACTAAAATAAACAAATAAAAACATAGAACCTGTCAATGTTATTTAATGTAACCAACAAATGGAAAACTAGTAAATACATTATTATTATATTAGATAGCTTGTTTACAATTGAATTCAATAAAATTAACTAGGTAGATCCGTATGAACACTCGACGATGTAATCATCCTTTTAGAAATATTTCATTCAATATAGTTTTCCATCCCCATGATATCTATTAGATTATTCGCTTTATAATGGATTGTAAAGTAATTATTACTCACTGTAATGTTTAAATTTAATCTTCGTATTGATATTTAGGACTGCAACTAATCAGTCTCTTGTTGACATATGTGCATACTGTGCGTATTGCCTCAATATTGCCTTACTTCCCAAGCATTAAAAGTAAAGATGGATAGTAGCTAGCAGGGGAATGTGGTTTGATGCTCGTTTCGTCCTCATCGAACTCGTCAGCTGGATGTACTTGTATCTCGAAATTGATGTTTAGTCTGGGACTCGAACCCAGTACCGTTCGCTTCAAACTCCATGACGTTATCCGCAATACATACAGTATGTACATATACCAATATGAGACTGATAAACTGCAATGCTAAACATCAATGGGAAGATTTAAGCAAGCAATACAAAGTGAATTTAAAATTCACGCCGTTGCAAAAGCAAGTGGTTATCAGGACTCAGTAGCTAAGTGGATAACGCGATGGTGTTTGAAGCGAATGTTACTGGGTTGGAGTCCCAGGGTGAACATCAACACTGAGATACAAGTTTATCCAACTGACGAGTCCCAACTAGGATGAAACGCGTTCCTCGGATTCCATTCCTAGCCACTATCCATCTTTGCTTATAACACTGTCGTGTTTCTTTAGACCTTCAAGTGCTGATCAAATCTTATTCTCATACTTGTCGTTAGTCGTTCCCCAAATACCTTTCTAGTAAGTTCTTAGTCTGTGACGCTGGGTATCACGAGATTGAATCCTACATGGAATATCAGTTCCCTCAGTTTAAAGATATAACCGAAAAGTAACAAGAGAGCTAAATATATGGTTTTTTGTAGACTTCCTCCAACTATGCAACAGCTTTTCCTTTTACTGTTACAATGATAAAAACAATATTGTGTTTTTCTTGAAGAACATTTTTCTTGTTTAGTGGTTTTTAATTGATTTGATAAACAAACTTCTTCTGATTACTGAACATATCTATTTAATAAAATCAACTAACACTAACTTATCAAATAATTTCTATTAGCTTCAGACATACCGATTCCAAAGACGAGACGTTTATCTTTACGCTCTAAGCGCAGTTTTGACTGTTCATTTGAATTATGGGATGAAAATTATTTCTCTATGGAACGGAAGGTAAATTTTTTTTTCTTATAAAAAAAGTTAATCTCCGGAATATAAACATTTTTAAGAAATAAAACAGTCATAACTTGATAGTCTTCATGCTTCTACGTTAAACTGTTCCATGAAACCCATAGCAACAAGCATGACTTTTCTGAATTACATTAGAATACGTTTTAGTTGCATCAAAGGTGTGTCTCTATATGTTTCTTGCTGAATTTTAGCTCTCAGTTATTTGACTTGAAACCAGTGCTTTTCATTAGAAACTCTTTGACTTCAGTTGAGTAGACGCTCTCTCAAAATAAGAGATTGCTGATAATAGGCTGTCATTATTGTCAACAAAATGTACATGAAAATGTTTGTACACAGATTTCAACATCAATAATTTCAGTGCATTAATTTAAAAAAAGAAAGCCCATAGTCCTTTATCGGTTGGTACTCTTTGAAGAATTGGTGCCTATAATAATCAATGTTCTTATGAATTTACACCTGGCGACATTTTACTGTGGACATTCGGTAAATATGACTTGCGTCTCATGAAATCCGCATATTTATTTCCACTATCATGTATAGTGAACATTATGCGTTTATCAGTGCTACTCAATCTATATTACATTAATCTTTATGATATTGTCAGAATCACGAGAAATAACTAACATCACGTACTTTCAAATTCCAAATTTTTTTTCATAACGAAAAATAAATTATTGTTACTGGATGAGTTTGATACATTGAAAATGTGTCTCAAAGATAACGTTTTGACGATGATTCCATTTCTCAATAAAGATTACCATTTGTGATACATACATATTATTATTATTTGATGCTTGGCAACAAAGAAAAGTGACTAATTACCTTCACACTCTTTCATATAAAGCTTAACTAATCCACATTATTATTATTATTACTATCAGCAGTCCATTTCAGTAGTTAAAGTAAACATCTTGAAAAAAATTATCAGATATCGTTCTAGGTTATTAAGTTTTTTAACTATAATATTACATATTTTAGGTATCTCAACTTGAAGGTGTTCATTATGCTGCTTTCAATGTAAATAAAGAAAAAAGAGAAAGTTCACCTGAACTAGTCCATTTAATCGAAGATCAACAAGTAACTTGTTTAGATGCAGATAATCCAGATAATTGGGTTGTACGTGTTCATCCATTTTTACAAAACGTTAGTAGTTTCAATAAACAAACTAAAAAGGATAATACACTTACCGATTCACAAACTATAGATGAAAATGATACTAATGATTTAGTTGAAGTTATTGTATCAAATTCACAAGAATCTCAAAGAACCTGTGAAGAAATTAAAAAGATTGGTCGTGCTAAAGCTGTTTGCTTAACACGAAATTTAAAAAGTGCACAGCGTGGAAAAAGAAATCCAAGAGAATCTTTCAGAGAAGATGTTATTAGTTTCTCAAATAAACAACAAGAATCTCGAATGAAACTAAGGTAAAAAAATTTTAAAATTTTATTTTTGCATTGATATAAACTGTTTATCATAACTTACATCAGAAATGTACAAAATATTATAGAAATTAACATAAGAATATATAGAGGTGTGTGTGAACGGTGCACGCGTGAACTCGAGGAAGCTTTAAGAAGCTCAGAAAGAGCCGAAGACATTCCATCCAATCATCTTTTGAAAGAATATAGCAGTGTAGCTTTCCTTTTGGAAAAATGCTAAGAACTCCTTCTATGCGGATTAAAGGACTATAATGATAAGTTTGTTTTTGCTAAAAACTATAAATACCCGACATTTTTGTACCATAATTGACACTGTTTGGAATAGCATTCCTTTCACTTGTCTTCTGTCCTCGCATTTGGTGGGTTCTAGCGTTCGAGTCGCTCAAGTTATACGCGGTATACAAAATGGACATAACTATGATGTTACGTACCAGCTTTCACTGTATAAAATAGAATAGTTGAGTGTAATAATGCTTCAACCAATTTCAAAGATCTTAACTAATCTAATAATGTCACAATGGAGCACTAATGCAAATTAAATATTTTAATATGTTTTACATTATCTCGCAGAGGATACCTAATATAACCGGCATATTTTATTAGTGTTTAAACTGTTAAAAGCAAGCTCCTACTTTGACTGTCTTGGTTACACATCCGTTTTTTCACGTTTGTGTTGATACAAAAAATAGAACTGTAATGTTAAATTACTGTACAATTTCACAGTAAATTTAATTAGCTTAACTACTTGAAAATGTGGATTTTAATAATGCAATTTTATTATTTCATCTATGAACTTTAATATGTGAATATCAATATTGGGATGTAGCAGGTACGGACGGTTGATGAGTTCGAGATAGAACGAAAAGCATGTTATGGATTCGATATATTGCCACTAATCGGCTTTGCTCTAAAACTCTTTTATCTTAACAGCATTATCTATTCAGTTACCTAAAAAGTTTACATATCCCCAAAACGGACTGACTACCTGTAATCCGTAACATCAACAACGGGAAGTTTTAAATATTTAGCAGAAAAAAATCCATTCATGTCACAAAATTGATCGAATTTTAAGTATTTTAATTCATTCGAGTCTGTTGTGAGGTAGTAACTCACTGGAGACGGTAGCGCAGTTTCATTGGTTGGTTAAAGTTAGACATTAACACCGTTCGATGCGGATCAGCGGTCTACAGGTTAAGCGCTTGCGCAAGACCGTTAGGTTCTGAGTTGTAATCTCGAGAGCGGGATAGTGGATGCGCACTGCTTAGGAGTTTCATACTAGGACGAAACGGCCGTCCAGTGCTTCCAGATTTTCCGCGGTAGTCTAGCTTCAATTGACTCATGAAATCAACTAGTGAAATACATTTTTGTCATATCCAAAAAAATTAGAAAAATTATATTTTCGAGATTTTTTAACTTTCTTCATAGTAAATAAATAACCGAAATAAATTAACACAATTTCAACTGTATTTATTATTAGCTTTTTATTCAATGCACAATTTTTTATAACTATCAAGTTCAACCTTGGCACAGATACCTATATATATATTACTAACAGTGAAGTAACTACTTCTATGAATTCGGTATTCATCACGTTGTGCTAATGTGTGGCAACTTGGACGGATGCATATATATGCCTGGTTCTAATGTTGTAGCTGAATGACTTACTGACTGATTGATACCTATATCTTAATATATGTTTATATACTAATTCATTGTTTTTAGAAAATATGATTGTTAAATGGAATATGATGAGCTGACTTTAGAAATTTCTTGATTTTTCATGTTATTTAGTTTCATTCGTTTATTTTAATAACATTTTATCTTGTAGATAGTGTCAATCAAATTTTACAGTAAAACTAAATTGTTTCCACTAATATTTGATTTAACGAATGTAAATCATCGTGTATAAACAATAGGAAGATGAAATATAGTGGTGTTTTTATTCATGATCAAGTCTTAAAACCCATAAAAATACATGTGAATTGACATTAACAGTCATATGGTGTTTAATAATCCTTTCTAGTAGAATGTTAGCTAATGAATTATGGGTTAGTTCTCGCTAAAAAAAAGAAGCTTATAGAATTGATAGGACTTTTGTACTCATTTGAGTTGATCAGGAGAACACTCTTTTATATAGGAAAAAGAGAATTCAACGGAGAAAATTTACTTTTCGACGAAATCATTTGCTTGAGCTGTGCATTCGTATAGATAGTTATATGGAAAATATGTCTATAGGAGGGGGTTCAAATTAATATTTTATGCACTGCTGAGGCATTGGCGATCCATGAACTCAAGCCTGAACTTCGCGTGCAAAAGCGATTTGTCCAACCTCTCATCCTTCCTTGGCCCTAATTTCTTTAGTGGGTGTATCTGTTTTTTTTTCTGCTTGTTTTTCTACACTTTTATTTGGTTATAATTGAATTTTTTAATTTACTGTTTTGCATTTTAAACTCTAATCAGTTATGTTTAAGCAAAGGTGGATAGTGGCTAGCAGTGGAATCCAGGACAAAGCGGGTTTCGTCCTATTCGGGACTCGTCAGCTGGATGTACCTGCATTCCAGAGTTCATGTTCATTGTGGGACTCGAACCCCCTACCGTTCACTTCAAGAGCCATCGTATTATCCACTTGGCTACTGAGTGCTGATAGCCATCCGCTTGTGCAATGGGGTGAAGTTTAAATTCACTTGGTGTTGTTTACTTGTATCTTCCCATTGTTATGTAGGACAGCAATTGAAAATCTTGTATAAGAGATTGTGAAAATATCTTTTAAATTTTGCCCACTTTTGAGCTTGGATTTACACTGAAATAGAAATAAATGTTTCCAAATAATTTTGTTCAAATGCTGATATATTCCTATGAATGTAAAGAGTTTAACTTTTTCACATCTCATTAACAGGCATCCAGAAATAACTTTTCTAGGCGTATTAGAGATATTAACGTTTTGAGTGGATTATTTAATTGATCTTTTCCTGGGTATATATCTATCGATGAAATTTAATGATCGTTGCTGACACTTAAGGTTATAATGTTTTGAACCGATAATATAATATTTGATTGAATACATTATAGAAATTACTGAATAAGCACTAGCCTCACTGTTCCTATGAACATTTTCTTGTCAAATTATAATAATGTCAGTGAATTTGTAGTTTACAATCATAATACTAAGGAGTTTTCATCGTCATTATTTGATGTAATTGAAGATTAAAATTAAAAAATACCCCATTATTGCATGTTGATAATGATTCATAAAACATTATCATTTGAAGTAAATAAGATACTGTCAATAGGACATACAATATCTCAGATTACTTCAACTAGTTAACATTGATTACTTATTCATCTTTCATTCTAATTAAATATTGAAAACACATTAATGGTTGACTCGATAAGTAAATATGGTTGAAGCTCTATGCAGAGAACGAAACTCCATCAAAATCATCCACATGAGCTACAAATCTTCTCCACCATCTATATGCTTTCAATGAAGAAGATAAATTTTTTAAAAATTAAACTGAAAACAAATTTCATACCCATTTCGAATTACACTGATTAATAAATATAATGTAAATATAATTTAACATTAAAATGACATTTATCTCGTTATGATGAAGTTAGATGAGAAATGTCAACTACATGTTTAACTAACATTCATGTTTATTTGTACAAAAACGATCCATGCATAAAATCTGAGTTCCGTTTGTGAAAGTGTTTACGGTTTAAATTTTTCGATTGAGATTAGTTTTACTCTTATGATCTATCAAATTTCAAAACAAAATTATTCTTATTTAATATCAGTCTACGTATGTTATAGTTTACTTAAAATCATAGACTAGCATTGTAACAGCCGTAATTCACAACAATGAAAGCATATCTGGAATGCCTTAAATAAAAGTAGTTTCCATAATGATGTATTAACACATGTTGATAATGATTATATACATCGAATCAGACTCGATATTCTAACCCATTCCAAGAAAAAATCAATCAATAACTTGCCCGAAACGTTAATGGAATAAAATAGACAACTTGATTACGAAATAGCTGAAGACAAAGAAACTTATAATGATAACCAAATAAAATCCAGGTCATTAGATGAATTGATTTAAGACTTGTGGAACAACTACGAATCTCACTTGTAAATGAAGTATGCATTGATGATACTGTTCAGAACGAAAATGAAAGCACAGAAATCGAACTATCTAAATCAGGAAACTCAACAACAACATATGGGTCATTAGGTTACATATAAATTGTACTTCAGAATTGGTACTATTGTGTTCACATTCATTCTTTAAGGTTTTTCATCATTTCTCAATTGAAACGAATTCATCAAAGGTACATGAGATTCTCAATACGATACGGAACATTATTTAGGGACTATTTAGAAATATAATATAAATTCTATTTCCATACAAGAACTTAACAGTCACTTCATGCTACTGATGGAAACGAGATGAAACAGTCAAAAATAAGACTAATCGTTTAAAATGTCAAATTTAAATTAGGTCAAAAATTATAGATCTGCCATATTGTATATACTTAAGATAATTTAACAGTAAATTGACTATAAACTAATCACTTGAAAAATTGACTGTACTAAAAATAAACGACATTTAAAACTAAAATGACTGACAAATTATCACTGGTCTAATATATTCACTTAAATGAAACGCATAAGATGTTCGCTTTTTTTCAATGAGTCGACCTATCTGATAATATGGAACTTAGAGGAAAAGGAAAATCGACTTTGTTTCATGAGGACTTGTATAGCTACATGGTAAATTATGTCACGGACCAAAGCCAACTGCAAAACCTATTGAGAGTGACAAATGATAGAACAGTTGTGACAGTATTTTTTTAAAGCAATAGTCCTAATCGAGAATGAAGGTAGAATTTTGACGTTTACTAATCTCCATTCTATAACATTCATTAATTAGCAATATAAATGAAACAGCAAACTGTGTCACAGGAAGATTGCTTTCTAGTACAGAAATATTACACTTCACATATTACAATTTGTGACTGAAACTTAGAGGAATTCATTTATTTGATATGAATGAATGGACTGTGAAAACATATAGACGTTGCCGAAACAAGATCAATATTAAGGTAAAATTATCTGAAATGTAATTCATTATTATTGATTACAGATTGTTAAGAAAATTTAGCATTTCTTCCAAACTATTTATTTCAAAATGGATATTTCACTCAATGGTTTGGTCAACACAAAATAGGCTAAACTCACTGAAGTTATATTAAGCATGGCAAATTAGTTTAAATAACTATTTAAATTTGCCTACTCTGTGTATATTTATATTTGTTCAACTATGATCAACAGAAAACATTGAACATTGAACACACTGACACATGGAGACAATGAACCTACTAAGCCAAACATCTTAAAACAATGTCATTAAAATTGGACAATTTAATGACTGACGAATATTTCAAAAAAGACCTACTTATTCTTCAAATTAGACTCTGTAATACTTCAGATTTTCTGCAAATTGTTTTCTAAACATTTTAAATTTGATGGTTGAGAAAACATAATTTATGGGTTTATATAAATATTTGTTTAATGCTACAGTGCGTGTTACACCAACATTAATAAACCACATAAACGTACCTCTTCAGACAGTAACTGCTACGTGAAAAATTTGCCATCACCCTACTTTTGTTATCTTGTTGATAAGCCAAATTTTATTAAGCATGGTATTTCAGTTTATCGAACTGTGCTAAGATTTAATAATCGATCCAAGTTATGATACTTGTTTTTAGAAAATACTCTACTTTTATTCATAAAACTTGTTGGACCCTTTTTATTGGCATTAAGAATTGCATTTGTTGATTCTTTGTCTTGATATGTGTAACCATTTATAAACACCAACACTGTGGTACGGGTACATCTTTTTGACGAATCGCAATTAGTACAAAATGCACGTTCTGGATTTAGTTACCAGTCACCATCTGATTCTGTTCAAGACAACCTACTCTTGTTAAGAAATGCCCGAAATAAAACAGTGTCTACTTACGTGCAAATATTTTACTTCCGACAGTCGTAAATAGAAAATGTATATTATTAATTTTGAAAGATGAAGAAAAACAGTTTTCTTGTTGATTTCTAGTGTCAGTTGCTATTTTAAGCTGACACAGCTTATTCTAGCTTTCGAACAGATCAGTTTATTCATTATACTTGAATCACGTTTTGACCTTGTTGATTATTCATTTATCAACGTTGACTGTTTTTTATATGAGCGCATATGTATGTACTTCTTTTCCTACTCATCACATGTATGTAGCTTATTTTTATAGGGCTATAATAAATAAATAAATAACGATTGACTAAAACGCTTCGCTCTATCTTCTTCGCTTCATTCGCTGAGATTCTCTGATTTTCTGTTCCGACCAATGAGTATACAAAATAAGCGTATTCGAGCATCCATTCTCGTACTGGACTTATTTAATTCCGTTATTTACCAACGCGAGTTAAGTTGATAGTTTTTTACAAGGATTGACGATATGCATATTGTCAATAATAGTCTAGAAACTCCACAAGCCTTCAAAATGGTAATAATAATCACTAGTGACTGATTTCAAGCGATAATCCTTAGAGTGGCACTAATAAGCCATGATAAGTAGAATCCAAAAATGTCAAAAGTAAAGTAACTACCAACCAATGACATTGAAAAGTGGTTGCTCAATGTAGCGAAAGGACTAAAATTAGCAATTCCAGTTACTGGATGATCGGTTAGTGGTCTAAGGATTCAGCGCAGGCTGTGAGATAGAATGTTCCCGGTTTCCTCCATTAGTGGGTTTGTGAATGTTGGCACTAAGACAAAGCAGCTATCCAGTGCTTCTTGGATTTCATTAGTCATCTAAGTCCAGTGAATGACGTGAAGTATAAAACTCAACAATTTCCACAAACACTCTATGTGATAGTGATGTTAACGCCATAAATAAATCTTCTCTTTACGAACTGAATTGAAGATACCTCTTTTCTTTAAGTTTCTCTACAGAAAAAGAAATTGTCATGTATATTCAACAACTTCATACATATGTCTTTTAAAATATAGGATCAGATAATTGTACATTCTAATCAAGTCAAATGGATGATTAGTTTAACAAAACCAACTCAGTTTCTTAAAACATGCTGTCATTTATCTTAGTCATACAATTATGTAATGTTATTGTTATTACTATAATAACCAATATTATACAATGTTTCAGTATGTATTGCTTCAGTGTAATATATCGTTTTTGTGAATTCAATATGACTTTTTATTTGCCTTATTTTAGTTTTAAATTTTGTTAACTAACAAAATGTGTAAATGAGTTCATAAATTTTGAAAGAAGTCTTTTTATACCAATAATGTTTGTCCTCTTTCTTGTGTCAAGCTAAATTAAGTTTCAGTTACAGACATGGCACAGTATTCTATCGTAAAGTTTCTACGGTATTTTCTAAAGAATAGTAATTTCTGTTTTAATAATTAGTATTATAAAACTGTTCGATCTGTCTACATTATATTATGATAGTTTTCGTCAAGAACTGGTATTGCCTCAAGTATCATTAAAAAACTAAGAATGACTGATTTGCAGTTATTCAAGAGCTTACACTTAACACCTATCAGTGATCAAACACGTGAAGTTTGTTATTTCAAGTGAGCATATTAGGCGGTTGAATTTGAACCCAATATTGTGGAACTGTTATTCATTGTTTAAAGTGATGACTCGTTTGCCTCTTATATGATTGCTTTTATCCAAATTAATGTATTTCAATAAATAAAGTTATTGACACATAGTACACCATTACATCAGATCACTGTCAAGCATCTACAATAAACAATCGCATTCAATCATGTGACTCATATTCACCATTCTTAGTGAAGATCAAACTCATCGAATCTTTTGATTCAAGTATACCGAACTAAATATTCTATATGAACTTGTATTCAAGTTTTTGACAAATAGTCCGTTTCTTTCGTAAAATGATATAACTTAAAACTCATACATTACAGTTGATATTCAATTGTTACATTGGTATACGTTTCTTCTATATTAAGTTAATTTATTTGATTTTTGTTTTGTACTAGGTATACGTTAACTGAGCTTTGTGATACTGAACTTGAATATTCCAGAGCACTGAGACAATTGTCTGATATATTAGATTCATTAAATGGCAAAATTATTTTGAACTACTCAGATAATTCAGAGAAAATTCTCGATTATCCTAAACCAATTAGTGATAATATTAAAGGTCTTCAAGATACTCTGAAAAGAATTATTCAATTTTGTGGGTGAGTTCATCATATAATTCCTGTAGTAATAATAATAATAATAATAAGAAGATTAATTTATTTTTACTTTAAATTTGTTATTCATTCATTCTTGTATAATAATAAATAATTGTTATTAGCTGAGTAGTAACTAATGTCATGTTTGATTGATCCTTTAGGCTGATCGCAACTTATTGATCAGATTCATAATGTTTAATAGCCATTACACCCAGAGCGAGCTAAGTTTAAATGTTAGTTGGTTAGAAGAAATAACACCATTCCCTGGACTTGAGTTCTGTTCTGGTTAGTACTCATAGTAATAGATAAATTTAGTTAGGACCAGAATAGCTGATTGATAACCTCCTTGACAATCGCAGTAGATGACGTGGGTTCGAACAAATGGCGACTGTTTCACGGTTCTAGATCCACCTTACTGACAAGTGAAATCAATCATAAACGTAAATCTACAGCAACCCATAAACAACTTTTATTCAACTTGCATCAGAAGACAGTTCACGTGACTATAAATCACTTCGACTAATGACCACATTCCAGCTCAGTTAATAGAACTTGACCAGTGCTAGGATCTAAACAAACATAGCATTGACCACTAATTGTATCTCGCTACTACAGGAGGTTATTTGCATCTCGAATAGACTGACAATAATGTCTTGTTCTTGTCCTCCGAAAGTTGTTGATTTGTGATACTCTGGAGCAATCAGACATAAACTAAATGAAATGTGATAGATACTGATAGACGCACATTATGGATAGAAATTAGGCTTAACTTTCTGAAAAAACCGGATATAAGCTATCGATAGATAATATGGTTTGATTTTCCGAGGGAAACAGTTGTATGTATACATAAATAATTGATGCATGTATTTTCAAGTCAGGTCTTTTCAACTAAATCTCAGCTTCCATACTCAATTACCTGATTGAACTCGCGTGATAGTAAGTTTGTATTATAATTTCAAACTCGTACAACTACAGAGCGTAAAAAGTCGCATTTTGACTGTTTTAACGAACGTGACTTTCCTGTTGAATTAAAATATAAATTAATGCAGTTCATAAGTACTTTAAGGAATTCTTCAAAGTCACTTCAAGTCGTAATGTTTGCCGGTTGAATATAGTTGTATACAATAATCTAATCATATTTTTATTTTCCATATAGTTTTTAATTGATGAGTGACAGTAATGTGAAGCTAATTTATTTTACTTCAGGGAATAGACATTTTCAATAATCATTTAAAAGTGTGAAACGTAAGAACATTTTAACTTATTGCTGTTTAGTATGATGTATATAAATTCACTTGATTATAGACATTTGTTACGTAACATAGCAAAAATATTAGCCAATTCACAAAAATGCATCACGGTTTATATGGTTTCTAGCCTCTTTTTATCATATTCCATTGTTATTTAAAAATTTATGTTTATTTTTTGTCTTTTTATTTGATTCTAGTATGTTCTTGGAAAAATTGCCTTTATACTCATCTGACCCAGGAAAATCTGCTGAATGTTTTACAAAAACTGTGAGTTACTTAAAAAACAAAGTGTAAATAAACGTTAAGTTTGAACATGAATGGTTGCTAACAGTTGATGGATTACTGTACACTAGGGGGAAGAGGAAAACAATGTTTCTTTTTCCAAATTGAAAACCCTACACAGGAATGTAACAAATAACTTTGATTATCATTAGTTGACAATAATATTTTATATGTTTTATATGTTTGATACAGTCAGATTTACCAATGAAGCTGAAATGAAATCTTCATGTTGAAGAGCGACTAGGAAAACGGGAAGGCACTATAAATATATTTACTAATCCATAGGAGAACTAACTTGTTACAGCTGTTTAATGAAACGGAGAGAAAATGCTGACTGGATGGATATTAAATAATGAGTCAGGATCTGTAAAAGACACAGTAGTGAAATATAATCTGAAGAAGAAACAATCGTAGTCAATAATATGACTTTTAAGTTTCACATTATAAATTCAAATCACATATATTTCAAGCGATTCAAAATATAGAGGAAAAATAATTTTTACATCTGTAGAGTAAAAATGATAGTGTAGTGAACAAGAACACGAGCGGGGACAATCGAAAATTACAGTGTCTCACTAAAATCTGCGAACCATATAGTAAATCGTTAATTTGCAAAATATCACTCTATCATACCAAACTTGACTGTTCCTATTGCAAACATCCATCCATTGTCCCAGATTTCATTGTTCATGCGTTTTCATACCGATTGCATTTCTTTCCCTTTTCTCATTGAACTTCTACTGAAATACATGCTATGTCTGACCACCGTTATATACTACTTGTATGGATATAAGTAACCCACACAACAATTGTATTAAGTGTATCAGATCCTAAATTGTGTACCTTTGGATTGTATATAACAGGTAAATCAACATGTTGCCTGGACTAAACTCAGAACAAACCATAACCTGGTTCCACTAAATTTTATGAACAAACTAAACAGATAGCACCTATTGTATTTTTAAGTGTAATTTATTCGTTCATACAGCAATAAAGTCTTTTATACTGTACCTAATACCAGTACCTTATTAGAACCCTAACCCTTGGAGCAATATAAGGACTCATAAGAATTTTTTCAGTTTTTTCAAGGGTTCGAGAATATGGCTAGTCTACTTTCATTGGGATGAATGAATACTTAACCGTTTTTCCTATTTAAAGGCAGAGTAACCTTTAGAAAACTTTAATAAATTTAATAACAACGTAAAATCGGTTCATACTTTCTAATTGTATTGTTGTGTTTTTCATATAGTAACCATTTGTCGCAAATGATTGATCACTGCGTGGTCAGTGTCATGTGTGTCAAGTCCTTCTTAGCGCAGATCGAATTCTATCGACCAAGTTGCAATGTGGCCACTAGTTTGGGTGACTCGACATTGCGTGCACTATGCTGGGATTAGATCGTGATTGGGGGTAGTCAACAGGAAACCTTGGACCCGCGTTTCATGCTAATTTGCACTCGTCAGTAAGATGTACCTGTAATCTTGAGGGAACTGGCGCTCTCTGACCGATCTCAGTCCTACAGGAGGTCAGTCGCGGCCCGGATAGCTCAGCGGTAACGTCTCTGACTGTGAAGCTGGGTGACACAGGATCGAATCCGTCAAAGAGCATCAGTTCCCTCAAGATTACAGGTACGTCTTACTGACGAGTGCCAAGTAGCACGAAACCCGGGTCCAGGATTTCCTGTCTACTACTTCTAACCACCATTTAAGTAACCATTTGTAAAAGCTGTTTTCTGATTGACTAAAAATAATATAAGTACTAGGTAAGGAATTCGAATCAGAACAATTCATTTTAATAGCATCTTTTAGTTTAAAAAATATTAGATACATTTTGAACATTATAAATTTATTATAATATGACTTTTTGTATGGCTAAAAATAAATTTAGACGTATTTAGAGTTATACAACATAGTTTACTTCTCCAGATAATTCCTTTTTATCATCTGTGAAAGACAGAACAACAGTCTTTATTCCACCGCTAACTATCATACATCTTTATTTACCGTGATACGATTCAATGTCAAGTTTGACAAAACATCTATAAATCTGAGGTTAATTTAAATATTTATTACTATGGTGTAATAAACATTGAAGGAAAACTAAACTAACTCAGGAAAATTCTGGAAAATACTTCAAAAAAATTCTAAATCATCATTTAATGTAAATTTAACAATTGAATTCATGAGTTAATTTAAGTGAATTTCGACTTCGCCCCATCGCACAAGCAAGTGGCTATCAGGACTCAATAACTAAGTGGATAAGGCGATGGCGTTTGAAGTGAACGGCACTGGGTTTGGCTGCTACTGTGATCATCAACTCCGGAATGTAGGTACATCCAGCTGACGAGTCCCACATAAGACGAAACTCGCTTTTTCCTGGATTCCACTGCTAACCACTATCCATCTTTGCTTAAAAAGCTTGTGACTTAAGGCTATATCGAGGCAATCCACACGGGATGCACATATGTCAACATGAGAATGATCAACCGCAGTCCTAAATAACAATGGGAAGATACAAGTAAAACAATATCAAGGGAATCTACCTTGATTAGATACATATAAATAACGATGAAATATAATTCATTGCCATGGTACATATATTTGTGAATATACTGAGTCAATAGAGTAAATAAATCTAAGTTTGAAGATAAATGTAAATTCTTAATATAAATCGTTTAGTTTAGATTAATGAATGGGATAGGATTTATAATATTTATTGTATAGACATAAATCTAATAACAGTAATATATAAAGTGTTTCATTTAACACTATAAACTGAAAAACTGTCTCCTATTAAGACTAAACTTAGATATAAACTGTCAAATATAATGTGAGAAAACAACCTGAACAATATGAATATAGCAATTTATGTAAAACATGAGTCCTTTAATAGGAAATGAATAAAAACTGGTAATATTTTATGATAATGATATTAGAAGACGAAGATTATCAGAACTATGTGATATATTAGCGCAATACATTTCGAACAATCTGGTCACACATATACTTGTTAAGAGCATTTATATATAAAAATAAAAGGTCAACTAGACAGGAAACGGGGTAAGAGGAGATAAGGATAATGATAAGAGTAATAATAATAATAATGTGAACACAATTTGAAACCTAATCACTCTGGATAATAAGTCAATATTACCAGGGTAGGTTTAAGGTAAGAACAAACTGTTTTTGAACACACAAAGGGGGTTTGAATTTTCGTATGGCTAAGGCTTCAATAAACCTTAGTATACGCCCTTTTACACTTTTATACAGCACTACAAAAGCTGAATTTAGATCAATCTTGTGACCTGTTTCAATTATATGTTTAGCAATAGAGGATGACGGATGTTTATCCTCTGCTCTTATCGGGTCACTTGATTGTATTTGTTTCTGAAGCCATTTGGGTACATGTTCACTCACCCTAATGTTGAGATCACGATTGCTCCTCCCTATGTATGTGTGACCACACACACATTTAAATTGGTAAACACAGTGGGATGTGACGCAATCGTTTCCATGTACTTTAGGTTTTGAATGAAGCATGCACCTTGTTCTTTCTTTGATGATGACCTTTGCTGCGCAATAGGTTTTATTGATGACTGATTTAAGTCGTTGTTTCAGTAAAAGGCTATTTGAATCACCTCTGAATGGTAAGGTGATGTAGACAGGCTTTTTCTCTACCGAGGCTATAGTAGGTCTCGCTGAACCATGGTCTTTCCATCTATTTATGAATTTCAGAGGATAGCCATTTTCTATTAACGTTTTATTTAACAACTTAACATCATCATCAATGGCATCATTGGTGCAAATACGGTCGAGTCTGTTGAAAAGACACCTGATCAAACCACGTTTGTATTGCACAGGGCAATAGCTATAATAACTAAGATATTGACCTGTCCACGTTGGTTTTCTAAAAATAGATCGCTTTACTGAACCATCTTCTCGTCTACTCAGGAGTATATCTAGGAAGGGAAGCTGATCGTTTTTCTCCTCTTCACATGAGAGACTAATATGGTTTTGGAGAGTGTTGAGTTTATTTAATAAACCGTACATATCCTCTTTTTTCTCACAAACAACTAAGATATCGTCCACATATCTCTTATAAAGTGGCATGTTTCCGATTAATTCATCAGTCTGATTTTCAACATGTGCCATGAACACATCTGCTAGTAATGGTCCTAGCGGACTACCCATAGCAACTCCATCAATCTGACGAAAGTATTCACCTTCAAAAGTGAACTGAACTTTGTCAGTACATAGTAATAGTAAATCTTTAAGAAGTTTTACAGGTACACGTGATTGAAAATTGTTTTCAGATATGTAATCACATAATATATCAATGGTTCTTTTTAAAGGTACATTTGTAAACAAGGAATTTACATCAAATGAACACATTGTCTTTTCCTTGATATTAATATCATCTAACTGATCAACCAGTTCAAAAGAATCCTTTAGAGAATACTTACATAGATGTCTTCGAAAAGGATCCAACAACTTTGCTAACCATTTAGCCAGATTATGAGTAGGTGATCTGCACATTGATAGAATTGGACGTAAAGGAACATTAGGTTTGTGAATTTTAGGCAGTCCATATAAATGAGGGTACTCGGAACCCATAGGTTTTAGAAAGTTAAATTCCTCTTTATTAATAATATTCATGAGAAGCAATTTTTCTAGATTTGAATTTACTCTTCTTTCTAGTTTGCTGATACCTCCAAATTCAACATCAGGCATAAATTTACTGTCATCACTAAGGATAGATAACATCTTACTTTTATATTCACATTTATTCATGATAACTACGCCTGATCCTTTATCAGGTTTTAACAAGACAATATCAGAGTTTGATCGTAATTCTTTCAATGATTTAAAATGCTGAGAAGTTAATATGCTTCTCTGCTTCGGGCCAACACTATGAAATTGGTGTGCTATATCCACTAGTTTAGCTTTACACCAGCTTTGATTATTTGAAGACGTAGGGGTTAGAGTACTCAGTTGATCATATAGATTTTCAAACTGGGCATTTATTTCCAATTCAGACATTTGCGTTATAGGGACGGAGAAATTAAAACCAAGAGAAAGGGCTTCCTTTTCATTAGCAGATAATACAATGGAGGATAAATTAGTGACATACTTTTCAGGATTTACTGGGAATAAATTAACTTGTTTAGTAATAATACAAGATTTTTCGAGCTTATTACTGATCCTTTCTTTTGTTTTCGAAATGACATTACTGCAAAAGTTGGTGAATTTAATACGGCAGACTATAGATATTTCATTTAATATAGGCAATGCTTGAGTGTGTAATTCACTTAAATTGATCAGTTTGTCTTGGCACTTATCTATATATGATTTCGACAATCGAATAAGATTTGAAATATTTGGTTGTAATTTACTTGAACGTAAATTCTTGTATAGTTGATTTGGGAATATGTGACTCGTCAAACAAGATTTATAGAAGTTCAGTTTCACGCGTTCCGATACAATTTTACATTTAAGGTTGACAAGTTCATCTAGCCTTTTGATAGTATGTGCAGGGAGTCTTCTTTTAAGAAATTTAAAACAATTAGTCCCTTTGATAAATTTCGATAATGATATTAGAAGACGAAGATTATCAGAACTATGTGATATATTAGCGCAATACATTTCGAACAATCTGGTCACACATATACTTGTTAAGAGCATTTATATATAAAAATAAAAGGTCAACTAGACAGGAAACGGGGTAAGAGGAGATAAGGATAATGATAAGAGTAATAATAATAATAATGTGAACACAATTTGAAACCTAATCACTCTGGATAATAAGTCAATATTACCAGGGTAGGTTTAAGGTAAGAACAAACTGTTTTTGAACACACAAAGGGGGTTTGAATTTTCGTATGGCTAAGGCTTCAATAAACCTTAGTATACGCCCTTTTACACTTTTATACAGCACTACAAAAGCTGAATATAAAAGTAAGATGTTATCTATCCTTAGTGATGACAGTAAATTTATGCCTGATGTTGAATTTGGAGGTATCAGCAAACTAGAAAGAAGAGTAAATTCAAATCTAGAAAAATTGCTTCTCATGAATATTATTAATAAAGAGGAATTTAACTTTCTAAAACCTATGGGTTCCGAGTACCCTCATTTATATGGACTGCCTAAAATTCACAAACCTAATGTTCCTTTACGTCCAATTCTATCAATGTGCAGATCACCTACTCATAATCTGGCTAAATGGTTAGCAAAGTTGTTGGATCCTTTTCGAAGACATCTATGTAAGTATTCTCTAAAGGATTCTTTTGAACTGGTTGATCAGTTAGATGATATTAATATCAAGGAAAAGACAATGTGTTCATTTGATGTAAATTCCTTGTTTACAAATGTACCTTTAAAAAGAACCATTGATATATTATGTGATTACATATCTGAAAACAATTTTCAATCACGTGTACCTGTAAAACTTCTTAAAGATTTACTATTACTATGTACTGACAAAGTTCGGTTCACTTTTGAAGGTGAATACTTTCGTCAGATTGATGGAGTTGCTATGGGTAGTCCGCTAGGACCATTACTAGCAGATGTGTTCATGGCACATGTTGAAAATCAGACTGATGAATTAATCGGAAACATGCCACTTTATAAGAGATATGTGGACGATATCTTAGTTGTTTGTGAGAAAAAAGAGGATATGTACGGTTTATTAAATAAACTCAACACTCTCCAAAACCATATTAGTCTCTCATGTGAAGAGGAGAAAAACGATCAGCTTCCCTTCCTAGATATACTCCTGAGTAGACGAGAAGATGGTTCAGTAAAGCGATCTATTTTTAGAAAACCAACGTGGACAGGTCAATATCTTAGTTATTATAGCTATTGCCCTGTGCAATACAAACGTGGTTTGATCAGGTGTCTTTTCAACAGACTCGACCGTATTTGCACCAATGATGCCATTGATGATGATGTTAAGTTGTTAAATAAAACGTTAATAGAAAATGGCTATCCTCTGAAATTCATAAATAGATGGAAAGACCATGGTTCAGCGAGACCTACTATAGCCTCGGTAGAGAAAAAGCCTGTCTACATCACCTTACCATTCAGAGGTGATTCAAATAGCCTTTTACTGAAACAACGACTTAAATCAGTCATCAATAAAACCTATTGCGCAGCAAAGGTCATCATCAAAGAAAGAACAAGGTGCATGCTTCATTCAAAACCTAAAGTACATGGAAACGATTGCGTCACATCCCACTGTGTTTACCAATTTAAATGTGTGTGTGGTCACACATACATAGGGAGGAGCAATCGTGATCTCAACATTAGGGTGAGTGAACATGTACCCAAATGGCTTCAGAAACAAATACAATCAAGTGACCCGATAAGAGCAGAGGATAAACATCCGTCATCCTCTATTGCTAAACATATAATTGAAACAGGTCACAAGATTGATCTAAATTCAGCTTTTGTAGTGCTGTATAAAAGTGTAAAAGGGCGTATACTAAGGTTTATTGAAGCCTTAGCCATACGAAAATTCAAACCCCCTTTGTGTGTTCAAAAACAGTTTGTTCTTACCTTAAACCTACCCTGGTAATATTGACTTATTATCCAGAGTGATTAGGTTTCAAATTGTGTTCACATTATTATTATTATTACTCTTATCATTATCCTTATCTCCTCTTACCCCGTTTCCTGTCTAGTTGACCTTTTATTTTTATATATAAATGCTCTTAACAAGTATATGTGTGACCAGATTGTTCGAAATGTATTGCGCTAATATATCACATAGTTCTGATAATCTTCGTCTTCTAATATCATTATCGAAATTTATCAAAGGGACTAATTGTTTTAAATATTTTATGAACTGTAAGGAATAAATTTCCCTGTTGTTAATATTTCAGATGTTATATCTTTTACGGTTACATCTATACACTTATTAACTGACTTGTATTTGGGACCAAAGACCGGAATCCTACGATCTGTAGTGAAAACACAGAAACTTGTGATATGGATTTATTTAATCACAAACATAAATCAAAATAATGTATGAATATACTATACTTGTTATATGATTTATTTACAGTCAAACTTGGAGTCCGATTTGTAGTTTGAAATGATTTGTACTTAACATCAATCATTCGATAGCTTACTATGTGAACACACTGACAATGTCATACAAATCCCCATCTATAACCAACAAATATAACGGATTGACTAAGTCATATAATTACTACTTCTCAGTATGTGATTATATGTCATTGACCATTGGAAAAAATCCAGTTTTATATCATTGGAATTCCAGTCAATGAAGTCATTTAATAGTTGAGTTAATGAGTCGATTGAAGCTAGACCACCATGAAAAACCTGGAAGAACTGAATGAAAGTTTCATTCTAGTATAGGACTCCTCATTAGTGCACATTCACGATCCCGCCCTGCAAGATTGGAACCCAAAACCTATCTGTCTCTCGTGTGAGCGCCTGAACTCCAGACCACTGAGCTGGTATCTAACAGTGTTAAAGTCTAACTTCAACCAATCCACGGAATTGAGCCACATGTCCACCACTGTCTTTAATGAGTTACTACCTCACAACAGACCCGGCTGAACTCCACTGGTCACTATTCCTTACTAAAACTCCAGGAAATACCTCTTGAAGCCATTCGTCAGTAAGCAGATGATGATTATTATCAGAAGGAAGTTTTGTGGAAATTGTAGTCTAGTGCTTCCAGGATTTCCATGGTGGTCTAGCTTTAATTAACTCATGAACTCAACTATTAAATTACTACGATCTCCACAAAAACTTCCTTTAGGTAATTAATTCATTGCTCAGACTATTACAAGATTAAAATGACTGGACGTCTCTTAACTTCAGATTATTTGGACATATGCCTCGATGTTGTATTCATATAATAAGCGATCGTATAATTTCGGAAAGCAACTAGCAGACTATTTGAAGATTTCTTTTTTATTCTTCTTGTCATTCAACATCTATACATTCTCGCTTCTAAGTATCTCAGGATTACGGATGAGAATTTTTAACAATTGCTGTTCAGGACGAAATCTTTGTCCCATTAACTCTCTATAGCAAAATAACACAATAAATGACTGAAATTTAAAATGCCACTGAAGGTGTAAAATTTTGACAAGTTTGAAATGTTTCATCTATTAAATCATTGATTGATATGAAAAGAAAAATATATCCAAATATTAGACCACCATTGAAAACCTGGAAGCACTGGACGGCCGTTTCGTCCTATTGTGAGTCCCAGGGTAGGACAAAACGACCGTCCAGTGATTCCAGGTTTTCAAAAGTAGTCTAACACCAATCGATTCATGATCTCAATCAAAAACGTAATAATCTCCAAAACCCTATACTGATATGTAAATATACTAAAACGCCAACAGTCTATTGTACAGGCATATTCTTCGAAACTGTTGATGAGAACTGCTTAAAAGTATTTCCCTACGTTTAGATTTCATCTACAATCTAAACAAAATCAAACTTTACAAGCATGTTAAAAATAAACAGAGTACTTTAACTAAAAAATATCAAATATTGAATCATACACCGGTAAAACGTTTCCTTAAAATTATCCTTTTTAACAACACTAACAATCTGAGTAATACTATACATCATATAAAATAAACTGAATCTACTCCTTTTCAGTGTAACCACTTGTTTACCTTTACAAATTTAATTATCACTCTATTCGTAAGGTTATTTCTTTAATATAGAAAGGTGTGTTTATCACTTAACTCATTGACATCTAACAGTCATTTCGTTAAAGTTCAAGCTGAAAGTTACTCAGTTAAGAATTGTGTATCTCATTTACGACCTGAATATTGAAAACCCAACGACTGATGAACATCAGCTCTTAGATGCAGGTACATCCAGCTGATAAGTTCCAAATAGAACGAATCACACATCAAACTGGATTGCACTGATAATCATTATCCATCTTTACTTATAACTGATGAACTTTATCTATAAAACATGTAGTTAATGCAAATTTTTACGCAGTAAATTTTAAACAAACAAACAAAGAACAGCAACAACAAAAACACTCCTATAGATTCTTCATATCATTTATATTCTATTCAGTCAAAATGAATGCAAACAACTAAAATCTGGTAGTATAGAAATATACCTCATAATGTAGTGATTTCATCTTTAACCATAATTTTAATTTACAATCCCATTTTTATTCTCTTGTTTCACTTAATGATGGTTTCTGGGTTTTTTTCCTAAAACATATTTCTTCATTCATAATCTAGTTGTAGAAATAATTCTACAGTAATTTCCATTCACGTTTTTCTCTATGTGTGTGTGTGTGTGCAGTAATTCATTATATTCTAATAGGAAGGGAAAATAACAAATTGGAGAGAAAACTGCTCGGTCATAAATAATCAAACAAGTGAATCACCATTACAATTATAATTGTGTTTTGAAAAAAAGTAGGAAGAAAATATCAGTTTAACCTTGAAACAATACAAGAATATGGAATTTTGTACACAATTTTTATACTGTGTTAGTAAACTATGTTTTATGGATTATTTACGTATTTCACTGGTTGAAATCATCATTCAATGGAAGCTAGGCTACCATGGAAAACCTGGAAGCGCTGGACAGTCGTTTCGTCCTAGTATGGGACTTCTCGGCAGTGCGCATCCACTATCCCGTCCCCTGCGAGATTTAAACCCAGGACCTATCAGTCTCGCGCCAAGCACTTAATCACTAGACCAATGAGCCGGCATCCAACAATTTTAAAGTCTAACTTCGACCAATCCACGAAGTTGCACCATCGTACACTATTGTCTTCAGTGAGTTGATATCTCACAACAGACCTGGTTGAACTCCACTGAGGAGTCTCACACTAAGACGAAACGGTCGTCCAGTGCTTCCAGATTTTCCATGGTTCAATTGACTCATCATTTCAATCAGTGAAGTTTCTAAAGTCTCCACAAAACCCCTTCTGATATTTACATATTTGTTTACTTAGATAGAATTTAATGTATGTTACATACAACTAGCATGAAAATATGTTGTAGTAAACTCTTTATTTATTAGTAAGATTCATTTGTGATTTATATAATGAAAGACTATATTCTTTAACATTCAATATATAATTTTACTCAGTTTCAGTTAATTATGGCTATTTTAATAAGCTTGTTATATACTATTATTTTGATATCTAGTACATAGAAGTGTATTTCTTAGCATAGAATAAGTTCTATTGAATAAAGGAGTCTATTTTTTACTATCGTGTTATTTATCTGGCATTGTTAACTATTTACTGTATTTTAAATTCATCAAGGAATAACTTTTTAAAAAGTTGGTATTACACAAATTTTAAAATCATGAATAGTACTTTTAGTATTTCACTTCGTACTTATCATTTGAAAACGGGTAGTTTAGATAAGTTGAAAAAGTTCTATACGAATTGTACATTCATATTGAAGAAGTATGTAAAGTTTAAAGTAATCAGTGGATGTTTCAATAAAACAAACTACGGTAAAACAAATTATTTTTAAGGTAATTCAAAACAATAACTCACTAAAATTGGTAAGTATATAAAAAGGCAGATAATATTATGTACAAAACTATCTCGATAGAATTTTGTTTTCTGAACTAGATGGTTTATTCATGGAAATTTCATCGTTCTATTATCAAGCTGTACAATCGTATATGTATGAAAATTTTCTTTATTTTGTTAGTTCCGTTAGGAAATGTGAACACGAATAACCAAGATGATGTAATAGATACTAGATTGCCTAGTACGAACGATAACAATAGATTTAGATTTAGTAAGTTAAGAACGCATGCGGCCACACGTCCCAGTATGGTTCTACAAAGTTGAAAGGAAAGCTATAAACATTCTACGGATCCACAGTTTGATTTTTAGGTTGTATATATGATTCGTTCAAATCTATCTAGATTTATTCGTATACACCTCCTAAAAATAGCCGAAGCTCTTACCACCAAAACAACGCGTACAAAAGAAGTACGTCCTATCGTTATCGTTCCCATGGCCTTAATTATTATTATTATTACTGCATCCCCTACTTTGCTTATGTCTTATATTCTCAATGTTATTATCATATCATCTTATTTATTTTTACACCTCTGTGACCTCTAATTATTGTAACAAAAATATTTTATCGTCTTATTACACTCACTAAATCTATTATTATTAGTGTTATTATTCGCATTACGTAATCTAGTATTATAATCTTTCCATTACATTATCTTGGTTATTCGTGTTCACATTTCCTCATGGAACTAGTAACTTAATAAAAAAAGTTCATATATATACGATTGTACACCTTGATAATAAATTCGTTCAAAAGAGATTCGTTCGCTGAACTTTGTGCAATTTAATTTTTAATGTTTTAAAGGGAATTATCTAACTAAAACTTTTATTCCCACACTATTTATTTATTCTCTATAAATAAAAAAGTGGGGTTCAACCAGGTCTGTTGTGAGATAGTAATTCACTGATGACAATGATGGATGTGTCATTCAATTTCGTGGATTAGATGAAGTTAGACATTAACACCGTTGGATGCTGGCAGACTCAGTATTCTAGTGGTTAAGAGCTCGTGCGCGAGACTGATAGATCATGAGTACGAACTTCGCGGGGGGGCAGGATCGTGGATCAGCACTGCTGAGAAGTCCCACAATAAGACAAAACGGCCGTCCAGTGCTTTCAGGTTCTCCATGGTGGTCTAGCTTCAATTGACTCATGATCTCAACCATTGAAAAAAAATAATTCATGTTCACGTACAAATCAATATTCAAAAAAATACAAAGAAAATATACAATGAAATGAATTTATTAAGACCTTGTTGTCATGGCATTTATTTAACCTTGAAAATTATATGATTGATAATTTGTTAGTGTTTCTTTTGGTTTCTCCTTTTTTTTAATTTTTTGTCTTTACTACATTGTAACATTTTCTTTCGACATTTTCATCTATCATTCATATTTGAAAAAATAAAAAAACTTTTTTCATTCCCTTTTTGAAGAGAATAAAAATAATTCGATTTATGTTTATAGATTATTAGATAATTAAGTAGAATGTATTCAGATTATGTAATAGTCAACTAAGGCAAATTCCTCAATTGTAAAAAGTTACATTTATTCATGTAAGAAAATGAAAAGATTGATTTGGTTATTGTATATAGTAGTGTATAGTAGACTATTTGATATCATGCTGATAATGCGTAAATTAAGGTCATTTTTCTATTTTTAAAAACGAATGTTCTTTCCAATACTTTTCGTTTGTATACTTATGTCGTAATATGATGAGAATTTTTTGATTGAGGTCATGAACCGATTGATGTTAGACCACGGCGGGAAACCTCCAAGCGCTGATTGGCCGTTTCGTTCTATTGCTGGACTCCTTAGCAGTGCGCATTCACGACCTGCCCCCCACGAGATTCAAGTCCCACAATAGGACGAAACGGCCATCCAGTGCTTCTAGGTTTTCCATGGTGGTCTAGCTTCAACTGACTCATGATCCTAACCATTGAAAAGGATATTTGTTTAATATATAACCAGTTATTAAGGTAGTGATTTCATGGTAGTCGAGCTTCAACTGACTCATGATTTTAACCATTGGAATTACTATAATATCCACAAAACCCATCTCATATAAATCTATAGTTCTCAATAATTCTTCATATAACTTCAGTTCTAGAAAAATTTGAACAAACATTCACAAAACCTATTCGTAATTGAATTCATAAAGGATGATGTGATCAGTTTAAATAGAATAATCGATTGATGATAATTAATTAAATTTGGAATCTGTTCTAATTTGATTGAAATTTCAATTATAGACTTCAATTCAATGAGAATTAGGAGATTAAGTTATCGAATAGTTCATTGGAAAGTACTCGTCTATTTATAGGTTTAGTTTTAATGCTTTGACTACAGTTACTTATAATAGTTGTTTTGAATTACCTAAATTCTTTGTTTGGTATCAGAATGAGATATTTTTATTAATGAATTAAGTTTTCAAACTGAAGTTTTGTATTTAGTTGATTGACAATTACTGACATTTTAAAGAAAATAAAGCCTAAAGATGTAGTGTCGGTTATTATGTTAAATCTATATACCTTATTCTAGCTTTCTAACAGGTCAGTCTATTCATTCTACCTGAGTCGCATTTTGACCTTGGTAATTATTCGCTTATTACTGATGACTGTTTTTATATGAGCTTATGTTTGTGTGTACTTATTATCCTACTCACCACATGTCTTTAGATTATTTTTGTGTGACTATAAATATTGATTAACGCTTGACTGAATGGAGTTGGCTTACACGCATTCTCCCACTGTGCGTCATTTCGCTTCGCTCTCTTCCCTATGTTTCATTCTCTGATTGCCAGTAGAAAGATTTGAATTATAATCAGAAACTTGTTGTGATTTATAAAATAGGTTTGGTTATAAAATACGAATGCATTTTGTTGATCGCAATCCAATAAAAAATGTTATTTTTCTTCTCTTGACCTTCTAGGATCAATAAACTTATTCTATTCTAGTTTTTTGTTGCAGCATATTTATTAAATTTGACGTATAAAAATTAAAATTGCATATTCTTACTACTTAAATTAATCATAAAGTCAAAAAGTTTCTATTGTTGAAAGAAACACTTGTAAATGGCTTTCGATTCTAATATTTATTCATATATATATCGATGAACTTCGGTGGTTACACTTATGTTTAAACTCCAACTAACATTATCAAGATGATGGCTAAAATACTCCAGCTAGATACTTTCAAAATGTGTTATAACAAAATGAGCTACTAAAACAACTAAAAAGTAGTATATATTTGTTTGCGAAAGTTTTGTAACACTTGAAACTTGTTTTGAATAAAACATGGGTAGGTAGAACGAAAAGCATAAAACACTTCCATAACATAAAGAAGTTAATTATTAGTGAAAGTTGATTGCATAAACACTCTACTATAAATAAAACCATACTATTCCATTTGGTTGTCAATAGAGTTTTAAGAACATGTACATCGTTTATCTATCTAATTGTCGGTTAAAAATACAGTTTCCTCTACAGTTAAAATGTGATTTTCGGAGGCCTTGAAGATATCCACTGTTATATATATTTATTCAATATTACTTTCACTCATCATTAATTGTCAATACTATGAAATATAATATAACTTAAACAGTTCTTGACAGCTTCTAATAAATGTATATATATATATATATATATATATATACATGTTTGGCGTACTTTTTGTTATATCCTACACAGGTACACGAATAAATACTGGCTAGTAGAATTATCAAAGAATGTGTGCAATTAAAAATGGTTAACATTAACCAAGGCGTTCATCTATCAGAATACTTTATGCAGATTAATTGATGAATTTCATCTTTATGACTTATTCCTTCATGGTTATGTTATATTTTTCTCATTAAATTTTTTTTCCGTTTTTTTTTTCTTTTTGTTTTAACCACCATCTAGCCCGAACGTTGGTATGATTATACATTATTCTTTATACATTCGGATTATTTAGTAAATCATCTTACACAAATCATTTCAAATGATATTGAAATATCATTTAGTCTTTCTAATACAGATTCTATACAAAAATCAACAATTTTAATAAATGATCAAATGGATACATCCATAACAACTAATCATTCTAATAATAATATTTCTCTAAGAAATTTTTTAGATTTTTTAAATATACCAAGAAAACGACTAAATGTATATAATGGATTATTAAAAGATATAACAAGATATATTGCCTATGATAATACATTAATTAATAATCTTGAATTAGCCATGATTTATATAAGTAGAGTACAAAGATGTTCAGAGGAATTTATATATTTTTGGTCAAAAGTTGATATAAATTTCAATCAAATATTTAATATAGAAAAATTAGATGAGAATAGATTATTATTATTATTATTTGATGAATGTATACCACCGCCAATTATACGAATAGTAAGTTATATTGATTAAATGAATTAAAGTATTTAAAGAAAATTAATGAAAATTTATTCAATTTTAATGAAGTGAACATTTACTTAAATATGTTAAGATTACAGGTACATCAAACTGACGAGTTACGAAATAGGATGCAACTCGCGTTCTTCATTCCACTGCTAGCTACTATTCATCTTCGCCTAGAATGCTTGTGAATCAAGGCAATATCGAGGCAATACACACAGTATGTACATATGTCAATAAGACTGATCAACTGAGATCCTAAACAACAATGGGAAGATACAAGTAAAACAATACCAAGCGAATTTCAACTTCATCCCATTGCACAGGCAAGTGACTGTGAGGACTCAGTAGTAAGCGAATAACACGATGGAGTTTGAAGCGAACGGTACTGAGTTTGAGTGCCACAATGATCATCAACTCTGGGATGCAGTTACATCCAGTTAACGAGTCCCAAATAGCACGAAACGCGCGTCCTACATTCCACTGTTAACCAATATCCATATTTGCTAAGAATGTATTGAACGGTGTATACAATTATAAATATAAGGGTTTGCATTCACGGAAAATAATATGTTTAACATACAATTCAAACGATATTATGTTTTTATCTCAAGCTACTCTAACCAGATTTAGTGGTTTTTAACATAGTTGGTGAAGACAAATTTAATTAATGAATGATGCGTTTTACTGATAACGTGGAAAGATTGGAAATATGTTTTTAAGGAGTAAATTTCATTCAAAGTGAAAATGATCTCCATAAATAGTCAGGTTGAAAAAATAGGGATTTTATAGGGTTGAGTTTTATTTATCAGTATAGTAACAAGATTTGATTTTAATATGTGTGTAAGCATGTGCATTAAACAGATACAAATATAAGGGATTTATAATGACCGGATGTTGTTTATTTAGCTTATCATGAACTTCATCCACGTTCCAGACCTTAAAGGAGAATTTTTACATAGAACTTTAGAGTCTCCCATATAATAATCCGGAACTTACGGATTCATATTTTCCAAACTAAATTAATTCTTCTCATGCTAATACTGAAACTGGTGAGTTGTACAACTGATTCTAAAAGTAATCTTGAAAGTATACTATTAAGGTGTTTCAAACTAGAATTTTCGATGATCTCTGGTTTTTGATGGTTCTACAACTAAACTCATTTCATCATTAAACCATTCATATACTGTAGAACTTTCCCAAAATTACTCTACTGGAAATATCTTTCAACTACATGTTCTAATGTATTGTATAGCCATAATAATCTCACCAACTCTTAACTGTCTACATCTTTGCTTTCTTTCTTTCTTTCTTTGTTCTATATATTAACATTTTCTTTAAAAAAAAGACGGATATTAAAATCGGTCAACATAAAAGTATTCAACTAGATCAAAACGAAATGAAAATGGAAAGATTAATTCTTCTACCTGATCATTTATTATCACTTAAAAAAGCCAATGAAAATAATTCAGTTTATTGTTGGAAAGTGAATAGAATAATTAATGTAAGTCCTAATATAAATTATATGACATTCTATATTTATTGATGTAATTCATAATGAATTCACAGTTGAATCCATGAGTCAATTGAAGCTGGACCAGCATGGAGAATCTGAAAGCAGTGGATGGCAATTTCGTCCTGTTGTGGGACTCCTCAACAGGGAACGTTCACGATCTCGCTTCGCCGGACTTGCCAGTGTCGCGCGCGATCGCTTAACCACCAAACCGCTGAGCCGGCATCCAACGGTATTAATGCCTAAGTTCAACCAATCCACGATAGGTCCTGGGTTCGAATCTCACGAGGCGGGATCATAGTTGCTCACAGCTGGGAACTCTCACACTAGGACGAAACGGCCGTCCAGGATTTCTAAGTTTTCCATAGTGGTCTAGCTTCAATCGGCTTATGAATTTAACTATTTATCTACTATTATATCCACAATAATGATTCCTTCATGTCTTTTTTCTAGTCAAAATATTTTAGATATTTTGATAGTTTCCTTAGCCTTTGTATTTTATTATAGGTAAAATATACGATTGGGCTAAGTGATTATATTTGAAGGTATATGTTTATTTCTTGAAATGAAATCCGATGTAAGATGTTAAATCAAGATTTAAATTCAACTTTAGTGATTTTGAATGTAACTCTTTTATTGTCATATAGTGAATTTAAACTTTCATAGATAGGGATAGCAACTCACTGAAGACAATGGTGGATGTGTCACTCAATTTCGTGGACTAGTTGAAGTTAGACATGAACACCGTTGGATGCTGGCAGACTCAATGGTCTAGTGGTTAAGTGCTCGCTCGCGAAACCAGTAGGTCCTGGGTTCGAATCTCACAAGGGGCGAGGTCGTGGATGCGCACTGCTGAGGAGTCCCACAATAGGACGAATCGGTCATTCAGTGCTTCCAGGTTTTCCATAGTGGTTTAGCTTCAAATGACTCATGATCTTAACCATTGAAATTGCTATAATATCCACAAAACCCATCTGATATCAATACATAAGTGTCAATTGTGAGATAAATAATACCTATGGTTACATCTGTTAGTCACATACTGTCGTGTAAACTGGTTGAAGTTAGATGTATAAACTGTCGGATTTCAGCTGAGTAGTGTAGCTGTTAAACGCCTTCTTTTACTGAAAGCATGAAGTGATTAATGTTAGACCACCATGGAAAACTTCTTTACTGTAGGATTATTAATTTTTTATGATCGGCTTGAATGCAACAAGTTCACTTATGAATGTTCTCAACTTAGTGAAGTAGTTAATCAGCTTTTAAATCATAATCACTAAAAAATAGTTTATTAATTTATTTATATATGACTAATAATTCTAACTGTTAATAGGTAGACAGTTCACAAAAGTGCCTTTATTCACAGCATATATCATTTTTTCAATCTCATAGTTAGCATCAAGAGATGATCTTATTTAAACAACTACTAAAACAAATAAGCACTGAACAGCTTTTTAGTACGGACCTTCTGATCAGTGAACATCCACGACACAACAACAGGGAATAGAACCTTAGGACGTCGATCTCGAGCAAGAACGTTAAAACTTCTGGGCCATTGAGCGGTTATCCAATAGGTTACATGTTCAACTGCAATCATTTTGTAATATATCAGTTTGTTTCAGTGATATTTTATCATTCCATATAAATTTCTCCAATTAACTGGCTAACAAGCACATCCTGATATATAAATATTTGCTTCTTGTATTATATATATATATTCAGTTTTTCCTAGTTTAAACCTACAATATACACGAAATGCTATCACATGGCCACTTGCATACAACCACTGTCAGGGAATTCCTACTTACTGCCTTCTTGCACCACGGGTGTTGTTTACGAAATTGAGAGGACGAAAAGCGAATTTCCGGAGCTTAAACCGGGTTGGTGGATATGAATTATCCACCTAGGGTAGTTGGAAAACCCTCATTCCAAACCAGTGGTGCTCATGGGCTCCAGGATCCTGAGGGAACAAATGAGGTATGAACCGCTTGTTGATCACCAGCTACCATGGACCTGCATCTCCTGACGTTGCTCCAGTGCTTTGTGAATTAAACCTTTAAGTTGAAGGCTCCAGATGTGGTCCCCTAAGAAAGCCACCCGTTTCGGTTTGGGCATCCGGACGGTATCCCAGCCCTCACATAAATCGAATGATATATGTGGCGCATATCTATCTGCTGCCTCCTTGTATCTATGTTTATGTGTTTGAATAAATAAATAAATATATGTTTCTAATGAATGTTTTCTGTTGAAAAAAATTTATTGTTTTATCATTCAAAGCTTGATGAACTTCGTATTGGTGAATATGGCAACGATGGAAATGATGAAACATCATTTGAATTATGGAATATATCAGGCGAAGCTCCAATTAAATTAGTTTTTCGTATCACTTGTCCCAATATTATTAGTCGTAATGCATGGGTTGAAGATATAAGATACGCAATCAAAGAAAAACGTGAGTTATTGAACTTCGGCATACAATGCTTAATAAACGAATCACTAAATTTTGATTTTATCAATTATTTCTACAAAGGATTTGTCATCAAATCTAGTGAATTGGATTACCTTTTTGATTTAGGGTTGATATTCTTGGTTGAATTCAGGAAATTAAAAGTTTATATTGTGCATATGATTATTTTTGTAATTTATGATCAATGTATTATGATTTCGCGTAGAGTCCAGGAGAGCTGGTTCATCTTATTTGGAATCCATAATCTGGACATACTTAAGTGCAACGAGGCATTCCTCATAGAGTACATAGAATCCAACAAAGACTGATCAAAATTCAGTCAATAATACCAACAATGAGATAACTCAAACATCTAATGTTTAGAAATCATCTATGAATTTCTAGTACTAATTAGGTTGTTACAATATTTGCTTTATTTTCCATTATGATTGGGTTGGCTTTCATTCGATTGTACAAACTGTAGTGGATACTCCATGTTTTTAAGTGATATTAGATGGTAACAGTATGCAGTATTGATAGCCTTCAGCAAATCAATCAGAGTTAACTTATATAAAGCCTCATAGATTTTTGTGCGAAATTGAAAGCGCAGTGAAAGATAGCTTGTACGTCATCGTAAACTAAGTGTAAACTGACGATATCTGTATCCTGAAATACTTAAAATTCATTAAAATTTATATCTATAATGAATCTAAATAATGGATACGACATAGTTTCTAAACTAAATTACAAAGGAGTACCTACACCCAAAACAAATTGTATATTAAGTTATTTGATGTGTTCAATTCAACGCATTATCAAGAATGTTTCTGTAGTTAAATAATATTCTCCTACTCTAACGATTAACTCTAAACTCATCTTTAGTTTTTTTTTCACTTATTAATCAGAAGAATAACAAGGTTTCATTGTAGTGTTAAAGCTGATATCAGTTAATAATCAAACCCTAATCCTAATCCGCAATCTTAACTCATAACTTAAGCTAAACTCCTAATTTCTAATTCTAACCCTTTTCATCATAGTTAAAATCAATTAATAAAGAAAACTGTATAGGGTAATCGATTAATCTTACAATTCTGGCCCAACTCCTGATAAGTAAACTTGATATTTCTCTTTAAGTATAATGAATAATTCAATATATTAAAGTTAAATAAATCATATCTCACTATAATTCTATTGTTTTTCATTGTTTATGTTTTAGCATTATGCACTATTGCCTAATAAGTCAGTCAGTGTTATCATTATCGTATAATTATATCACTACAATCATCATAGAGAGTGAAATTAATAAATTTTAATGTAAACTAGAGATTAGATCAGTGTTTATCACTCATTTTTGTCAAGAATAGAGTAACTAGTTTTAAAACAGTAATGTAAATAATGTTATGTAAATGATTACTTACCTACTTACTCCTATTACTCCCAATAGAGCATAGGCCACCGACAAGTCTTCTCAAATCTATTCTGTCCTTGCCCTTCTTTTCTAGTCCTATATAATTCTTGTTTATTCTTCTCATGTCTGCCTCCATTTCTAGGAGTAATGTGTTCGTTAGTATTCCTCTCCTCTGGTCTTAAGGATTCCAAGTGAGGAGTGGCCTTGTGATACAGTTGGGTGCTTTCCTCAATGTGTGTCCTGTCCACTTCCAGTACTTCTCCCTGATTCCTTCCTCCTCTGGGATCTGGTTTGTCCTCTCCCAAAGTAGTTTGTTGCTGATAGTGTATGGCAAACGGGTCGGAATTATTTTGCGTAGACAACTGTTATTAAACACTTGTATCTTCTGGATGATGACTTTCATGGTTCTTCATCTTTCCACCCTATACAATAGAACTACCTTGACATTTGTTTTGCGAATTCTGACCTTGGTGTTGGTTGATAGTTGTTTTGAGTTCTAGATGTACTTCAATTGTAAATATGCTTCTCTTGCTTCGCCGATTCGCGCCTTCACATCTGCATCAGATTCACCATGTTCATCAATGATGCTGCCCAGATATGTAAAGGTTTTTACATCTTCCAAATCTTCTCCTTCAAGTGTCATTCGATTGGTGTATACTGTGTTGTATCGGAGAATTTATGTAAATGATACTTTCATTATAATTCTCATAATCAATCACTTTCTAGTCAGAATAATGGGATGTAATCCAAGATATTGATCAGTAGGCAACTTTAAAAAAAACACCTTTGACTATTTCAGTTAAAGAAATCGAGTAATATCTCTAAACTTTATGCAACTGAAATTAGTTTCAAAATAGAATACATAAACCTTTACACTGTGAATAAATTGAATATTAAATAGAAAGTAGAATAGTGTAACTTAACTGAAATTGTCAACACAACGTTCAATACCCATCATCACTCATTAGATTAATATATACATAAATCTTCAGTGCTTACTCATCCTAATTTTTAAATGTTCATAGTAAAGGGTACTTTCCATTTGAATATGATTTATGTAAATGTTAATCCTTTTAGTATTTAAGCAATTTATTTCAAATGATACATTACTATTAAGAAATATCGTTAGGAATTGAATATAAATAGTAATTAAAACAGTTGTTGTAAGAATCTACTTATTTAAATAAGTTGGGAATGTATTAATTACCAACCTAATGAAAGTCATTATATACTCAATTAATATATGAACAAAAAATCCCTTGGTTAATTCAAACTTTACGTTTTTCAATCGTTAATGATTAGATGAACTTATTATTTACAAACTATACAATCCTCATGGTTTACTTGATTATTTTCAATTGTCAGATGATTTAGAATAATCATTGTCATATTATCACGTTCATAATGTTGGTAAAACTAAGCTGGATCAATGTTTAATAGTGGCTATTAAACAATAAGTCAATTATATGGGGTATTTTGTATGATTTTAAGTGATTGACATCAACAGAAAGAAAGCCTAAGAGTTAAGTTACACAATAGAAACAAACGTTAAAGTATATAGAAAATTCGTTATTTTTGTTTAGATTTCAAGTTTTTTGTCTGTTGTAACGGCGAGACTATAATTTATGGACGAACCAATCGCGTATAAGATAACAGGTCTCGGATTTTGGCGCGAAATTCACCCATCCATTTGGCTAACCAGAGTTTTGGCATTATAGTTAATGTCAGTTCATGATGAAAACCCTCAATCTAATTCTTAGTCCTAACCACCAACTGTTAATCATAATTCGAATTCCTCACACTAGTTTATAACCATCATTAGGTGAACACTCTCAAGGTCACTTTAGCGTCGCTCAAAGGTCGTCCATAAATTATAGTTTCACCGTTGTAACCTATCCACTATTCATTATTCATATATATAAATTGATTTATTGCGACAATCGCATTAATTTTAATTTAATAAACTACTTATATTGGTTTAACTATACCAGCTAATAAAATATCTGCATGAATCCAAAGTTTCTTATCTGCTATATTGAAATATTTTCAATCTATTTTTATGCCATATAAGGATCAAAGAAATAAACATTGTCAATAGTTTCAAAAAGTAAAAATTAATCAGACTATAATATATGGGTGGTCTTTGTGGGGTTCCAAGTTGACCTTGAAAAAGTTCACCTGCTTAATAAAGTAAAAAAAGGCTATAAATTAGTGTGAGGAATTATGATTCTGAGTTCTTATCACAAACTGACATCAGCTATAATGTCAAAACGATATTTAACCATATGGATGGATGAATTTCATTGCAAAATTCAAGACTTGTTATCTTTTTATTTTCATTAGTTCGTCCATAAATATTTTCCCATTGAATTACTTTTAGATGGGTGCTAGAGGTATTAAATGTACCTTCAGTTTAGCTTGATGATTTACTAAACAACGAATTTTACTTCGCTTCATATATTCTACTTATTTTGTATAGGTTATGCGAAGAGACAAACAATATTTATTTCTTATAAATGCGATTATATAGTTTACGAATATGAAATCGCTTTAAAGAAAACGGTTTTGGATGAAATATTTGCAAGATATAAAATTTTCCAAGTTGATGGTAACTATCGCTATACTGACTTCACCTATCCCTTCAAAGGCTTTGCTACTAGTTCAATACATAAAACTCAATGATCTATTTGAACGTAACTGTGAATTAAATTTTAGTAACAAAATAATCATTTTGTAAGATCTCACTAAGAGCTGACACTGATTAATATGGGTAAACTGGAAATTGCAAGATATCACATAGAATTATATCTTGTTTACTGATTCGTTGAATGTTTATTAGAATGTTTACTCGCTTTTGATTATAAATAAATAAACAAATATCTATTCAGAGGGGGTTTTCGCAGATATATTAGTAATTTCAATAGTTGAGATCATGAGGCGATTAAAGCTAGACCGCCATAGAAAACCTGGAAGCGTTGGACGGCCGTTTCATCCCATTGTGGGACTGCTCAGCAGTGCGCATCCACGATCCCGCCTCGTAAGATTCAAACCCAGGACATATCGGTTTCACGCATGAACGCTTAAACTGTAGACCACTGAGCCGGCCGGCATCCAACGGTGTTACTGACTAACTTCAACTAATCCACAAGATTGAGCGATACATCCACCATTGTCTTCAGTGAGTTACCATCTCACAACAGACGCAGTTGAACTTCACTGGTCACTGCTTCTCACTAAAGGTCTAATGGCTAAGAGTTCGCGCACAAGACTGATAGATCCTGGGTTCGAGTCTCGCCAGGCAGTATCGTGGATGCGCACTGGTGAGGAGTCCCAAGATAGGACGAAACGCACGTTCAGCACTTCCAGGTTTTCCATGGCAGTCTAGCTTCATTTTACTCATGATCTCAACTACTGAAATATCTATTCAGCAAATTTCCTGCAAATGACAGTAAAAACTATTCAATGTAATACGATAGTAATGTTTTATCTACCTATAACTCAGTCAAATAGCATACATATCTGTTGTACATTAGCTCTCATCTAAATACTATTGTTACATGGTAAGCTATGCTTGTCATAAAGTGTTAATATATAAGTTAATTTCCAAGTAAATACCACTTTCTGATATCTTAAAATAAGTTGAAATACTTTAATACAGTTTCCACTTTTTTTTATCTTCTTCTTCTTGACAAAATTCAAGAGTTAATATACAATTCTTCTGCCCTTTCGATTTGCACATTAAAATGTATTGGTGTCAGACTGTACAAATGTCTATATTTATGTGTGTTGCACAGAAAAACATTTTTTGCCTATAATATTTGTGAATCAATTCAATTTTCCTTCAGTCCTATTATACACATATACACACAGATTATATTAAATAGGCATATGAATATGAAAATTTACTTAAAAATTGTGTATCTTCAGTTCAATATACCACCTACACAATCGATTCCATAGTTGTTATTATTAATACCAATTGTAGTATTAATATGTTTAGTTCGATATTAACCAGAAACAAGACTATTTCACTGAAAGCAAACCAGATGATAAATTCTGAAGAAATTTCAAGAGGCAAAGTTCTTGAATGACTTAGCTTTTTTTAATTTTCAATTTCTTCAGAATGTATCTAGAAAACACTAGTTCATTTCATTGATTTACATGGTTATTTTACATCTCTCACAATATTTACGGTATAAATTTTTAAACTTTCCATTCATTTAAACTCAATAATCAAACAAAATTTTCGCATTCATAGTTAATAACTCTATAGAAGATACAAATATACCGAAATCAATTGTCGGTTCACATATTGAAGCATATTGGAATTCAAAGAAACGTTTCAGTGGAATAATGGAACTTCCATCGTGTCCTAGTGAATCTATCAGTGAAATGTATTTTGATGCAATGGAAAATGTTCAACAAATTAATTCTCAAAATGTTCATGCATCACAGTTATCACAAATAGATAAATGTGAAGTGATTAAAAGTAAGCACTTTTAAATAAAATGTTTATTTAATTAATTTTATTTTCAAAAAGATGAAAATATGATTATGCCCGTATATTACTTGACAGTTTTCTAATTGTTTAAACTAACATACAATTTCTAAGCAAAGATGGATAGTGGTTAGCAGTGGAATCCAGGACAAGGCGAGTTTCGTCTTATTTGGAACTCGTCAGCTGGATGTAACTGCATCCCAGAGTTGATGTTCATTGTGGCACTCAAACCCAGTACCGTTCGCTTCAAACTCCATCGTGTTATCCGCTTACTACTGAGTCCTCACAGTCACTTGCCTGTGCAATGGGATGAAGTTGAAATTCACTTAGTATTGTTTTACTTGTATCTTCCCATTGTTGTTTAGGATCTCAGTTGATCAGTCTTATTGACATATGTACATACTGTGTGTATTGCCTCGATATTGCCTTGATTCACAAGCATTCTAGGCGAAGGTGGATAATAGCTAGCAGTGAAATGAAGGACGCACGTTTCGTCCCATTTGGGACTTGTCAGCATTTTTTTTCATGTACATCATGAAATGGGTTTACGTAAACCCCAGCTGGAGAAACAGGTTACTAGATCTTTATTATTCTATGGTAAAATACACCATTGCACTTCTGTTGTTCCGTCCCCAATAATAGATATCATTAGGACTGGATTGATTGTGTCAATAAGGAACCCAACTTGACTGTTAGTTGGTTTGTAAATAATCACTAATTCTTCACTTTATTTTCCTTGTAGAATTGCTGTCTTCTCTGAAAATTGGCATGTTCACATTTCATGTTTATTTCTTTGAATTATAACCTAATGTTATGTTACAGATTATTCTTACATATAATATGGGATAAATTTTTGCTATCATTACTTGGTTAAATGATAATCTCACTAAAAACGTTAGCAAATCAGTTTAAAAACAGTTGAAAGCTAGTATGTTGAGAAGTGTTTCGTGGCCAGACTTTTCATGGGCGTTTTTAATGTAAACATTAGTCTCAAACGGAAAGTAAATCTCTTCTCCTCTTCCCTTTACAGAGGTTCTAGCCTACAAGATTAAACTCGTTTTCTAAACTATCCCTGTTATGCAGATTTTCAACTTTATGGCCTGAAAAAAGATCATGTGACCATCTTGATGTGACATTATATAAAATCATAGAATTTCAGCGAAAACCAACTAACCAGAATCAAATTTACTTGTCGATTACATAAGTTTAGAGACTATGTAACATACATCATTTTGATTATTAGCCTCTAGGGGATATAATGAACAGACATTTTGAGTTTTCCTATATAATATATTTTGTTGAGGTTGTATGATAAGCAAGTTTAAGTGTAGGCAGTTTAATAGAACTAAAACTATTCTATTCATGAATACTGTATGTATGTAAACTATTTAAGTTACTTTAGCTACCTATGATTTATCATAACGTGAATTTTATCATGAAGCGTTAACGCTTCTAACCCTGTCATAGCTTTTGTTGACTAAGTTAAATGGATAAAAGTACATTAACATAGGCTCTGAGATGAAGATACATCCAGCTGACGAGTCCCAAATAGGACGAAACGCACGTCCTAGATTCCATGGCTAGCCACTATCCATCTTTGCATTCGCTGTTAAGTTAAACCATTAGTATTAATCTATAACATTGGATCTACGTCTTTGCGATAGAAGACACATATTTAAAGTGAATATCAGCGAATAATAAAATGTTATTTGTTACGTCCCAAGAGTTGACTTTAACTTTTAAAAACTAGAATAATTTCTTACCCTGTCATGAAACTTATTCAAGGTAAACTATTCAATATAGTAAACTCAGCGAATTCTACCATTGAAAAGCAATTCGCTTTTATGATGTGGCAATAGGTTCCTGTGTTTGCAGAAATGTATCATCGTTAATGTTGGTTTTCCCCAGTCCATATCATCATTAAGAACAATCGTAGTCCCACTAATATTTCTTAAATCTCTGTCTAAACAGTAATTTCAACAAGGATTACTGATCAGACCAACATCAGAAGCAGAATCATGTGAAATATTTTAATTAATTGATAGACAACTCCAGAAAACGATTGCCTAGTCAGCATTACGATGAATGTATTAAAAGACAAGATCTAAAACAGATTTAGGAGCTTTTAAAAATTCCGGCTTCTTTTAGGAAGACGAAAAATATTAATTTCAAGATTTCTGACACTGTTCAGAATCAATTGGGAAATACTCAAAGAGTTTTTTTGAAAATTAAGTAACTTTAAAAATTTACCAGTTAAAGTACGAAACAAGGATGAATACACTAAGTTTCAGAGTAGCTTCGAAACCAACATCTACTTGAATAATCAATTTAGAATCATAACTGTGTAGATTGTGTAAATTGTTGAATTTCATTAAAACCATAAACTGATACACGTTAATAAACCATTAAAAACCTGAAAGCACTAGACGAGCTCTTCGTACTAGTGTTGAGCTCCTCAGCATTATACATACACAGACCCATATACAGGAATCGAACCAAGGACACTATGTTCTGAATCCCGGCGCCCAAACTTTAGGCTACGGTGTCGGCATAAAACATCGCTAATGTCTTACTTCATTCATTCCACGGTATTGCGCGACCATCATCAGTAGGTGACTACCTCATATCCTGTTATATCCTAGTGAATACTAAACTACAAGTAACTTCTGAGAGCTATTAATAGACAAATATTTTATGTGTGTTCCTATTGTGAAACTGTTCAGTAACTATATTCCTCTTATTATAAGCTTTACTTTGACCTATGGACTATTATTTACTGTTCTTAATTTATGTTCAGTTTATTGACTACCGTCTCCCACGTTCACAGCCACTTTTTGGCTTGATATTGTATAAATGTTATTTCCTATTCAGTGGTGTGATACGGTCTGTTTGGCTGGTATACAGACCAAGTATGTTTGAAGTATTTGATTTGCATAGTGGAAGGTGGTATTGATGTTCTGGACTCAACTATCAGGAATAGGCGAGCAAAGGACCAATAAGGACGCTAGGCTGCACATACCGGTCGAACTTCATTGGTTTAACACAGTACTAAGATTGAATAAGTCGATTGGCGAATAAATCACGTGATGACTAGCCGAACTTAAAATACACAACATACTCGATATAGTTTATCTTCACCTTTCACGAGACTGAATATCCTGGAGTCGGTTCCTGCACACGAGGTTGTTAGTTTTCACTGCTGAGGAGTCCCAAGTTGTCAAAAATTGTCTGCCTTGAATCAGTTCATGTTTTTGATAAACATTGATATAAATTATTTTTCTACAAGTTTATTGTTCAATATTGCAAATGACAACTTGACTGCCTAAGTAATATCATTGTTTATTAACTTATTAACTTCATCTTATGGAGCCGACTACTGTATTCTCGCTCGTCTCATCAATTCAGGTCAGTTAGCTGATTGTTTAATCATCTTACATAATTACACAGTAGTACTTTAAACTGTACCAAAGAAGTATGTGTATAGTGGAAAAGATTTGTAGCTCAGAGGACGAAACTCCATCAAATATGTGTATAACATTTGCTCTCAGTCATGAAAACAGTATTCTATAAATTCATGTTCATATAGGAGATCCTAAGGAATTACTTACAACATTAAACTTTATCGCAGCTCTAATAATCTTTTTTACAAATATTTTAATCAAATTAAAAAATGGCTGCGAAAAAGGTTTGTTTAACATAATAAGATAAAATAAAATCGGTATGAAATGTAGACGAAGAATATGTGCAAATAAGACAAGTAGGTTAAGGGTAAAAGTAAATAGGAGAGGAAAAATAGAAAGTAATGTCTTTAGTAAACTAAAGTTTGAGATTGTAGTTTCTATAACCACAATGATAACATTTCATTTTAATTTCAGCGACTTATATTATTGGTAGATGATAGAGAATATTTCTAGCTCAGTATAAGTATTTTAGAAACATTATGTTGTTAAAATATAACAGTTTAGTAATAAAGCTTTCATTCTATTTATAAGCAACCTTATTAGTATATATTTCAATAAGAAATTCTAATTGCTCACTTCTATTTAAAGTACCTTTTCTATGTTGTCTAAAAGAATATTGGAATGTTCTCAATTATTTCATCACTTCACTTCTTCGTGTATTATCTATGACATTCTTGGTTGAAACAACTTCAATAGAATAATTTCACTTATTACGTACTCTTATTCTGATAGATCCATTAACGTTAAATCAACAACCTAATATTCTTGTAATTTTATAATTGAATTCATGAGTCAATTGGATCTAAACCACCATGGAAAATCTTGAAGTACTGGATAGCAGTTTCGTCTTATTTTGAGACTCCTCAGCAGTGCGCATTCACGATCTCGCCTCGCGAGATTCGAACCCAGGACATATGAGTCTCACGCGCGAACGCTTAACCATTAAACCACTGAGCCGGCATCCAACGGTGTTAATGTCTAACTTCAACCAATCCACGAAATTGAGCTACACATCCACCTTTGTCTTCAGTGAGTTGATATCTCACAACAGACCTGGTTGAACTCCAGTGGTCACTATTTCTCACTAGAACTCCAGGAAATACCTCTTGGAGACAGTACTTTCAGGTTTTCCATGGTAGTTTAGCTTTGACTGACACATGAATTCAACTATAAAATTACTAAAATCTCCACAAAACTCTTTCTGATAATAATATTCTTGTCTTATTTGTCATCTATTTATGGTTATGGTTATTATTAATTATGCTGAACTTATATGACCAGTTTTTAAACTTAAAAAAGTACCTTACTCTTAAGTAATATATTTAATGACATATTTTGTCTCTTTTAGTTCTTCTTAAGCACTTCTGTACCATTTTAAACATTTAACTGAACTTAATTAACTTAAATATGTTAAATCGTTATATTTAATCATCAAGTTATTCTATGTAGTTTGTAGTAAGCTAATATGAAATCATCAGTATAGTGTTGTGGAGATTATCAAGTTTTTGATCACGAATCGATTGATGAGCCAATCCGCGTCGGGTAGAGACAGGTATCTATCTCAGTACAATGGAAGATGGTCGCGGAATTTCGCGGATTAATATGGAATTACTTACTTAATTTCCTTCATTGGATCGCCTTCTTTCTTCTTTCATTATTTATTATAAATTCATCAAATATAAAAGAAAAATCTCATTTTATTTTGTAAAATCTTGTTGTTTATCCAATGAAAGTGATTGATAAAAATCATTTGTGTTGACAAGAGTTAGAAAATTTCATTTGAATTGTTGAAATAGTATTCATCATATATATTACAATTCGACAACTAATACGTTTAAATGACTGTTATCATTTAAACTAGAATAGATTATATGTAACAGACGGTGAAATTCAAGATATGAGTTTTGTCTTTATAAATGATTGATCACTGAGTGGTGATCAATGCCATGTGTGTCAGGTCTTGCTTTGTGAAAACCGAATCCTATTGACCAAGTCACAATGTGGTCACGAGTTCAGGTAACTCGACATTGCGTGTACGTTGTTGAGATTAAATGTTGGTTGGAGGTAGTCAACAGGAATCTCTGGACCTAGGTCCTGTGCTACTCAGCAGTCGTCAGCAAGGTGTACCTGAAATCCTGGAGGAACTGGTGCTCTTTGATGGATTCGATCCCGTGTCACCCAGCTTCACAATCAGAGACGTTACCACTGAGCTATCCGGGCCGCGACTGACCTCCTGTAGGACTGAGATGTTTTGTCTTATTTGGAATATCAATATGAAATGATAAGCATAAGTTCTGCCTAAATTGTAATTAAGTATCGAGAATCGAATCGGTTATTTAATAACGAGAAAGAGTTTATGAAAACACGTGAATAAAGTGTATTAATTAAGTGTTGAAATCAAAATCATATAAGTCATCATACTAGCGTGTTTAACTATTCAATTAATTACCTTCATAAAAAAGATTACCTTATTTACTTTACAGCTTCATTTAATCAAAAATCTACTTCATCCTCATCGTATTATACTGCTGAGGAACCAATAGATGAGATTGGAAAAGATCAAGCTCCATCTACAAATCTGTTCGGTAAGTTGTTTCTGTGATTTAATATAACAAAATTGAAATTTTGCTTGAAATAATTCTATTCTTTATGTGAAGGTGTTTGTAAACAATTTACCTTAATTTAATTATATAAATGTAAAGTTAAGTACTCATTTGATCTGGTTAAAGTAAGACATTAACACCGTTGGATGCCGGCTCAGTGGTTTAGTGGTTAAGTGCTCGCATGTGAAACTGATAGGTCCTGGGTTTGAATCTCGCGAGGCGGGATCGTGAATGCTCACTGCTGAGGAGTCCCAAAATAAGACGAAACTGTTATCCAGTACTTCAAGATTTTCCATGGTGGTTTAGATCCAATTGACTCATGAATTCAACTATTGATACCAAATATAGATTGATATTATTCAAGTATTCCTGTCATGTGAAATGATGTGGGAACCTATTCAGCTAGCTTATTATTTTTTGTGGTTATCATCAAAGTTTTCATGTATCTGTTCAGAGAATAATCATGACTTCATCGTAATTAATTGTAATTTTAGATCATACAATTTTCACCTGTTTTTTTCATTATCAAGAATCTTATTCAACATTGGATGGTGTACAGACTCCATTTTCAGAGGATCAACAATCTCTTGCAGACTTCCAAATGTCTCCTGAAAGTACGTTCGAACTGTGCTATCTTAAAATCTTATTTTTTTTAAATTGATTTTACCAACCAACAAATAAAACACAAATGTTAGACTGTCGAAATATTTAACGCCAAATGCCTGGTTAAAATGAAAGTATCTTATTCACATGAACTTCAGTAGATTGCTAAAAAAGATCGCATCATAAAGTGGTTCAATAATCTCAATATCAAATGAGGTTACGCAATAATCATGGGATTAGAAGAATAGAAGGATGAAAATAATTTACGGGTCAGAATTATGAAAGATAAATGTCCACTTGACAGATAAGAAAAAAAAACAGAAATACATAAAGGTCATATTAATTGAAAATTAGTTATTAAAAATTGTCAAAGGATAATAATAAATGATTACAGTGTAAAGTTGTAGAACAGTAATTAAAAGAAAATAACAAGACCAAAACACCCTACACAAGGGAACCAGGGCCAAGAAAGGATGAGAGATTAGACGTATCGTTTTTGAATGCAGAGTTCGGCGTTGAATTGGCGGATGGCCAACGTCCTAGCAGTGCATAAGTTTTTAATTCAACCTCCTTTGATTGGGTAGATTATTTTAAAGGAAGACTGTTTTGGAGCGATGAGTCCAGAGTATATTAGATGCTCGTGTATTGAATTGGTAACTGTTTTGCATTCTCCCTTTTAAACCACGTCGGGTAGGGTTCTGAGATGCGTTTGAAAAGTATCACATAAGAAGATAATATAGAGCTTAGCTGAATGAAGTCTGGCCTACCATTCACGTATGTGTTAAGGATAAAATTTCGCTTTGGGCCAAGTCGATGTGCATCTATAAATATACTTGCTCCTATGAGGCAGGTTACGTTTGCCTCACAAACCTAAATATCAATCACCATTATGCCTCAACTACATTTTACGTAATAATTCATATGGATCCATGTTTATTGCTATAGGTTAAAGTATTTCACATAAATATTAAGTTCGAGTAGTATTTCATTCTTTGAGTTGGATAGTTTGATCGTAAATTTTTCATTATCATTCTGAAACAGGCTATCAACAAGTTACATTACATAAAATACATATATAGCCTTTTTCCCCAATCTGACCTTTGACCCCTGTTCAATGATTACTCTGTTCATACTCGGGTAGATTATGTCTATTTTAAGGTCTGTAAAAACCAGAATTGTGTCCAAAAGAAGCTGGTGCAATCTTTTCTTCTAGCATGGTCTTAATCCCTCGAAATTTTATTTCTTTTTCATACTCTTATACCTTCACACCCAACTGATCTATAGGTCTTTTACCTCTAACTGGTTTGTTTCTGTTTTCTATGTTCCTCCTGATTATATTTCACCTCGATTTCGACATTTTTTCTATTATACTGAGCCTTTCTTCCGCAATCTTAATTTCCGCATCTGTCTTCATGATGATTGTTCAAATCTTCAACAATAAAACTATTATTAGTTTCCCTGATAAAAATAACGTTTTAATGCCTTTCTTTATTCTAACTCACTGTTACCATGTTTAACAGAATCTCTTATTGTAACTATAATCATCTTGAAAATAAGGTGTATATTTGTGATTGTACAGCTTTGAAAATGAATTCACTGAACCAATCCTTCTCATTTCAATATTGGTAATGATTGCTAGGTGACATAGGTGCCTGTGCGGTGTTCTTTACTTATTCTCCGACTAAGGCTTCAGCACTTCCTAAACCTGATTCTTGTCTTTGGATGTTTACAAGAATTAATGTGAACTCATATATACCTCGATTTTAGACACCCTAAATGATATTTGCGTAAACGAAAAGGTTTATCATTATTTCCGAACGTATGTTTTCATAGTTCTTAAAGTTGATTACGTACAGAATATTCGCTTTGTTTTTCCTTGTCATTACATCTTTCAATTCGCACAAAATAGAATGGAAATGGATCTTATTTATGACGCCTCAATAACATAAATGTAATCTCTGAAATATTTTTCATATACGATAACTAAGAACAGCTTAAAATGACACTATTAGTAAAGATCAGGATAGTTGAGCTCATTAAGCTTATTTAAGAAGCCAATTTTTTTTCAACCAGTTAAAAACGAAGTATTTCAAAATCCCGAAGTAAATCCCAAGAATAATGTGAACGTTCTCCATGATTTGAATAATAATTTTCACAGAGATTGAGTCGCAAATAAATAGACTTTAGATGTAAAATTATGTTTGTAATGACCTCAATGATTGAAATTCAACTAGTTCCAAAGCTTTACTAGGCGATCTATCCACATCTTTAGGAAACTAATTAAAATATCAGGGATAAATTAGGTCAAAGCCATTTCTGTATTTAAAGCCTGATCAATAAATTAAGAATGTTTTATATTGTTTATGGTAGGGGTATTAGTCAAATGTCACAAATTGTATTCAAAATTCTCTGTGAATGCTTATATTCGTATGGATATCCATATTCTATATTTCGTTTAATTTCTGAGATGATTCCAAGGAGACTGTTGGTTTATCTTTGTTAGAAAGCCTATGTATTTAAACTCTTCTAGTTGTTCTAAGGGAATAGTGAGTTTGATTTTAAACATTATTTTTGGTCATTTTAGTATAAAGCGTCATATTTCTCTGAAATCATTTAAAATTATCCTACATCTAGACACTTTTGTTTTTATTTCTTAAGAGGGATTTATTGACCAAACACGTCAGACAAACAACATTTTCACGACCTATAGTTTATAAGTTGCCAGAACGATACAAGTTTATATTCCTACTCATTTGAAGTTCGCAGATTTAATTGTTAATTATATTTTTATTTCTATTACCTGACTAGATCGAGGAAATCAAACTCAACCATTAACAACTACATCTACTAATATGACAGGAACTGATACTTTAGCTAAACAGTTAACGGTTAATGCTGGTGAACAAATTCAGTTCAATGCATCATTTACTATTACTGGTCCAGTTGCTTATGAAACAACTTGGTATATGAATGGTGAACCAATGAAACCTGATATAGGTGCTGAAATGATATTGTCGGATCGTGATACACGTTTACTTATATCAAATGCTGATCCTTTGATACATTCAGGAACATATTCATGTCGTTGTCGTCTTTTTGAGGGCACTGAAACTGCTGTTTATTTTTGTGTTAATATACTAACAGCCAAACTAGATCGCAATGATACAAATGATAATGAATCAGATCGGCTGAAACTAACAAATTTTATGCAGGCTGATTTATTTCATCCAATTACCAAAGAATTAGATTTACCAATAGGTAAACTTTTAGAAATTCAAGTTAAGATTGATGAAGAAACTGTATTGAAACAAATGGAGAATAATAATAAGGAAAATATTCAAGTTAATTGGTATCAAAACTCAACACTAATTGAACCTAGTTCAACGTGTGAAATGCTCAAAATTAATGACCAGTTTATTTTACGATCAACTACAAATAATTTACAACCTGATAAGTTATACAACTACACATGTATGTTGAGACTGCCTGAAAATTCTTCTATGTCTCCAGCACCAAGTATCACCATACCGGTAAGTTTTCATTGTCCAACAGTTAAAGAATTAGAAACTGAATTCAAGAACTGTATCGACAAAAATAAGGCAACAGTCGAAAATAATCGAATCTTTGAAGTCAAATTAGGAGAGGATGATGCATTTCAATTAAATATACCTATTCAACATGGTTCTCACGACCAAGATTTTGTCGTATGGTGGACACATGAAGATGAACTTTTGACAGGTGATCATTTACCGTCGAAAGAAAGTGAGTATAATTGTTCACTTGAGCTCAGTAAAAAGTCGAACGAAATGATAGCCAAACTTTCTAAAACTCCGACAGGAACTAACAATTGTGGTATATATAAATGTTGGACTGTTTCACAATCATTGAAAGATAATATCGTTAGGTGTACAAATGTTGCAGTAACAGTGAGACAAGAGGAAGCTACGCTGAGTGAAAAGTCAAATGACAAAGAGAAGGAGAAAGAAGCGAAGAATTTACAGGGAGATAAGATAAGTATGGTCGATGGGGTTGAAACAAACCTTCTTAATAAGGAAGACGAGGAAATAAACCGGGAGGTGCCCTCAATGAAGAAGGAAGAGGAAGAAAAGAAGAGGAACGCAGAAAACATTTTCAAGCAAGAGGAGCAAGATTTAAAGAAGGGGGAAAGCGAAGAGACGAAAAGAAAAGAAGAAGAGATCGTTAGACTGAGACGAGACGAAGAAGAGGCTTCAAAGAAACAGGTGGAGGAAGAAGGAAAGAACAAGGAAGTAGAGGAAACTGCGATGAAGCAAAAGCAGAAAAAAGATGCTGAGAGCAAACGAAAAGAGGAAGTTGAATTGAGACGAAAAGAAGAAGAGATTGCGAAAATGGAGGAAGAAGAGATTGAAAGGAAACGAAAGGAGGAAGAAGATGCTGAGAGTAAACGAAAAGAGGAAGTTGAATTGAGACGAAAAGAAGAAGAGATTGCAAAAATGGAGGAAGAAGAGATTGAAAGGAAAAGAAAGGAGGAAGAAGATGCTGAAAGTAAACGAAAAGAGGAAGTTGAATTACGACGAAAAGAAAGGAAAGTTACCAAGATGAAGAAAGAGGAGGCAGAGACTGATAAGAAGCAAAAGGATGGAGAGATTGCCGGGATAAAGAAAGAGAAGGGCGAAGTAGAAAAAAGACAACATAAAGAGGAGGAAGATGAGAGGTTAGCTAGCCATAAGGCAGACAAAGAAGAACCAATAACAAAGACAAAGAAAGATGATATGGAAGGTAAAGAAGGCAGCATGAATAAAACGGATGGAAAAGGATATAAAAAAGAGAGTAAAGAAGGGAAGGATGAAAAGAAGAGGAAATTAGTACCAACGAAGGACCAAGCGGAAAACGGAATGAAAACGAAGCCAGTCGGAGATGTTGAATTAAAGCCCGAATCAGAAACATCTCAGAAGAAGAATATCAGGGGCGTAACAGAACAAACAAAAGACACAGGACAAGGGGAAGAAATCAAAACGGTCCTAGAAACCGATTCCGAAATAAAGAGGGTAGTTGGAGAATTTAATAGGGGAGAAAAAGATAGTGAAGAAAATAAAGTGGATGTTAGAGTAGGTGACACAGCTGAGTCACTCACTGACGAGAAGAGAGAAAAAGGAAAGAATAAAGTGGAGAAATCCGACGAAATACAAACTTTAGATAAAGATAAAAGGAGAAGGGGAAGTAGATCGACTTGGAAGGATGACAATAAGGACGGTGAAAAGCTAGTAGGTCAAATCACAGTGGAAAATGAAGTGGATAGAACAAAGCAAACGCTGGAAAAAGAAGATAAGTTAGATGACCAAAATCAGAAGGAAGTAATCACTAGTGAAGCAGAAGAATTCCCGGAACACCATGATGAAAAAGACAAGAATAAGACTGAGACAGTGAAAGCAGTACACAGTCAAATTACAATAGATTTCGACAATTCAGAAAGCACAACATCTCGAAATAAACAAACTTTAATTGATCAGGTAACGATCAGTGGATTAGAACTTAAATCAGTTAAAAAGGATAAAAAGAAGGAGAAAGATGGCGAGACTGGCCACGAGACTAAAAAGAAGAAGAAAAGTGACGGGAAGATAGGAATGGATAATACTGAATCGATTGTTAGTACAGAATATCCAACAGAAAATCATGTGAACAACAAACCAGAATCATTTAAGGATTATCAACAAATTAATACAGAATCATTTCAGAAGCCACAACGTCGAGAAAGTAAGGCAAAGAAGCATGGGAAAGATACAAAGAAGAATAGATCAGTTGCTGATACTACTACTACTACTACTACAGGAAATGATGAAGATCTAGCTAAAGATTACATAAAAAACAAGGAGGAAAACGAACCGAAAACACAGATGAACCTGGTTGGAGTAGAAATTGGCAAAAACAATCAGGAAGTACTTGATACGATGCCAACAACCGATGCTTCACAGAATGAAGCAGAAAATAGAGAAAAACAATGGAAAGAGGAAAAGAAAAAGAAACGAGAAAAATCGAAAAATGTTGATAAGGAAAATGAAGATAATCATGTTAGCACTAGAAGGCAATCAATAGTTGGCGAACAAGATCGAAACAAAATAGAACTGATTGAGGACCAGAAACAAGTAGAAAAACGTAAGAAGCATCGAAAATCAATAACAGAAGTTGGTAAAAATGACGTACAGTGTGAACCATTAAAAGCTGAAGAAAAATATATGGAAACCAACACTATGGATGATGACCAAATTGAAGAAAAGAAAATCAAAGAAGAATATAAGGTTATGGAACTAAAATCCGGTAAGTTTGAAATTCTAACATAATTGTTCTTAAATTTGTACGTTACGGGTGACAGAAAATATGGAAAGTTTAGATCAGCTCACCGAAACAAAGGTTAGGATAAATCCCGTAGGTGTGTAACCAATTAACTTCCATAAGATGTATGATTAAAATGAATTGTAGCTCATAAAATCTAATAGATGTCGGAATGAGTGATATTGATTGTATATTCTCAGCTCAGCAAAGCGGGATTTAACATTAAGAAATTCACTAGAATTCTTTAAGCATCAACAGCCTTATTAATTTAAAATAAATTTCAGTGAACGACGGACATCTAGAAATTCTTCACATTTTATAAAACTGAACCTAATCGGTTAGCCTACCTATGCTATTTCAAATAATTATTATGTAGTCATTATCAAAATTTTAAGAAAAAGTAATCGTTGTAAGATGCCTAGAAAATTTAAGGTATAACTGAGGCTAGTTGTTACACACCACGATAACGACTAAAGCAAGGTATTAAAAGAAGTCATCAGAATTCGACTTGTTTACCGTCATGACTTGCGATGTTAATCGATATCACGTGCCAAACTCATCAATCAGAATTTTGACTATGGATTTTCATATTCCGTATTTACTATTTCATTCATACCTTAGGGTTCTAGACTCGACTCACCGTACGTTCCGAACAACACAGTGAACCTTGAACAAATGCAAACTACAGTCCTACTAGTCTGCATATCCGCGAGATTTTCTCTATCTTCTACCTTGAGTCCAAACAAATGTCAGTAGTCAGCTCCTACTATATGTACACTTCAATGAACATAGTCCAGCAGATAACTACCTTATCGTGCGATTGAGATGCGCACTTCTGAGGAGTCCTATACTAGGACGAAACAGCCATCCAGTGCTTCCACGTTTTCAATGATGGTCTAGCATCAATCGGTTCATGATCTCAAGTGAAAACTCAATAATCTCCATAACCCCATACTGACATTTGGATATCTTGTCATATGTCATTGTTTTCCACCAAAATAAAAAATCATAGTAAACAAAACATGATCAAATTTGAACAATACAGTAGATTTGTTTAATTTCATAGTTAAATTATTTAACTATACATCACAAAGTTTTATTCTTTTTTTATTTTACAATGGATCCTAAAAAATTTTATCATAAACTTATCTAGTTCGATAAAAGTTGAAGTTGGACATTAACACGGTTGGATACTAGCTCATTAGTCCACAGGTTAAGCGTTCATGCGAGAGACCGATAGGTCTTAAATTCACGAATTTGGATCGTGGATACGCACTGCTGAGGAGTCTCACAATAGGACCAAACGGCCGTCCAGTGCTCTCAGGTTTTCCATGATGATGTAGTTTCAATTGACTCATGATTTCATCTATTGAAATTACTAAAATCTCCACAAAACCCCTTCTCATAATGATGATCATCGTATGCGCACTAATGACTGGCTTCAAGATGTATTTCCTGGAGTTCTAGTGAGAAGGCGTAACCAATGAAATTCAACCAGGTCTGTTGTGAGATATTAACGCACTAAAGACAATGATGGACGTGTGGCTCAATTTCGTGGATTAATTAAAGTTATACATTAACACTGTTGTATGCCAGCTCAGTGGTCTACAGGTTAAACATTCATGAGCGAGACCGATAGGTACTAGGTTCAAATCTAGCAAATCGGGATCATGGATGCATACTGCTGAAGTGTTTCACAATTGTACCAAGTTTATCATAATGATCTAGTTTCAATTAATTCCTGATTTTAACTATTACAAATATATTTATTAATTTTTTTTCTAGATTTAAAATTAAATAACAGTGAAAAACAAGATATTCTTAATGACCAATATAAAACAAATGAATATGATACTGTTTATTTATCACCAATAAAAGATCTTGATCATGAAGATGATAATAATAATATTTTTTCTACTGAATTATTATCAAAATATATTTGTAAACAAGGTGAAACATTGAAATTAGCTGTTGAATTAAAAAATAATGTATTTGTTAAATATTTTGAATGGTTAATAAATGAAAAAATGATTGATGTAAGTTATACTTTTTATTTATTTGGTTATTGATTTATTGATTGATAGAAAATGGTATTGCATTATTAGTTTACTTTACTTACTCCTGTTAAAGCCCCTCCCCGGTCAATGATGGCTTTCGTAGTTCTCCATCTTTCCGCCCTATACAATAGAACTGCCTTGACATTTGTAATGCAAATTCTGACCTTGGTGTTGGTTGATAGTTGTTTTGAGTTCCAGATGTACTTCAATTGTAAATATGCTTCTCTTGCTTCGCCGATTCGCGCCTTCACATCTGCATCAGATCCACCTTGTTCATCAATGATGCTGCCCAGATATGTAAAGGTTTTTACATCTTCCAAATCTTCTCCGTCAAGTGTGATTCGATTGATGCATGTTGTGTTGTATTGGAGAATCTTGCTTTTCTCTTTGTGTATATGCAGACCTATTGCTGCTGAGGCTGCTAATGAGTAGCTACATCTTGTAAAAATTAGATCATTGTTCATGTGATTGTCTACTTCAGTATCTATATGAAATATATGAAAAAAATAGAATAAAATAATTTTTTTACGTGCACTATAAGCATAGTGTAGTGAGTGATACTGATGTCGATAGATGTAAATAGTATATATCACTAACTGAAAGTATAATATCTTATGGTAGAAGGTTGAGAAAATCAAAGAGAATAGAATCAGAACAAAGAATGTTTAGTATGAAAAAGAAGGAACAACAAATTTTGAAACAATTGATAACTATTTTGAAGGCCAATATTACTAGTTTCCTAGTGGTGAAAGAAATAATAATAAACACCCTAATTTTGTTCATATAAACCATAAAAGTCTAATTGTTTCAGCCTTTATTTTGATTGGTAAAGTATATCATTTATCTTCTTTGGTTTTCTTATAAGGTCTGTCTTGAACATATTCTTCACTTCCTGATATAATCACATAATGAGTGTTATGAGTGGTGCCTTCGTCATGACAGTTCTCTCAACTTTATTTGACTAATTCAAGGTGTTTAATTCACTCTTAATTATATTAGAAATGTAGAGTTTTCAATGAAATAAAAATGATTATTTATTTATTAAACCATCTCTTCAACAAATTTAACTTTGATGATAACCCTGCAGACATCAAAATCAAATTCAAGAAGATTTCCGAATAAATTAATTTTTAATCACTGAGATTTTTTTGAAATGTAACTTAAAACCTAATGAATTATTTTAGTTTGTTTAGTATTAACGTGTAGTTATAACTATAATTATGTATATTAGCAAATATTATGTTATCAGTATAGGGGTTGTGAAGATTGTTAAGTTTTTGATTAAGATTATGAACCGATTGATGTTTGACACTAACACCCTTGAATGCCGGCTCAGTCACTCAGTAGGTTAAGCGTTAGCTCGCGAGACTGAAAGCCCTGGGTTCAAATCCCGTGAGCGGGATTGTGGATACACATTGCTGGGGAGTCTCACAATAGAACAAAACGGCTGTCCAGTGCACTCAGGTTTCCAACAGTGGTCTAACATCAATCGGTTTATGATCTCAATCAAAAATATGATATTATTTGCTTGATTTGATAAACACAAATATCTTCACTTACAATTTACTACTTAGAATACTACTGATATTCAAGATGACTTTTATTTCAATTCATGATTGTTTGAATTCCACTATTAAATATTATTCGATTGTGATAAGTGGAATATATTCATTATGTCAAACTAATGTTATTCAAAGTATCTCTTTGTCTAACTAATCAATGTTTTCTAACTTTTCCGAATGCTATTTTATTGATAAAAAGTGTAATATACAGGAGAAATATGAGTTCTTCCATTTCTTATTTGTATTCGGCGGCCTGCTTGATCATCTGGGCTACCTGTTCCTGCCATCTAGATATTTCAACAAGTTATCTATTTTTGTTTGTTTTAATATATCATTATGTTTATTAATCGCACAACCTATTCTGCTGCGTTTCTGAAAAGTGTACAACCTTTCGTTGTCAAAGTTACAAAAAACTCAATAAGAGACAATGTGGTTGCTGGCAATATACAACGGAAAGAATGCACATTATTCAGATGTTCATTTAGTGAACTGCTAACATCTAACTGGCGATCACTCAATATTTATCGCCAGGACCGACGAAGAAGAAAGAAACGGAAACTTGTTGAAATACTTTACGCTGAGAATTCTATGTTGTACCAAAAATATAATATTGAATAAAGCTGATAATAATAATAATTATTATTATTGTTACTTTGTTTGATAGTCTATCAAGTGTAGAATTTGCTTATTTGTCATGCGAAGTTAAGAATATAGTCTGATCAAATTATCTAACTGAATAAGTCTATTATATTTCGGTTATCTAACTATATGCAAGCTTAATTTCTCTTTAAACGACTTGATTATTTAATTATTTTTAAACCGTAATCATAATCTAAAGAAAAATTGTGATCGCTGTTTGTATAATGAATCAACACACCGGTATTCAGTTATTACTCGCAAAAATAAACTAAATATGATTCAAATGTACATAAATCTCACTAAACAGGACATTTATTCTAAATTATCAAAATTATGTTTGTTTGTTTTTTTATATTGGCAGCCTGAATCAACTGCCGATTTTGTTGTATGGCAAACTGGTAATTGGATTGCATTGACAATACCAAATGTTAGACCAGATTTAACTGGAACTTATAAACTACGTGTTGTTACTCCATCTGGTGAATATTATACAACAGGTGATCTGTCAGTGAATGGACAAAAACTACAAACGAAACCATATATCCCATCGTAAGTTTATTACTACTGACTTTACTGACTTTCTATCTTTATTATTAATAATAATATTAGTAGTAATAAAGCAGTTATGTAAAGAACAGAATAGAAATGAAAATTATTTGAACATATATAATTGTATTTAACATGATATAAGTATACAACCAACATGCATTTATTGTTCCGTTTTTTTATGAATATTCGTGCTCTTTTTATAAAAAGTCGCGTTCGAACGCCCAAGATCTAGACTACTGAGTCGGCATCCATCGGTGTTAATGACTAAATTTAACCAATCTATGAAATGGAGCGACCATTTTTCATTGTACTGAGGTAGATACCTGTCTCTACCCGACACGGATTAGCTCCACTGGTTACGGCTTCTCACCAGAACTCTGAGAACCTCCTGACGAAACTAGTCACTAGTGAGCACATGGTAGTTATCAGAATAGGGTTATGAAGATGAATAAGTTTTTGATTGAGATCATGAACCGATTGAAGATAGACCACCATTGAAAACCTGGAAGAACTGGATGGCTGTTCGCGCGCAAGACTGAAGTTCCTTGGTTCGAATCCTGCAAACGACGAAACGGCCGTCCAATGCTTCTAGGTTTTATATGGGTATCTAACATCAATTGTTTCATGATCTTAATCAAAGACTTAATTAATTTTACCTACTTAACATTTTATAGTTGGTTTATTTGATAAATTAAATGGTTTATTTTTCGGTTGTTAATCTAAGTAAATAAAATGTTAATTATATAAATGATTAACATTTTATTTAAGCGGTAAATGAACTTACTTTTAGTTTTCAGTGATAAGGTCATAAGTTAATAGGCATTAAATGATTCTGTTATGAACCCAATAAAGTGAAATGCCGAAAAAATCAGTTATAAACAAAATTGAAATTTCATGCAAATATATTACTGACAAGAAAAAATTCAATTAATTCTGTAATAAAGTTTGAACTAAATCTATACAAAAGGAATGTTTAAGAATTGATTAGGGTAGAAAAGTATCATTATCAATGATGAATTTGAAAAAAATATAGTGGATATGTCATTCGATTTCGTGGATTAGTTGAAGTTAGACATTAACACAGATGGATGCCAGCTCAGTGGTCTACAGGTTAAGAGTTTATGCGCGAGACTAATAGGATCTGGGTCGCAATCTCACGAATCGGGATCGTGCATGCTCACTACTGAAGAGTCCCAAAATAGGACCAAAACCAATGCTTCCAGGTTTTCTATGCTTGTCTAGTTTCAGTTGACCCATGATCTCAACTATCAAAAAAATTTGTTAACAATTTTCAGTAAAGCTATAGAATATATAACAACGTCGAAAAGGGAAATTTTTATTTTAAAAACAACTAAGTAATAAATCAGTTTCTTGATAGTTTCTCAGTCCTTCCGTTTGTTATAGGAGGTCAGTTTGAAATCTTTCTGGCATTAAAATTAACATTCTAATATATATATATATATATATATATATATATATATATATATATATATATATATATATATATATATATATATATATATATATATATATATATATATTAAGCGACAAGCGTCATTAAGCAGAGATGTATGGTGAGCGTTAACTCTGAAATCCAGGTACATTCAACTAAAGAGTTCCAAATAGGGTTCTACTGCTAGCCATCTCTGCTTAATATTCTTAAAAATATCATTTGACCATACAGAGATGAACAATCAAAAATAAAGGATTTGAATAAATAAATTTCTTACATTCACATGTGATTTATGCATAAATGTTTTGCTTTTTTGTCAGTGTTCAAAACCAACAATTAGATAACTATAAAATGAATTTTTAAATTTTCCAGCTCTACTTATAAAAACATTGTATGTTGTGGCTTGTTAATAATGAATTATGTTAGAATATGATCCTTATTGAATGGTATCGGTTATCATCATTTAGACATAATACCGACCATAACATGTACTATTTATATCTAATCTCAAATACAACATAATATGCATGTATTGTTCACTTATCAACAAATCATAACACACATTCATATTCAGTTAATTATAAGCAACAATAATCTTTTCATTTCATTGTGTAGTACTACTTCTCCAAATTCATTTTTCTGCATTTCATTCGTCTTGTTTTTTTTATAGACAAGTAGAAGGACTTAAACCATTATTTACCAAGAAACTTCAAGATTACACCGCTGAAGTGAATGAAACGGTTAGATTTAGTGGACGTTTAGTAGCTGAGCCACCTGCCACAATTATTTGGTAATGTCATAATTTTTTTCTACATTTTAGAATTTATTTCTAATATTGAGAATGTATGTATCATTACCAAGGTTTGACTTGATAGGTTCGAATAAATTGAGCATTGGGTAGATTGTTATAAATAAATTAATATACCAGTAATATCACAATAAGTAGAAAAATTAGATTTCCTGGTGTTTCGTGACTCAGTGTAAGTCACTTCTTCAGAGAATAGATAAATAACCAAATCAAAATTAATCCAAGTTTAAATAGTGCAACGGAACAATGAGAATTTTATATGATTAACCAAAGAACAAGTCTGAATAAATCAATGTTATGTCATTTAGGTCAAGGTGATTCATAAGCGACATGTTTGTTAATCTGTGTGTGTGTGTGCACTGTTGTGGATGAAAAATGTATGACCTTTATGGTGAGAAAGGATAGGGTTTAATTAGTAAGATAATAGTGTGAATTGTGAATAATATCAGACTAGGTGACTAGGATAGATAGTCCAAGTAGGATGTATGGTAAGGCCTTCTTTTCTATTGAGAGAAGTAGGATTAAGCATTATATAGAATTCTTCAGCTACCCTCCTTTCATTGTAATTGGAAAAACCTTTTTGTAATACTTTGATATTTTTGAAATCGATTTGGTGGTCGTTGAAAATGGCATGAAGCGGCTTACAGTGAGTTATGAAACGTCAGAAAATCTAGTTTTTCTACTCATTGGGATATTACAAATATATTATTTATTTATTAAGAAAGCATGTTACGAGAACAATAACTTGAAATTATCCGTTTAAGTACAAATATCAACTTATTATATAAGCAAACGAAATATACAAAAAATTTCAGTAACTATGTTAATCTGTATTGGGTATGTATATTTATGTATGTTTGGATACTTGTTTAGATTTTGAATGATATTCAATATCTATCATATGTCTCTCAAAAAGTTTCGAATATTATCTATTAACCTACTGAATAAACAGGTTTCATCAAGGAACATAATTTCACATTAATGAATTAACCAGTTTCTGACGGATTAAGATCTTTTATTCAATTATGTGATCAGAATGGATGTTTTAGTGAAATGCTTTATGTTCAAGTAAATTAAAATTACCTTATCTCAATATCTTTTAGATTAACTGATTTTCATGTACCACAAAGTAGTATGTAAGGCTAATCGTTTTTTTAACGAAATTACTTAATCGGAATAATGGTCATTTCTTATACATAATGATTACAGTCATAGACGTTGCCCACAAACCCAATTTTCATAGAATCTTACAAATAATTCACAATCAGATTGCTTAAAATCGATCATTAAAATATGTCGTAATGATTATTAGTTATTCTTTTACTAATTAACCGTGTTCTCTGTCAATAATCTTTGTGAATTATTGTGATGAAGTAAATTCATTCACAAGCTTTAAAATCCAACTTTTGTAAGTTAACTTGCTTCCGACTACTTAAGACAATTTTTTCCATAAAACTTTGAAAGCATCACTTAGATACAGTCGTTACTTCCACGAATGACCGATGGGCAATACCAGATATCACTGTCTGTTAACTCTTTCTGATAGTCTCAAGCCCCCGTAAAGGAGAAGGGTTGAGTATAGGGCTAACAATCCCACCACTTAGAAAGGAAACATTACATAAAGACACTAACCAAAGAACAGCGATCGAACCAGTGGTACAGAATACTTACTGATGAGACTGGGATTACATCTTTTATCTTAGAATATTGTAAGACTGTTTTGACTTCAGATATCTTTGTTAAACACTTCCCATATGGTTTTTGTATCATTTAGTGCAATCAATCAAAATACAGGTCTGACCAAGTTAATGTCATGTCAATCCGGTCAAAACGATTCATGTGAGACATGTTTATGTATTTGTGAACGCGGTAATAGATGAAAAATGTGGCATCTGAAATGTGAAAGAATAGAACTTTTTCAGTTTGGGGTTGTGGAGATTGCCGATCAGTTAAGGTTACCAGGGACAGTGTTAATGTAACATATCTGCAGGTAGAGAGGTTTAATTAGTGGGCTCAGTAATAAAAACAAATAAACACTTAAAGCTGCCATAATCTCATTTGTGAACTGTGATATACTAATGTGTGTAAGCACATTTAAGGCGTTTTCAGAGGAGGAGTAAGCATCAGGGGAGCTAATAAAGGTTGGGAGTGGTTTTGTTTCATGGTCAGATTGTGATAAATTATTCTACAGTTCCAAAATCTTGGTAAAGTATGTAGAGATAGGATTTAGAATGAAATTGTTTCACTGACAAACGGTTATGAATGCTATAACTATCAGGTTTTTGCATATTGAATTGCTTCATAGGATGCAAAAGATAGTACATTAGGTACTTCAACGAAAAGGATTAGATTCACTTCAAGTTTTTACTCCCACAAAAGGTTAAGTCCATGTTTATTATATCTGGACCTATAGTTTAAGATATAATCAATCCCAAGAATGAGAAGTGTCGATCGTTTCTGAAGGGATTCCTTCATGCAAATACTAAAAAGAATGATTGTACAGTATTCTAGGAGCGGTCGAATACATTAAAATACGTAACTCGTTGTTGTAAAGGTTAATAATTATTCAAACCAGAAAACGTTTAAACATGGAAATCTTCTTTGAAGCCTGTTCTGTGGAAGACAAGTTGTCCTAATCTCACTACTGTGCGTGACTTGGATAACACCTTACCATTTATGGCAAGATCTAGGTACAGTGATGTATTACCAAAGTATATCTATCCACATTTAGCCGTGGTAGGCTCCGTCTGCCATTTTGAGCACCTCTAGGCTACCGTTTTGAGCTTCATTTTTAAGAGATTACAAATCTCATCGATAGGCACTCAAATAAAGACAAGTCACACCAAACACAGGTTATGGTGATCGTTTAATTTTATCGCGATCATGTAACGGTTTAAGTTAAACAGCCAATGGAAACCTAGAAGCACTGGACGGCCGTTTCATTCTAGTACGGGACTCCTCAGTAGTGCACAACCACGATTCTGCCATAGAGAATTGAACGCAGGACTTTAAGTTTCATGTTAGGACGCTTAACTTCTACAGTAGTAAGTTAGGATTCATTATTGTACACATCTGATCTCAATCAGTCCAAAATAATAAGTGGTTATTTCCCGTTGTCTTTAGTGGATACTCTCCTCACACTTGACATGATTAAACTTCACTAGCCATGACTTCTCTCTAGAACTTCGTAAATCATCTCTCAAAGTTAGTTATTAGTGAGTACATGATAATTATCAATATGGATTGTATATCTAACTTAGATTAGCTCGCGTTTTCAATACAAGAAGACTGCTTACTTGTTTATCTATCAGAATAAGTAACAAATCAAAATTCTTTAATATAAACAAACAAACTATTTGTATATTATTGATTTTTAGCCATTCTAAGCTTCTCTGCAATATAGTGGTTACAAAAAAACGAATTAAAGTTTACACATAATTAAGGAAGATCAAACTACATTGAAACAAGTACTATATTCTACTTCATAATCAATAATTTAGAAACTTAATGAAGGTACTCAATAAATCTTTAATATCATAATTCATTTTCACTTTTGTTATGATTTATTATAGGAAACATAATGGTATTCAAATTGAAAACAACAAAAGAATTGAAATCTATAATGATAATATTAATCCATTACTTATTATACAGAATGTAAAAGATGAAGATTATGGTGAATATACATGTTCTGCATCAAATGTACTTGGTCAAACTGAAACAAAAGCAGTTTTATATATACAAAGTAAGTTAGCTACAAACAATTTGACAATATATTTTTTCAATAATTGAAATCACGGGTCCATTGAAGCTAGACCACCACGGAAAACCTTAAAGCACTGGACGGCCGTTTCGTACTAGTTAGACATTAACAAATTTGGATGCCGGCTCAGTGGTCTATTAGTTAAGCTCTCGTGTGCGAGACTGATAGGTTCTGGGTTTGAATCTCGCGGAGGGCGGGATCGTGGGTGTGCACTGCTGAGGATTTCTATACTAGGACGAGACGGTCTTCCAGTGCTTTCAGGTTTTACATGGTGATCTAGATTCAATTGACTCATGATTTCAACTATTGAAATTTCTAAAGTCTCCACAAAACCTTTTTTGATAACATATTTTCTCTCTAATCTTTATAATTAAATATGAATTTACTTAGTTTAATATTGATCATTGTTTATTCACGTTATTTAATGATTTAATCGTTGAAATCATGATTCAATTGAAGCTAGACCACCATGAAAAACCTGGAACCTTAATTAGTAAACTTGTTTTTGTATTATAATAATGTTAGAATTTATGAATAGGATATATTACATCTTTAATTTTATTAACTAAATGAAAAAACATCATTAGTAAATTAATAAAAAGTCGAGTTTAGAATTTTAATGAATGTCTTACTAGCAGTACATATTAAATTTTCAATCTGTTTTCCGCTTTCTTATTTTATTTGAACATATAAATATTAGTACAAACGGGCACGGAATACATATGCGATACACAAGTCACTTGATTCGTGTGTGGGCTGTGATAGTGCCTGGATACCCAAAACGAAACAGATGGTTTTCTTAGGAGAAGTCGCACTCGGAGCCTTCGACCCAAAGGTTTAATCCACAAGGCAGTGGAGCGACGTCAGGAGATTCGGGCCCATTGTAGCTGGTGACCAATAATTGGCTCATACGCCATTAGTTCCCTCAGGATGCTGGAGCCCATGAGCACCACTGGTTTGGAATGAGGGTTTTCCAACCGCCCTATCTGGATCCTCCATATTCACTAACTCGGTTTAAGCTCCGGACATTCGCTTTTCGTCCTCTCAGTTTTGTAAATAACATCGGTGCCGCAAGAAGGCAGTGAGTAAGACTTCCTTGGCAGTGTCTGTATACGCGTGACCATGTGAGAGCATTTCGAGAGGGGGGATGAATCTCCTCACCCTCGACCGTACCAGGGCATTCAGCGGCCCTCCTTTTTCTAGTCCAAATGAAGTGATCTGTGGAAAATACAAAACGTTTAATTTATATTTTTTTTAAATAAGCTTAGAAAGTAAAATATATTCTCGTTTTTATAAATGGAACACATTAAATGCAGAAACATTTAGAATAATGAATTTTAAAAAATTCCAGTTATGACTCTTTAGGCTTAAAAAATAATTGATCAGTTAATTAGATCAAGTAAATTTATGTGCACAAAGAAACGTTAAATAACAACTAAGTAAAACAACATGATAAAAGTGACAGTAGAATTAAAGAAAGTCTTTTATAGCTAGAAAACAAACTATTAATGGTTCATGAACATATCAAATTATCTTGAGACTTTGTAGTAGACAATCGTAAGACAATCCGAAGTATCATGTAATACAAAGTTCGGAACATTTCTAATGATTCATTCAAATGACTGGATGTATTAATTAGAAGCAAAGTTACGGAGCTGACAGCTAAATAAAAAAACAGGATTTGTAAGATACATCATGTTCTTACGAAGAAAGTTGATTTATTGAGCAAAAGAACGATATTTAACCTTAACTATGCATAATTTATGATACTCTAAGTGTTAATATTTCTATTAGGTTACACTATAAAATACGTCAGTTTTAATTAGCTTCAGTATTATTTATTAACAATCGTCAAATGCGATCCTTACACGCATATATGCATACATCTGTAGATGTTTCAATATCATAACAGTTATAAAGCTTCATTTTCTCATAAACTAAACAAACTAACTGAGTACCATTATTGGACGTTCATGAAAAATAGCAGCTTATAAAAAACTTTAATCGACAAATATAAACACCTATAAAAAATACTATAACAACAATGTAAGCAGTAATCCTTCTATATGTCAAATAACACTACACAAGAAAATTGATTTGTTGAATAGATCACATTTTGCAGCTTTCATATAAACAGTAGATTATAGTTAAACAAGACCATGTTATTGGCTAATAATTGTTACTAATAGATATTTAGTCTCAACTTATTTCATTCACAACTTATTGTTACTTCTTTCGAATTAAAATTTAGGTACTTTATATGAACCCAATAGTTACGAGCATGATACAACTGAACCGTACGAGTCTACTGCTAGACCAACACGGTGTTCAGGTAATGTTAGTTTGAGATGTATTCTTGATTTTTAGATCATAAAAAACTTCCTTCATTTAATTTCAATACACTTTAGTGTCACTCATAAGTTAAATAGTTTTTCATTGCCTTACACATACTCCAGGATCTTCTGTGAGATCATTCAATTCACTGGAGAAAATGTAAATTACTGATGCAATTTGTAACGAATTTAAAAAATTAAATCTATTCGAGTGTGACCCTACAAAGAGCCTTCTCTTAGTCTCTTCACATTTCCGTTTGTCATTGGACTCTTTAGAGTTTATTAAAATACTATCCTCTTCTTCATAATTTGGCGTGGCATACAAATCCACGTTCGTTCGATAGTTGTCAATATTTGTCTGTTGGATTCCTGCCATTGCTTCATCCATTTATGGTGCCTGAGACATCGTTCCATAAACCAATCGATGCGTGAATTTATCAACAGCACTATGTTATTTTTCAGACATACGCCGAACTAAGAGTACAGTATTTTTGGATGCTTGGCTGTCCAAGTTAAAAAAGGAAAATAGTTGTCAATAGCGACGCTAGTGAGGTTGTTGATGGAGTTTCGGAGAGCCTGTAAGTGCCTGTGGCGTCAACAGTCGTGAACACGTCGACTGATGTAATGAAGCCGTATATTAAATTTGTATGTTGGAGAAGTGATCGTAGAGCACCTAATAGATCTTCACAGCCGATTAGAGATCCAACACAACAATTTGATACCAAAATAAATTTTCATTATTGGTTTTATGTAGGTCCCATGAAACCAACAATATCAAGAAGACGATGTCAAATTCATCTGTGATAGGCAATTACGAAGAAAAAGTACCGAGGATCATTTTCGTCATCAATTTCATACTCACAAAACCCACCAAGTGACATGGTGTGAGCTTTCAGTTTGGCGTAATCACCTACCATTTATAGTATAAATAGACACATTGCTTATCTGGAAGGTGGCCTGCGAGAACAGTTTGTGGCGCATGTTAAAAACATCTTGAGGATTCACGCGCTTCCCATACGACTGGTAAACGAAGTTCACAATATTGAATGCTTCTGTCGCCAAAATCAGCAGAAATCGCGTTGTTGTAGATTCCGCATCCGTTAACCTGCGCATCCAAGAAATGTTGTAGTACCTCAGGAACTTGCACTCACAACTGTGATGCACATTCCCACGAACAACAGTCAAGTAGCCTTCATTAAATTTACAATATATGAAAGCCGGACATTGAACAATATAATAACACTATTCAATTTCCCTCCTTCATTTAATCGGCTGTGAAGATCCTCTAGGTGCTCTACGATCACTTCTCCAACATACAAATTTAATATACGGTTTCTGTCTTTTTTATCGAAATGAGAATCGCGAACTGCATAACGTTAGTTGGGCGCCTTTCCATTATTTCTGATGGCGCTGTTGGATGCTACCAGATACAACGTATTCAAGAACATTCTATCCGTATCTGTAAAACGTTCGTACTATTGTACGTTGGTGCGTTATTTATTTAAGAGAAAAGGTGAACAATCGAGAAATATTTACTTTATATATCGATTTTTCAAAATAACTAACCAATACTTATCATTTTCAAACAAATCATTTAATTGGATGAAATGGGATGGAAACATTTTTATTTAAAAATATACAAAAACAACCTTTCGATCAATGATATTCGATAGGTTTACTTTTTATGATAAGAATTCATGCTTGAATTCATGTTTCATCATGAGAAATAGGTCAATAACTGGAATATATCGATGCTAAAATAAAATTCATAAAAACTAGAAGATTACGTAATAAGAAGTGTTTAAATAGTTGGACAATGAAGCGTATATTTGAAATAAGTGTGGGATGGGTTGAAGAAAAATAAGAGAAACAAAGAGTATGGAAAAATAATAATAAATAAAATCTTTTATTAAAGCTTATTTGTCCAAGGAAGAGATGGTGTTACAATTTCTTATATATACAAAGACTTGGATTGTATATATATATATATATATATATATATATATATATATATATATATATCAGAAGGGGGTTTTGTGGATATTATAGTATTATAGTTGAGATTATTAGTCAACTGAAGCAAGACCACCATGGTCCAGTGCTTCCAGGTTTTCCATGGTGGTCTAGCTCCAATTGATTCATGATCTCAACTACTAAATTATATATATATATATATATATATATGTATATATATATATATATATATATATATATATATATATATTTGACTTAAAAACTTTCTCAATTAATTCTATTAAATATATAGTTGATTTACTCATGCAATGAATATGACAGTTAACGACATTTTACCTACTGGTTACTCTTTGTTCCAGTTTTGCCGTCAAGAGTAAGTAATATTGAACTAATTGAAGTAAACGATGATGGTTTCAAGATTGCCTGGGATCCACTAAATGAACAAGTGACATATAATGTGGAAATTAGTAATGATGCAGGTAGATGGTGGAAACCTGTACTAACCAACTTACACGAAGTTTCAGCTTACATCTCAAACGACATTGCGTGTCCTTTGAATCCTGTACAAGTAAGGATAGTAGCTGAAAATGAATTTGGCCTTGGACCACCTTGTTTCCCGGTACTTCGTTTACCTATACGAGCATGTCTTCCTCACATGCAAGCAGTTAAACCAGAAGTTGAATCTGAAGAAGCAACGGCTATTAAAATTCGATGGTGTCCAGCAGTGCCTGCACTTACACCAAACCAACTGCACAAGAATGTTATGTTAAATCCATCGCAATTACTTGGTAAAGTAACTTACGCAGTTGAGATTAGGGAAGGATCTCAATCAGAATGGTGTAGAGTGGCAAGTGATATACCTTTTCGATCCTACACTTGTCACTTACGACCTGGCATCAGCTCTGCTATACGTATTGTTGCGAAAAATAGATATGGCGAGTCCTGTCCCACTCCAATGGCAATAGTCCAACTCGATCCTAATTCATTAGTTCCGGATTTATCACTAGATCCTCCATGGATAGCAATAAGCCACCCAGGAGATAACATGACAGTAAAGAAAAGTAATATTCGACTCCTATGGAAACCTGCATACATGCCAGAGTTCTGTACCAGTTGTATAAAAGGACTAAAACCTTTGTATCGAGTTGAATGGAGGCGTGGATTATCTGGACATTGGGTTGATTTGGCTTGTGGCATTAGTGAATGTGAGACGGGTTATCCTCTCCCAAGAGATCTTGTAGAATCCGTGATTAGAGACACTCATATGGGAAATGACTTGTCTTTTAACACTGCCAATTCTAATAGTTCCATTGAATTTCGGATATTTTCTTACAATGATTTCGGTGAAAGTGGTCCGACTAAAAGCTACAGATTGAAAGCATCTCAGATATCTAGAGGTCAAGACTGTCGAAAAAATAGTCAGATATCAGATAAAATAAATGACAGGGATCAATACGACCACCTAAGTCTTTTGGATAAGCTGCCGATTATTTCATCCAGTAAGATACCAAGACGAGAGGTTCAAATGATGTCAGTCGATCCCAAACTGGGTGTCACGCTCAAGTGGGATCGTTGTACAAGTTCAGATATAAATAAAAGTTCTGATGATCACTATAACTTACATGGTCGCTATCGAATTCAACGTAAAACTTCAAATGACGCTGACAGTAATTCCTCACCTGATATGTCTAACTGGACAGTAGTTTGTAGAGAAGACGATCTAATTCATGGTGAACAATATGTTCTTGATGTGAAACCGGGTAAAATAGAACAGTTTGTTAGGATTCTTAGTTTACAAGAAGATAAAGAAGGCAATTTAAATTGGTTGGATACCCATGAAATTCTTCGTATACCAGCGTTACATGAAATCTGCCCTCCAGCACCATTAGATATAGAGGTAAAATTGACACCCCCAGTTGAAACATCAGGTTCCGCAGGAGTTCGTGTCACCTGGAAACCTCCCAACTTTGAACTTCCATTGAACGACAATTATTTAAGACAGATTAAAAATCATGCTCAAATCGACTATAGAATAGAAGCTCGTACAACATTGAGTGACTTAGCACCTTGGAGACAGATTGGTATTGTATCTGGGTTATTAGGCAGTATAGATGACCATAAAGCTGAACCCGGTTCACAACTTATTTATCGAATAACACCTATTAACCAATTTGGTGAAGGTCCAAGTTCAAGTTCTTATCCAATCAAACTTCCACTTTTGTTAACAACTTTAGAAAGGTTAGTTAAAGTTTAGTTCATCCAGTTTTTCTAACAATTTTAAATTAGTTCAGCTTTTTACTAATTCGTAGATGATAAATTATATTTGTCTTTCATGGTGTACATTACATAAACAACCATTGGAAATCAGGAAGCACTGAACATCTACTTTGCACTATAATGATGCTCCTTACCAATGTATATAAAGGACCTTACCCGGTATCAAACTCAGGATATTCGGGTCTCATGGCACGTGTTTAACCACTAAACTAAAGAGCTTGCATCCAGTTATTTAAACTTCTAGTTTTTGTCGATTCGCAACAATCCTCGATCAACATCCATTGGAATAGGTAATATGTGTCTCACGCTCGGTATGGCAATAAATGATGATCGTAAAATATCACCAGGAAAATAAAACAAAAAATGGAAACTATCGGAACCTACCACTTAGACCTAAAAATTATGCGCTCCGTGTGAGATCTGAATGCTCCACCTTTGGTCCCAGGTAGGATCGTGGATATTCATTGTTGACCATTCTTATCTAGGACGATAGAAGGGTGCTCATTGCTTTCTGATTCTCAATAAATGTCTAATTAAGGCCATTTATTGATGTATACCATGAAATCCGACAATCGTTATGTAATTAATGTTACTTATGTTGACAGATATAAGTAGTATGTAGTACCAATCGGAAGTGAAACGCCTGCTAGCAGAAGATTGAAATGAAAAGAGGAGAGAATAAAACTGAAAGTAATCGAAATAACAACAGGAATAAAGAAACGATTAAGTTTGTAGGAGACAACTGATGGATGTGCAAATGATGTATTTTATGTATAATTTTCATATTTTATGAAGGCACTCTGTAATCTTGCATCAAACAATAAATTGATTTTAGCCACCTGAATTCTTCATGCACTGAGATTATACACCGTTTCAGTAATAAAAATAAGGGTCAAATAAAGATCTCTGTAAACCCATCTTTTACAGTTGAGATTCAAATAATATAGTTATTCCGGATCTACTCCACCTACCTAACATATAAACATATTCTTTAAAATATTTGATCATTGTTTACTGTACAGTTCGTTTTAGTTAGATGGCCTATTATCGATGTGATTACTTTCTTAACCACCCTTTTATTTATTCTAGATAGGTTAAAATTGTTGCATAACATACGGCATATTAACAATAAATAATCGATAGATACATTGACACATTCGAATACAATTAATTTATCGTAACTTAACCCATGGAAGTTTGGATTTATGAACCAGATATAAATTCTATTTGTGAATTCTTTAAGACCAACTGGCTTAAAAGTTTAAACCGCTAATTCTATAAAATAGTCATAAAAGCTACACTACAGAAATAATAAATTTATTTCAGGTTGCAATACATATAGTTGCTGGTTATACGCCAAAGTTCCCTACATTTAGGCTTTTTTTTAAAAAAAAAATTCAAATGTATTTTGGATACTATAATTTGTCTCTGAATGGGATATAACGTGAAGATGCATAACTTCTATTTAAGTAATCCAGAATATACCATATGAATAACCTAGAATTTCTTGACCAATATAGAAGTTCGATGATCGTTACCTTTGAACAATTCCAAGTACTAATTATTCTTTTGATGTCTGATTTCAATTCCTGACGCAATGTGCTCCTTGGTCTCCCTCTTTTCCTCTTCCCATCAGGATTACAAGTTAGGGCTTTCCTCGTGATGCAGTTTGATGTTTGTCCTATCTACCTTCAGCGTCTTTTCCTAACTTCCTTTTCAGTTGGAAGCGGGTTTGTTCTCTGCCATAGTAAGTTGTTGTTGATCTTTCTCTCTTCGTATTACTAATTTTTGAATGGTTAGAAGTTTCAGTCTGTGTGTGTGTTTAATGGTCGATGCTTTTTATTCGAAACAAGAATAGTTGTGTTGGTCACATCACTAAAGTTCTTCGAGGCGTCCATATGGATAATTTCACCTGGTATTCTCTCTTTAATTTGTGGTCATATACTCGATAATTCGTTAAACGCTTACAGTGTGAACATGAATGGTTTTATTGTCAATATGTTTATTCATATACACTAGCATAATTTACTTTTTTCTGTCTCTGCTTACAATCATAGATGTATTGAAGATTTTCGTTTTCTAATACTTGGATCAAATACAATTCAGTTGCGTTGGCGTTTAGGTGATACAGTGATTGATGCATTAGGATTTCGGAGAAATCCAAATCAGTCATACAATATGACAAGTCATTTAGATACAGATGAATCAGCTGAAATATGTGAACGTGTAAAATTTTCAATTGAAAGACGAGATGGTTATGCTGGTGATTGGTATCCTATTAGAGAACAAATCAATGGAAATCTTCATAACAAAATTATACTATCAAATTTTGAATATTTAGATAAAGAAATTGCTTGTAGAATAATTGCAAATGTGGATGGTCAACAAACTAAACCTAGTCGACCTATCAATATTAGTATTAAGACAGGTAAGTTAATTCTATAAATATATTTCTATTTGTAGTTTTGAGTAATATCTTATTTGCATATAAAGCGATTTGAGTATGGCTGAGGGTGATAAATACAAGAAGTTAATAGTTATACATTTATTTTATTTTGATGAGTATTAGATATATTCAGAATATCTTCTAATAGTTGAATTCATGAGTCGATCTAAGTTAAACCACCATTGGATGACCATCCATTGCTTCCAGGTGTTTAATAATGATCTAGCTTAGGTCAACCATTAAAAAAATACTACCATCTCCACAAATTCCCATTCTGATAATATTCAGAATAGCTTAATAGATTTTTAAAAAATGTTTTTATTGTAAAATGAAATCAAACAGAGAATTTTTGGAAACGAGGGAGTAAAGGTAAGTTCTAACCTCATGGTTTAAAACCAATCATCAGTGAAAAGTCACGATCATAAACGGTATTGAATCTAAGAACACAATATTTTTCATTTTTAAAACATTAGTTTAAAATGTTATTATGCTGTAGGATGATATGCTGAACTAACTTTTAACTAAGCTTCACAGTCTTTTAAAAATAAATATCACAGTAAATGACTTTAAGTTTTAGATTTCTTACTGTATATTTGGGCATGAACTTGATCTGTTGTGAGTACTTTTTGATAACGAATAAAACAGTACACTGTGTTTTGTATAGATAGAATTGGTAACACGATATCAACATCCATTTTAAACTGAGTTTATTTGTAGGCACTCAAATTCCTATTATTATTCGTTAATGTATGTAGAATTCTCAAGAAACCTTACTCTGACGATATTTCAACTTTGGAATAGTTATTTCATATATAATACTTTAAATCAAAGATTATTTTCCGTGTGAATTTTGTATTCATTCAAATTTCTGTATTCTATTTTTTTTCTTATTACCAAACAGACTTCTTAGTTCCAGATTTCTCAGCTTTTAAACCACATTTCAACGTTACATCAGTTGAGGAATATTTGATATCATGGGACGATCCTGATATACAATCATTGTATACAAGTCATATTTTGAATTTATCAATACCACAAGTGTTACAAAAAGATACTACTTATGCAATTCAAGTAATGTGGAAATCTGTAGACTGAGTATTATTTTCAATGTTTCTTTGTGAAGATTATTGAATTTTGTTGTTTGTAACACAGACGTGTTAAGCCGAACATATCCTCGACAACACTACTGACTGAACTTAAAACTTTCATGGCTCGCTGAGAGCACTTGAAACTTAATTACTTACTTACTTATTTACTTACTTACTTACTTATTTACTTACTTACTTGCTTATTTACTTACTTACTTACTTACTTACTTACACCTTTTACCCCTCATCGAGGAGCATAGGCTGCTCATCAGCATTCTCCATTCAACTCTCACCTGGACAATCCTTGTTTTCAGTTTCTTACAGAGTACTATAAATCAAATACATGTTTAGAAAATGAGAGCATACTTCCACCGACTCTTCTGTATAGATTTTTCTATGAAAACATAAATTCGCTTGTTTAATCACCAGAATACCGCTTATAATCTATTGGGATTGTTGAATTTGACTAAATATCGTAAGATTATCGGAACTTATCAATGAATTGGTTAACGAGTTCTCAGTTTCACAAGTCAAATTCTCTTCACTGAACTGCTTCAAAATGTTGATTTGTCTACGATTTGTTCATTATATGCTTCCTCGTGATGTTAATCATGAAAAGATTGTTTGTGTTCAGAAAACAAAAACCAAGTCCACTTATTAGTTCACACGAAATATGTCCAATTACATTGAACTCATTTAAATTTGTACTAATAAGCCACATATGAGTAACATGTATCATGTTGTTTATTCTATAATGTTGGTCAGATCCTATCAATCAAACTGTAAAATAAAGACTAGTTCAAGTAGCAGGCGTACTTAATATGATGTTAGATGATTCAAAGTAGTTTCAATTAGTCCGAGTCGATTAGACTAGTAAACCTTTTTTAAAATGTAAACAGGCAGATGGAATATCGAGATCCCACCACAAATCCCTCAGTAATAAAGTCTTTTACTGTAATATACAGTAAAGTAGGTTTGAATCCTACGAAAAGCATCAGATCCCTTGACATTATAGATATATTTTCTTGGCAAGTGAAAGATAGAACAAAAACTAGCTTCAGACGTTCTTGTGTATCACTTCTGACTATCTAACACCATGAGAATTATATAAGTCACATACTTACCTATCTTTTACCTGGTTAATTTTTAAACATTCATGATAAGTATCAAAATAATTTCGAAACTAATGAATTGTCAGTTATTTAGAACACTTACCATTCAATACAGTGTAGTTTTGTTAGATAAACAGTAAACATTTATCACTATATCAAACCAAAAATTAGAACACTGAACAAAATCCATTCATAAATTTTCCTAATATTTATCAAACACATTCATATATGCACTGTACAAGTCATTTTCCATGTTGTAATGATCGATTTCTCTTATTAACTAATATCGAAGAGATTAGAATTTATGGACGTCCTTTGAACGATTCATAAGTGACCCTGAGAAATTTCGGCCAATCAGGAAACAGTCAGTATAGAGTAAAAATATATTATACAAAACCAAAAAATTAGAGTGAATCAATTCTTTAACATGCTTTAAGAACGGCGAGACTATAATTTTTGGTCGAACTAATCAGATTTAAGATAACAGTAGTTTATAACCCTCATTTAGTTCTAGTTCCGAAGGTCGCTCAAGCGTCGCTCAAATGTCGTCCATAAATTATAGTCTCACCTTAATAACTTTTCGAGGTTAGAAAGTAGCTCTACAGTCTTAAAATCGTAATGCATACGGTACAGGAACATATCCACGTGACTCCATAATAATTGACCTCTAGAGCCATGATAAGGTTGCGAAAATCCTTTGAGCCTCGACCGCATCGCTTCTATATCATTAGTGTGTACTCGCGTAGTAGAGTTTACAAAATATCGCTTGTGGACGATTCACGTAACCAAGTATAGATAGGCATCGATATTCTCTCCAGTTATCCGTGTATATTAAAGTACCAGGCTGCACATACTATAGTATAATTGGTATAATATTTGTAGCTTGTCGGCTGCTCACGCGCTAAAAGACTCCGTTGTGAGATGATGTATCATATATATTAAGAACCTGGTAATCATATCAAACGAAGTGCTACTTAACATGTCTTGTTTAACAATTCTTCCTCCATTGAATATGTGTTTTCTAACGACCGGTTTGTTATTTTCTACAATTCTCCCGATTTTTCCAAACGACTGATGCAAGCTTGTCTTACTGGTTTCTGATTATCTCGTCCATAGATTATAGTCTCACCGTTTTTAACTCTATATCATGATTATACATAGTAATATATGTTCTGTTTTCGTGTGTTATGATATTAATTTTTTTGAGTGTGGTATCATTTCAAGATACGATATTCTTGTATAGAATTCATTTGGATTATGCCCATCATGATAGACAGTATGTGATTTTATTATAATTCCGGGTATTTTCTACATATGTTCGTCTTAATTAATAATCAAAATGAGTGTCCAATCAATATGTAAATGAGTAAAATTTTGACTACGATCGTCGTCATGTTTTAGGTTTAATAAATCTTCACTTGTACTAGTCTTGGTGTTCTTACTTTGCGTTGTGAGAATTTCATTGTTTCCCTTTTCTTTCAAGTATAATAATAAGCGACGCGGATACAACAGTTTGTGAAAATTTAGTTTTAATCATTTTAAGGTTACTTCTGAGTCAATACAGTAGGTGGTTAATATCAATACCTTTGTTACTGTTATCGTTGTTCATGTAACATATTTAGTGCTTAGTTTTAAAATCTATTACTTAGTCATTATTCTGTTGAATGTAGGTAAGATGTATTTTTAAATGATTTTATCTAACATAAGAGTGAATTTAATAATAAGATTAACTAATTCCATTATATGAAGATGTCTCACCTCACACAATAATCAGTGTTGGGTAAAACATATTCAAAACGAAAACTAGGAAATATTTGGTAACTATTTGACCCCAGTTTTAAACCCTTCAATAGAAATCACCCAAGACTCAGTTAGGCATTACAATGAAGCTCACTAACTTGGCATTACATAATTTAACTTGGATAATTCATAATTTCAAATTCACTTAAATCATGAAACGTTAAACGCACTACTGAGAATTTCCAAACTAAATAGAAATAGTACGTCGATACTTTCTAGTTTTCAATGGTTACCTCCATCAGACTTCATTCTATGGTGTTAATCATTTTCATATAAATTCATATCTAATTCACTTATTTAATTAAAGAATGATGATTACCTTGACATTACTCAAAATTTTTCCATTCCCCTGTCTTCATTAAACTTTTGTTTAATCCTTTAATTTAAACTAATTTGTTATTAAGATTCAACGTGAAGGTTCAATTGAATGGACAACAATAGCTTCTAATCTAGATACAAACCAATGGACATGGATCCAACCAAATCCATTGATTGGTTATCATGTTCGTATTCTACCGTCGAATCAATTCGGTTTTGGACATCCAACTAGAAATGTGTTAATACCACCACAAGTTAGTAAGTAATATTAAATTAATTCTACTTCTGTAAAATGTTATGATAAAACTAACTTGTCAATGGAAATTTATTCAGCCTTACCAAAACGTCATATTACTACTCATTCTTTTATTTCATGGAAAAAATTCTAACTGATTTTATTTATAGAATTTAGTGTGGAATTTTACACTAATTTCATCGTTCAAATGGCATGTAGTACATGACTTCTGGGGATCTAAATGTTTGTTCTCAATTTCTTCAAAATGAACGACACAATAATTTAATGAAGTACATTACTTCATATTAGTAAATCTATATAATGGTGTTACTAAGTAAATTACATTACTTCGATTAAAGGCAAGTAGTATTAATGTAGGTTAGTTCAGAATTGAATCTTCTGCAATTAATATCAACCATCACTTATGAAAATCTGAATGCCTACTGATACAATGTTTTTCATTAAAATCAAATTATCACAATTAGTACCTTCATATCCGTTGACCAAGTTAATTATTATTTCGATGATATAATGGGATAAGAAAATGACATTATTTGAGCCAATACTTGATGTATCATTTCAGTATAGATTTTGTTATATATGGCAATTGTGAACTCGTTTAGTGCTCTTTTTAGTGTGACTGTGTGTCGTAGAAACTGCAATGGTTTCCGTTTCCCAGTATAATGGCCGAGTAAATTCAGTTATTCTCGATTTTTAGGTGAAAGCAGTAAGACTGTTGATTCAACATACATGATGTGTACATAAATGAGTCAAACCCCCGGATATAATAGTGGCTATCCGGATGCAACAGTGGTGACGTAGATTTAACTCAGCCGATCACCCAATTACAGCAGTTATAACGCTTAACTCAATAACGTAACAGATAACAAGTCAAGTATCTGAAGTGAAAGTTATTAAGTATCAGCACTTAGACTGATGTACATTCAGCTCGCATGTCTCAAACAGAAAAAAACCTTATGTCTTCTAATGCTGGTCACATATCAAACATACTAAAACTTGCGGAATAAAGACTTATCAAGGTAGTCCGCCCAAGATGACCATAGCAAAAAAGACTGATCGATTGCAGTTCTGAATATGGACAAAAGGAAATTACAAACCGCTATCAGAACTAAGTAAATTCCTAGAATTTCCTGTGTGTTTTCACTTAATGTCAACCCATTTATTCTTAGTTCACTTATAAAAGACAGATATTGATCATTAGAAACTTTCTCCTTTGCTTTAAATTTTAGTTATCCCTGATCTAACATTTATGCGACCATCTGTTGAGTCACCGTCAGATATTTTAATTGGTAGAGTTGCGCCAGAACTTGTATGGCAAATACCAAAATCGTATACTTTAGACAGGACATTTACTCCATACACATTTGAAGTACAAATTAAAGCTGTAGAGAAGTCAATAAATCGTGAAACTAATGATGTGGGCAAGAACTCTGAAAAATCTAAAAGCACAAACAATGAAAACATATGGAGAGTTCTTGCATCTGGTTTAAAACGTAACCGTTTATCACTGGAACATTTAAATCCCGAACAAGAATATTGGTTACGTATAGTTGCTGTTACCGAATATGGTCGTGGTACACCAAGTCAACCTGTACGAAAATTGGCTGATTTAACTGCAAGTAAGTTAAGACTCAACAATCTAACAAAGTGCAAAGGGTGAAACTCAAATAAATGAATAGAAATAATATGAATAACTGTAACCATAATAGTGGTAATAATGATGTAAATAATCTGATTTATCATATTTGACTAGAAAGTTAATAACTTAAAGAACTAACTTTCTGCCCAATACTCAATTTATTCGAAGCTATCAAATCCAACCCTGACAATAATACCAACATACTCTTAAAGTCTTTATGTTAATCAACAATATCAATTATTTTACAAATGTTTCGATAATCATTTCTTTCATTTTTCTTAATTCTCTGGAATAAAAAAAGAACATAGCCGATGTGCATCAGCATCCGTTGGAGTGATACATGAGCCTACACCTAGTGAGTTAATTCATTTGCCGACTGTGTTTATTTATCTCATTTTGATTAGTTTTTTTTAAATTACACTTCTAACGTAAACGATTTTTGGTGAAATAATATTTAAAAGATGTTCAATTTCTGAAATCAGGAGTGTTTGCCTCAAGATATTCAAATTATGGGTTAATAATTTTGGAAAGTGTTCAAATGGTAAATTTCATAAATTGAGAATTTTAGGCTTTTTTTCCCAACCTAAATGACTTCTATCAAGCAAATGTCATAACAGTGAAATGAATTCCTGACTCGAACACACCATAAAAATTACTGAAGTTTAATTTACATTAAGGCGATCTCATGTATTAGGTTTTATCATTGATTTAAAAACTTCATACCTGTTCAGTTGAATTATTTGTGGAGGTAATGTCAGTTTAGAGAAGGTGTTCATTCTGTATAACATTAGGTGGAAAATCAATCCAAATCAAATAAATATAGACAACAGTTTCCTGTTAATTTCAAACTTCTTAGCTATACTCACCTATCTTGAATACTAGAATTAAGTCGAAACATTAAGACCCTATGATAAACACGAAATCATAATACCATTCATTGAGGATCCGATACTCCACTATTTATATGGTCTCATCAATATAGCTAATTGTTTAACTAGTAAATTTAATGTTTATCTGGCATAATAGAATTAAGTTTCTTCATGTTACCATACTCCCACTATATCAACAATGAAAACTTTTATTTTAAGTGAAAGCTGCAAAAGCGTTTTTCTTTTAACCATGTTGATCCCTTAAGTAAAACAGTGAGATCAAATAATTTTTGATTGAATTCCTAATACTACGTACAGTAGGTTATACTTGTACAACCGATTTAAATTTTCCATATAAGTAGTTAACTTGTATTATTATTATTGTCATTATTAGCTTTATTCAATATTATATTTTTGTACAATATAGAATTCTCAGCGCGACGTATTTCAACAAGTTTCCTTTTCTCATTTTTTGATCGATCCTGACGGTAAGTGTTTAGCGATCACCAGCTATATGTCAGCAGTTGTGGAAGTGACATCTGAATGATGTTCGTTCCTTTCAATGTATGTTACCGGCCACGATGATGTCGCTGATTGTACCTTTTCGTAACCTGTACAGCGAAATATCGTAAACTTTTCATAAACGCGCCTGAATAGGTTGTGCGCTCAATAGATATAATGATGTGTTAAAACAAACAAGAAAACAGATAACTTGTTGAAATATCTAGATGGCAGGAACAGGTAGCCCAGATATTCAATCAGGCAGCTACCACAAGTATAATACATAGTGACTAGTGAAACACTACAATATTTTTAGAGGACTTAGTATTCTCATCCCGGTTAGTGCTTGTGACCAAATAAAGAGTATTGTCATTAATTGACACTTTCCGGTCTGTATATACTAAGTTCTGATGAGAATCTTTTAACTACAGTAGATATATAAGGATATAAATAAGTAACGGTTATAAACACAAATAGTGTTTAGAAGAAACATCATTCTATTGTTTTCAATGTAAAATCATTACTTATCTTAATAATAAATAATAATGTTTCTGAAAATACGTTTTTTCTACATTTCAATCTTAAATAAGTATCTATTAGGTAGCACAATATTTGCTTTGAAAGATATAACTAAACAATTGTTTTACATTGTACAGTATATGTCAATGACAACATTATCGTTTATAAAGAGACACCGAATGATACAATGGATATTGAACTGTAACCTATATCTGAAAGTCACTTTATAGATTATTTCTTTTATCAAGACTAAAGAAGAAGTGAATTCGAAAGAAAAAGAAACAATTGTTTAATACATTATAAAAAATCACTTAAGATAGTAAATCATACTTGCTTGTATGTTTCAGTCAAATCTTATTTCAGTGAAAACATGTAATTATCGACTAGTTTTCGAATATGTACATATGTATGTTAACCGAAATGTTGGAAACTGAATGTTAAAAGTAGAATATTATTGATATATTTAAATATTTCTGCTATAAATGTGACGGCAGATTAGAGGACAGCGAATCATTGATCGGACCAAAGACGCGCAAACACGTAGAACGGCCTTATGTTCTCATTGGTCCCGCTTCCCTGTCTAGCTCAGCCAGTTGAGTCCAGAACGCAAGTCTCAGCCTCGGAGATATTAATCATTATATTTCAAACACACTCTGTTCAAATACTAATCAAGCAGACCACATCGTACCATAAAATAGAAAATAACATTGTACAATATTGACCAGTAGGAAAATGACACGTGAAATAAGTACTGACCAATAAGAATATAATACCATCTCCAAGTCCAAGAATAGCATTAGACTTAATAGAATAATTTTTGGGATATTTCCCTGAATATCCCAACAACTTTGTAGGTCACTTTTACTTTTAAAATACGTAATACTGTTGCTGATATGAGTAGTTACTTAATAGATTTGAATGTGTATTTTTAGTTGTTTAGTCTTTTCTATAGAATTTAAAATGTCATTAAGTGAAAAAGTTTTAGAGTTCTGTCTTTTTTTTTGCTTCTAGGCCTAAGAACTTTAAATTCTATATTGTTTAAAACCTGTTTGATGTACTTGTTTTAGGTTCTAAGGTCAGTGGCTTATTTACAGCTCACTGAAAATGTATCTGCTGTATGAAACTGAAACTGATATTTCAATTACTCGAACTTACATTATTCGAGAAAACTAACCAACTAGCCACAAAACTCAATAGTCTGTAGTTACTTGCACTGATAATAAGTCTTCCTTTTTCTCTTTTTCCATAAAGTACTTTGACGTCTTTACAGAATGTATTATGAGTGTAGTTAAATTGTTGTATGACGAAGGAGGAGATAAAAATTATTGTATGGTCTTTAATTATAATCAATAGAGTAATACATAATCCGAAGAACCTTATATCGTGTTAGCTATAATAATGGTTATATGGAAATAATCTGATTTAGGAATTTCGGAAAATTCCATCAAAATAGAGGGAAGATAAAAATACACTTACAGAAGGATTGGGTGAAAGGTTTTATATTATGCTTCTTTGGGATGAAGTGACCCAATTGTGAACTAAGGGAAATAATGGGACTGAATAAGTCTATTTGGTTCGGTTTCATTCTATTACTCTCGATGACTCCTCTCACGAAGAGGAGAAATAATCTCATTCCTAATAATAGATCACATGAGACTTGATATAGAACCGAAAACGCTTCGTTCACTTTATAAATCCGGTATTTATTAAGTAGGGAGGAACAGTACGATGCAATGACTTGATGATTTACTTTCTTGGTCAGTCTGAAGCACATTAGATAGAGTCCTTACTTTAGCAATAAAACACTGGCGGTAAAAAAAATTATGCTCAAGCGTTGAATTTTAGCTTTATTTTCTGTCCATTTCAGTAAAATATTTAAACTTGATAAGTCATTTTATGTCTTTCTATTTGTAACATATGAATCATAATTCAACAAAAAATGATAATTTGAGTGGTATATATAATCTAAATACTACCATAATGGTTTCCTAATCGCTATTCTGTCTTTATGTTTTTGTTATCAGGTGTTACTATTTCCCGTACTGTTATATAATTTCATGAAGTTGAGATAATGACCTTATTTTTAGAAAACGCAATAAGAGTGCTTCACTGTTATCTTAATTTTGAAATGGTTTCAAGTTGATTTTTGTCTATTTCAGTATTGAGTATATATGACAGTCACGTACTAACGGCTTTGAAACATAGTGACAAAATATGAAAAATTGATTAGAACTAGAAACTCAAATCAATGGATGCCAGATCAGTAATAATAAGGTTAAGCACTTGCTGCAAGACCTGCGTATCCTGAGTTCAATCCCTAAAGTGGTCGTACACAGGCACTACTATGATAAAACAGCTATATATTTCTTTCTGGTTTTCAATGGTTAGCTAACTAAGATCAGTTCATGATGTAAACTATGAAATTCAACTATCTCTGTATATTGTCTATTGTAAAAACAGATAATACCCTGAATTGCTTACATTCATTATAATATATTCAAATAATTTTATTTAAAAAATTTGGAAGGGGTAATAATACACTTCAGTGCCTTTTATTTACAATTCATAATGTTATGATAAAATGGCCATGACTATATGAATTAAAGTCGTTTCATTAATAATGACTGTACGAAATTGAGTATTATCAATCAGAATATACGTAAAGCAAATACTTAAAAGATTTATTCTTACTTTGATAAAGGATCACATTCGATGTTTAAAGATAATTTAGTATGTATAAACTCATGGTTTACTTTAACATGTGTTTCATCTAAACGAAGCTAAACAGCAGTGTGACGTAATCGTTTTTTCACTTCATAAAAATATTTTATTTAAACCATTAGGATTGTAATCAGAGAGGGATTTTGTGGACACTATAGTAATTTTAATAGTTGAATTCATGAGTCAATTGAATCTAGACCACCATGGAAAACCTGAAAGCACTGGACGGCCATTACGTCCTATTGTGAGACGCCTCAGGAGTGAGCATCCAAGATCCCGCCCTTCGCGAGATTCGAACCCAGAGCCTATCAGTCTCGCACACGAGAGCTTAACTAATAGACCACTGAGCCGGCATCCAACGGTGTTAATGTCTAAATTCAACCAATCCACGAAGTTGCGCCACCGTCCGGCGGGATCGTGGATGCGCACTACTGAGGAGTCCCGTACTAGGACGAAACAGCCGTCCGTGGTTTCAGGTTTTCTATGGTGATCTAGCTTCAATTGACTTATTAACTCAACTATCAGAAACAACAGTAGGATTGTGTTAATAAATAGTCTGATTTCGGATTATATTTGTTACGTCACACCTCTACTCCTTATCTTCTCATTACAAATAAACTTCAGTAATATAACAAAGTGACTTATTAGTGAGAATAATTCGATTCTTTCACTATACAAAATATATTAATTCATCTCGATTTTAAGATTCAAATAATATTCATTAATTAGAAAGTAAATTTTTTTATCATTAGTGTAATTCATGTAAGAAAGTTTTTATAAAACTAATACACAGCTTCGTTTTATTAAATTTCGTCTATGTTTATTATGCATTAGATCTGACTAAAATATTCAGGACGGTTTATTATATACTTTTAAGTTTTTTTCAATAGGATTCGATCTCATCTCACACATATAACACAAGCCATAAGGTTTCTTTATATTTAAAAACTCTCCTATACATATCTCTCCCCTAATACAATAAGAGTTCGTGAATAGTTTTTCAAATTCTTAATACTGGTTTAAATCATTCCTTCCGGTTGTTTAAATATTTCACTTTGAGCATATGTTCAGCCCAAGTGAATTGCCTTGATATCGCCATTAAGTCACAAATATTTTTTAAACTTAGATGGTAGCTAGCAGTGGGATCAATAGCGCGCATTTCTTCCTACTTGAGACTGGTCAGAAGTATGTAGCAATTTCTTTGTTTATTGTCTTAACCTCTTACATAGCTCTTTCATTCTGTTTACATTTTTGATCTTACTGTTTACTTATATCCTTTAACAGAGCAATTTTTAAAACTTAGTATCTTAACAAACTGAATTTTTCAATCTCCGACCTACCCTATATGTCAGTAGAAACGTTCATGTTATCAGAATGTTTATTAATCCTATTTTTACTACTTTACCTGTCAGTTACTATCAGGTTTTTTCGCTTTATTTATTATGTTTGGTCATGTTATCCTCTTTGACTGTTACCACTGTCTCGTAAATTCCTTTGATTGGTTTAATACTTTTCATACAAGCACGTAAACATTAAAGTATATAAGAGTGAAGCTCGATGATGATCTACAGAAAAAAAATTATATTTCGTCAAATGTCTCAATTCAATTTACACGACTGGAATTTTCGACACTTTAAAACTTTTAAAAATTAGAAAAAACTGAGAAGCAATCTAATTTTAATTCGGTACTACTCTGAACTGTAAATTCATAACCTCCTTCAACTTTAACCCAGTAAGTTAAAACCTAGTGTCTACAATATGAACTATAATCAGTTAGCGATGAAATGAGATACCTCCATTTTTAGTATCAGTCTCACTTGTGATACACAACATAATTATTAAGATAGATTTTTTCCATACAATTTGACCAGTGTGCTTGATAAATTTAAGCACATCAAATGGGACGAAATGGCCGTCCAGTGCTTCCAGGTTTTCCTTGGTGGTCTAGTTTTAATCGACACATGATCTCAGCTATTAAAATTACTATAATATACACGAAATTCCCTTCTGGTACTTCAAAAATAGTTAAATTCACAGAATAAAGTAAGTTAATATTATTTCATGGCTTTTTGACGTTATCTTTAAATATCGTTACAAAGATTTCATGTACTTATCACTAAGTAAATGATATATTATGAGAGAAATTGATAGAGTATATTACAGTAATACGTATAAAGAATACGAAGATCATCCCAAGATGCTTTTCAACAAATCAAAGTGTCTAGTTACTATAAAATACAGTCATTATATTTCAGATTCTTGATTCAAAAAAAAACTGTTTTGTATAATCTCTTACAGCTTCACCATCATTTACTGAACCAGAAACAAATGTGATTTATGCACCAATTTATGGCCAACTAGAATTAAAATGTACATTTAGTCCTGTTAATGCTGAAAATGAAACACGTTTCAATTGGTATTTTGATGGTAAATTGTTAGATACAAATGGTATGTTATCATATTATCATTATTATCAGTACTATTTTACATTTATATTTACCCTGAATAAAATTGCATGTAGAATTCTATGAACTATTTTAACTAGTCATGAAATAATTCTATGAATTTTACTACTAACTATAGTTAGTGTTCATGTCATTACACTATGTGACAATAACAACTAATCAGTTAAATTAAACAAAGATGGATAGTAGCTAGCAGCGGAATCCAGGACGAATGTTTCGTTCTAAATTAAACTCGTCGGCTGGTTGTACCTGCATCTCACAGTTGATGTACACTCGGGGACTCGAACCCAGTACCATTAGCCTCAACGCCATTGCGTTATCCACTGAGCTATTGTGTCCTGATTGCCACCTACTTGTGCAATGTACATATGTCAACATGAGACTGATCAATTGCAGTCCTAAATAACAATGGGAAGATACGAGTAAAATAACACAAAGTGAATTTATTCATTTAAATATTCTAGTTTATAGAATGGATAATTATGTAAAATATGTAAAAACTCTCTTTATTTTATGTACGTCAAAAAAAGACATACTTAAGATTCATGAAACTGAAGAGAGAAAGATAAGTGTTATATATATATATATATATATATATATATATATATATATATATATATATATATATATATATGGTTCATCTAATGAATCATAACTTAGTAAAGAAAGAAATATAGATGATATCTTCTGTTGACACTTTTTTCACCTGTAGTGAAATTTCTGTTCATTTACAAGATCATTGGTAATGATAGGAAGCAAACACATAAAATGATGACATAAAGAAAGATATTGGGAGATTTGTTGTCAACTATACTACAAATTTATTTGCTTTATGAATACAAAAAAAACGAAATCACAGTTAGACAGATTGATTGACATGAAATTCTATTTTATTCCATACCAAAATAGGAACAACACCATTTTTTTAAAAAAAATAATGAAAGGCTAACACGTATTTTGTTTGTCCAAGAAAAAACGGATTTAATGAGTTCTGCAAATATCTCTAGCTATGATCTTCCAAAAATTCTATATACTTCATTGAGACTTTAGTTAAATAAAGGCGAATACAAACTTGAGATTTTTGTTTTGAAAAACTACTTCTGCAGTTTTGACAATAATTAAAAAGAATTCTAAAATAGTGTTATCTAGTTTATTGGTTACTTCCTTATTTTTGAGTCCATACATCGTAGTAACTACACAAGAATATGAAGGGAGATTAACAATTAAAATTCTACCTGAAGTGTGTGCTGATGATGTCGTTCGGAAGTACAACGAAAGCTCCAAGATCAAAACATCTAGCTTAAAAAAAACTCCATCATAATCATCAAACACTTGTTAATATATGCTTTAAAATATGTTATTAAAATTCATAATGTGGAATGAACTCAGTAGTATAAATTAAAGTATATTTGTTGATAATACATGATAGAAAATATATAATTAAAAAAAATTTCGAATAAATTCAAATAGTGTTGTTTTACTTGTATCTTCTCATTGTTATTTAGGACTGCAATTGATCAGTCTCATGTTGGTGTATGTGCATCCTGTGCGAACTGCCTCGATATTGTTTGAAGTCATGAGCTTTATAAACAAAGATGTATAGTGGCTAGTACTTGAATCCAGTTTGATGCGCGTCTCGTCCCATTTGGGACTGGTCAGCTGGATGTACCTGTATCTCAGAGTTAATGTTCACCCCATGACTTGAACCCATTAACATCCGCTTCAAACTCCATCGCGTTGTTCACTTAGTTACTGAGTCCCGATATACACCTGCTTGTGCAATGGAGTGAAATTTAAATTCACTTGGTGTTGTTTGACTTGCATCTTCTCATTGTTATTTATGACTACAATTGATCGGTCTCTTGTTAGCATACATGCATCCTGTGCGGAATGCCTCGATATAGCTTTAATTCACAAGCTTTCCTCAAAAAAATTTCTAATATTTAGAAGTTTTATTTATTTAGATTAAAAGTGGTATTTATAGGAGATAAACACTAAGTTTTTAAATAATCATTAAAATAATACTACTAACAATAAACTGACTATATTTTATTTTAGTAAATACTATTTATCCAACTTTAAATCAGAAATTCTATAATACAGTATCCAAGTCTGGAGATACAGCTGTATTACATTTGAATGGGTTAAGTGAAAATGATTTTGGTTCATACATCTGTAAAGCAGTGCATATATTGGGTACTAGTGAAAAAGAATTTATTGTAAAGATGGCAGGTAAGTATAAGATAATTTTTTTTAAAATTGAGGACATATTAATTTGAATTGATTAGTAACACAGTAACAATAAATTTCAAATAAATCTCTTGTTTATCATTACTGATAACCAAGATAACTTAAATCGAGAACATTTCATTAAATCAAATTAATCATGAACTTTTTGTTTATTAGGGATAATCGTTAATTTAAATGATTGTTAATATGAAATTTTGTCACAGAACAGTGTGAACTAATCCACTTAGTTTGGTTTAAACAATTTAGTGCGCTGTATATTGAAAATATTTAACCCTGAGATAAGTTAAGATAGAGGAATACTTCATGCCAATCATATCAAGAAATCTGTAATGATCCGTAAAATATATGATCAATGGATGAATTGATTGAATTTCGGAGATAGTATCACAACTTGGCTAAAACGTACAGTCGGTTGTACGGAATCAAATAAGCTTTTATTTTCTTACTTTGTGAAATAAACTCCTACCAACAAATTAATAGTCTCATTTTTATAACTTATGTTTATTGGAAGTGTGATAGTTTAATCCCAAGTGACTTTCAACCGAAATAAGAAAGGTATAAAATATATTCTTGTAGATTGTAAAATGAAGACAAACAAGTATAAAATTCACTTGGTGTTTTTTTACCTGTATCTTCCCATTGTTATTTAGGACCTCAGTTGATCAGTCTTATTGGCATATGTGCATACTGTGTGTATTGCTTCGATATTGCCTTGATTCACAAGCATTCTAGGCGAAGATGGATAGTGGCTAGCAGTGGAGTCCAGGACAAAGCGAGTTTCGTCTTATTTAGGACTCGTCAGCTGGATTTACCTGCGTCGCAGAGTTGATGTTGACTCTGGGACTCGAACCAAGTATCGTTCGCTTCAAACGCCATCGCGTTATGTATAAAATACGAATCTCGTGAATTATGTAACTAATCCTATCGAGTTTATGTATCAAAATTTCTGGCCAATTCACATATTATTCCTTACGACTATTCGTTTTATTGAGCAACATATTCATAGATAAACTCTTCAATGACTCAAGCCACCGCATTTTTTCCTCTACTGAAATTTTTGACAAGAATATAACATAACTATAAATCCTACAGTTAACAATGTAATATGAACTTAATTTGTATCCATATGAGTTTTTTGTAGTGGAAAACATTTTCCCCCTACTTTCATACGATTTGCTTTTTTTCCACATATTTTAGATGCTCCTGTATTTTTAGAAGTTCCTACTCCATTGTTGACTGTGAAGTTACATTCACGTTTTGAATTGCCTTGTTACATTGATGCGTTACCACCTCCAACGATAATTTGGACTAGAGATTCAAAAAGAATTGTTGAATCACATCGTACAAAAATTGGTAAAGCTGAAAAACAATCAATCAATAAAACGCCTCGTATGTCAAACTGTGAATTTAGTACAGATGCAACGTTATCAGTAGAAAAATGTATTTATCAAGATTCAGGCTTGTATACGTTAACAGCTGAAAATATAGCTGGTCGAATAATGACTAGTTGTTTGATTCATGTTGAAGGTATTCAAACAATATGGGCGGTATTTTATTTTTAAATTATTTATGCCTAAACTGAGCACGAACTAAGAGGTTTGTAGCAGTTTGTTCAGAAAATCTAACAGAGGCCTTTCATACAATTCTTCCTATATACATGTTACCGCAGGTACATGTAAATTCATTGACCCGTATGAGGTGACATCAGAAGGGTATATAAACATCAATGTTAGTAATGTTTATTCATACACTTTATACTCTATTCCTCTCATGAATTTGATTTCGGTTGCATTTTGAACAACCTTACGAACTAAAGAACGCTAAACATTTTTTTAAGAATTCTAGTCATAATTATAATTCTAGGTTGTATGCAGCTGGTGAAAAACCGTTCACCAGAATATATACATATTATTCTACAAACCTTGTTTTTGCTCTGTTTAAATTTAACAAAAGGTCTTGTTGTATGAAATATTTGTGTTCATACTGATAATATTACTTATTGATTAGGTGTAATTTTTAGTCAAATAGGGATATTTACAGATACGTTTATCGATTCGATAGTGTAACGAATTCGCTATCACTTATCATATACATGGGTACAAATTTTGGTATTTCTTTGGACATTTTAACTGGATAGTCAGTCCCTAAACTGTTTAGTATTACTAATTTTCATTAAGAACATATAATAAACAATGAATCATCAAAAGGCAAGATGTGTTATCTTTTACCTAGTAGTTGAAAACTCCTCAGTACTTTACACAAACGATTAGCTAATAAATGCTTCTTTATGCCCATCATCTTTCTAAATTAGATGTCAGTTCATAGTAAAAACCAGTTCGACATTTGTATTTTGCTTATCGGTTAACTGTAACATCTGTGTACTAGTCCGAAAACAAAAACCAACCAAAGTAATCTACTCTACACCATAAAGAAGGGAAAATGGCGTAAATTTTATAGCCATTTATTATAGCAGCACATTGCCATAGGTTAGGCTAACATAACCCTACTTTTATGATCTCCATGATTTTAAATACTCATCAATTTTTTTATTTCCTGAAAAAGTTTCCATGTTCCTATTGTTTACATTCAGGATTATATTCAATCAGCTTCTATTTACATGTGGTCTTCTTAAGCGGATGATATGCCGTAAAACGTAACGCCATTTCGTCTTGTAATTGATGATAGAAATCTCGAGAAACGAATTCCATGATATCACTCGCTTCCCTAGTAAATAATGAATTTAAAATTGCAACCAGTTTTAATTTTTGATTCCTTAACTTTGAAACAAAATCTGGTGCATAATTTCTAGAAATAATCGTTGACTACTTACTTGTAGTGTGTTTATTATTGTATCACTTTGTTTTATTTACGATTTAGAAAATCCAACACCGACTAAAATAACTTTGAGATGGACAAATATTGAAAAGCATTATTTTGTATTGAGACGACTTGAAAGGTAAATGATGAGTATTATTTCATGAGCAACTATTCTTATATCTTGCTTTTAGCTTGATTTAATTATTGTCCAAATATATCAAACAGTTGTTACAAAAAGGATTATGGAAAAAATCCGCCCAGGATGTACGCTTACCAATACAAATTAACTAGAGTTCATAAAATTGACAGCTAAAAGACTCAAACTCTTAGATATAACTGCATAAATACTGAACACATTGGCTATTATCTTTACCCAGTACCCTGGTGGATGATCCATGGAACTTTGGAAAAATAACCGCCCAGTTCATTTCTCACTTTGAATATAATCGTGGAGACGTTAACTAGTCCAAAACAAGACGAAATAGGCATTTTTGTTCTTACTGCTAGCTAAAATCCAGTCGTTATCTGTACACTCATTCCAACCACAAATGTCATCAATAGTTAAAATATTGATGAGAGGTGATCTTATTAACTCTATTGTAATATCAACAAATCTATTATCATTTGTAAGTATTATGTTGTGCAGATTGTTGAGTCTCAATAAAATCATAAACCGATCCATGGTAGACAACTATTTAAAACCTAGAAGCACTGAGTGGCCATGTCGTCCTATTATGCGTTTGTGCGCGAGTCCTGTGTCCGGTTTCCACATGTAGAGTCGTGGATGAGCACTGCTGAGGAGTCGCATCATAGAACGAAACGGTGGTTCGGTGCTTCAAAGTTTCCAGTGGCAATCTAACATTGATCGGTTCATGATTTCAATAAAATTTATTATCAGGCTGAACATTCAAGTATGAGCTCTCATGTACACCAAAGATCAAGCTTAACAAACATTCATGATAGTAATGGTATCATTGTACTATAAATTTAACAAAGGTTTTCTAGCCTTCTAGATTGTTCACGCAGCTGTATACATTTTCAAGAACAACTAAGATAAAATCAGCAATTAAAAGAATCCCCATTGTTAATATTCAAAACTTAATTTGATCAGCCCCTGATGACATGCTTTTTTTCTGAATAATATCGTCCAAATCTTAAATAGTAGCAACCAGTAGAAACTAAGACTCGCTTTCATCTTTGACACGATTTGTCAGTAGCAGCTACCTTAATCTAAGAATTGCGGTGTACACTCAGACGATATTAGAGTCTCTATCATTCCGAAGTTTATCATAATACATAGTTTCTTAACTTAAGCGTTTACAACTATGTAACTGATTCTTCCATTTCCAGTTGCAGAATTTTGTTTGGCAACAAGTGAAATAAAGCTACTTAAAATCAGACGTTCTCTAACGGAACTTTATTGGTAAAAATAAATAATTCAAAATTATTCATATTTATCTTCACCGTTATCTAGAAGCAACTCCACTTGTAGCTCTTTTTGGGCTACTGTTGGTCCCAAGCCCCAGCAAAGAAAGAGTGTTAGGCATGGGGTTAGCAACCCCATCCGGTATAAAATAACCTTTCTAAAATACGACAACCAGAATAAACAATTTAAACCACTAAAACTCTGTCCGCTGAGTTAAAGGAAGAGTTTCGACGCCTCAGGATGAAAGCCGAGATCCTTCGGAGGTCATGAGGCCGATGCATCTTCTAACAACCAGCGCAACAATTTTTATAGGTACATGAAACGGCCGGACAATGTGGGAGACCTGGACGACCGGTCAAACAGCAACGGAAACAAGGAGATACAACTTGGCGGTTCTCGGAATCAGTGAAACCAATTAGACCCAAGCTGGACAGCCAACTTCGAGATCAACAAATTGGATTCCGTAGGGATCGGTCGTGAGCAGACAAAATCGCAACTCTACGGATCATCTCTGAACAATTAGTTGAGTGGAACTCGTCACTATACATCAACTTCCATGTCTATAAGAAAACATTTGACAGTGTGGATGGAACATTATTAAAACTTCTTCGACACCATGGAGTACTTTAAAAGATCTTCAACATCATCCGGAATTCATTCGACGGGCTACAATGCAAAGTCGCGCATGGAGGGAAGCTGACAGACTCAGGCAGACAAGGCTACCTATTCTCCTCCTTTTTCTTTCTTCTGATGTTTGACCAGATTACGAAGACCTCGACATCTGAGGGTAAGCACGGAATACAATGGACAACTTGACTGTGACTAAACAATTTGGACTTCGCAGACGACCTGGCCCTACTATTCCATACCCAATAACAAATGCAGATGAAGACAACTAGTGTAACAGCAGCTTCTGCATCAGTAGGCCTCAACATAAATACAGGAAAAAGCATGATCCTCAAATGCAACATGGATAACACCAACCCAGTCACACTTAAAGAAGAAGCTCTGAAGGATTTGGAAACTTCCATGTACCCGGGAAGCATCATCGATGAAGAAGGAGGATCTGATACAAATGTAGAGGTAAGGATTGATAAATCAATGGCAGAACCCCTACAGTTGAAGAACATATGGAACTTAAAACAACTTTTAACCAACATCAAAGTCTAAATCTTTACTACGAACGTCAAGATAGTTCCGCCATGCGGGGCTGCAACGTGATGAACTATAATAATCATCTTCAAAACAGTACAAATATTTATAAACTGTAGTCTACGCAAGATACTCAATATCCGTTGGCTGGATACCATCAGCAATAGCCTACTGTGGAAGAGGACAAACCAGTTTTTATTCATTTTTTGTATTCCAAGTTTCATGGATCGTATCTTGATATATATTTTCAAAGTAGGAAAAATCACCGATTCTTAACTTTTCGCTCTATAGAGATCTAGTCAATATTTTTTCTATGATATCATCTTTCATAAAAACTGAATTCAAAAAACAAGAGTATATTGTTTTTATGAGGAGGGGTTTTGTGGAGATTTTAGCAATCTCAATAATTGAAATCATGAGTCAATTGAAGCTAGAACACCATGGAAAACCTGGAAGTTGGACATAAACACCGTTGGATACCGGCTTAATGGTCTAATGGTCGAGCGCTCGTGAGCGACATTTATGGGTCCTGGTTTTGAATCTCGCGGGGAGCGGGATCGTGGATGCGCACTGCTGATGAGTATATTATTTTTATTTAAAATTAATTCAAAATTTCCTAGTATGAATTTGTGTCATTTACAGAAGTATAAGTTTATAAATTCTTCCATGCCGCTTCACTTTTTATCATAACCAGATATACATGATGATTAATAATTAATAACTAGTTACACATTCATATACTTACCTAAGAACTACACTTTATGTATTAAAGTTAGTGATGATACCTTATTGCTCAAACTGAAATACATAATGGTAGATTTAAATTTGTAGTCTGGTGTCTGGAAGTCAAACATCTTAATCAATGATCCATCTATTACGTAATACGTATACATCAAACTATTTTTGTATATTTCCCTTATCTTTTTTAGTGATTCATTTTCAGAAACTCACCTATTAATTGACAAAAAAACAAATCGTGAATATATTGGGAAATTATTTAAATTAAATAATCCAATCAGTCGTATAAATGGTGCACGTGAAATGGAATGTTTAACACGTTTATGTCATAAAAATGTTTTGCAATTAATAAATGCATTTATCAGTGATAATGTTCTTATTTTAGTTTATGAAAAGTAAGTTACCATGGTGATTATTATTATTTTTTTAATTTTAAATAGACTGAATATTTTGTCTGAAAATAGCTTACTTTTTTAAAAAAAAAATAAGACTTGTCGTTTAAGCAGTTGTTTATTAAGAAATGTAATTCTGAATAATCCAAGATTAAGTTATATTGTGATATATGCTACTGATGTTGATAGATTTATAAGTAGTATGTATCATTAATTAAAAGTGAAATACCTGAGGGCAGAAAATTAAGATTAAAGAAAAGAGAACGAGAACAAAAAATGATTGGTGTGGAAATGAAAGGATAATGAAGTCTGAGACGATCGACTAATATTTGTAAAAGGAATATTCAAGTTTGAGACAATTAATTGACATTTTGAAAATGAAGTGTTTACTGTATGGTTCTTAGACTTTACTAAGAAGTTCTGTAACTTTCAATAAAATCGATTGATTAACCAGGATTTAATGAAACCAGGTAAGTAGCATAAAACGAGCTAAAAGCGCGTTGTCTTTGCTGAAATATTTTTTTTACAACCATTGGATGCTATACGTATTGGAGAGTCTTGGAGGAAGTTTGGACAATTTCTTACAACAAAAGGATAACCGGAGAATACAATACAAAGAGACCGTCCAAACTTTTACTATTTTCACAGCTGCAATATTTGAGACTTAGTGATATTATGTTTATTTTTGCACATAGACCTATGTCAACGTGACTAATTTAATGATTACGAAACCCAAAAGCAATGATATCTAGAAAATGAGATGGCTCGAAAATATGAACATTTTGTACCAACCAGATCATTAACTTTTGTCAGGTCCTGGAGTATCGGCAAAGTCCTCTACAATCCTACTTTACTCTGCCATGATACGATATTTCTGTCGACTGAAATGATATGTGGTGGCCTCTGATAAAGAAGGAAATTCCTAATAAGTATACCATACTACTGGCGGTACTTCATTTGAAATAAGAGGGTCGTAAAGCATCATCACGTGAGGTGATCCCGAACGGTATCTATCAAGGATTCTACTGTTAACGTTTCAATTTAGATTTTTCATAAAGATATTAATAGAGTTCACTTTGTTTAACTTCGAACAGTGTAAAATTGAATAAGTATAAAGTGGTCATCAGGTTTATACGGTCTTTTAGCAACGATTTTGTTTTGATTGAAAGTCATACGAGCATTCCAAAAAAGTCCACAAATAATTAATACAAGTTTTACATAGGAAAATGTAAGTAAATGTTCTACTGTTGATATGGTTTGAAACATAGTTGAGAAAAGTAAGGTGAAGTAGGTGAACGTGTAGATCACTGTAATTTTAGATTTGTACTAAGGTTGATAAATATTCATCAAGGAAAACGATACAGCCATGGAAATTTTAATTAATATTCATCAACGTATTTATAAACCTCTCTTAGTTACTAGATGTCACATTGCACTTTAATCAAATTTTCGAAACATACATGTAATAGTTCTAAAAATTAAAATTGGTATTGGATGGTAGGAGACAGGCACAAAGATCTGTGATCATATACTATACATAAATGACCACCTATCTATTCATGATGTGTGCAGACAGGGTTTGATCGAGACAAATATTTAAGAAACAAATAATTGATTAATTTCACATAGTACACTGGGACTAGATATAAATATCAATATAAAAAAGGCCTTCGAGGTTACTACATGATAATTTCCTCTTATTTACTTAACAGCACGAAGTTTTCAAACTGATCAAATTTAAATCTTCGACATGAAGTTATTTTCTTCATCTGAAAGTTCTCTACGTACTGATCAGTCTGAAAAAGTATCATTTCATTCGACAAAACAGCGGCAACAACAGCAACAGAAAAACACTAATAACGAGTTCATTAAAAAGTCTTTAAGAAATTTCATTTTTGAAATTACAATCTATAATATCAACTTTGTAATCATTATTCAAAGATTTCATAAATTATTCATAATAATTTCAATACCTTTTCAAGATTGTCCGGTTCAAATCTACTTGATTCAGTTCTGGCATGTGAAAATTGGTCAGAAATGGGAACAGCAGCTGTTATTCGTTCAATACTGGAAGCATTGGAGCATATTCATAATCAAGGAGTAGTTCATTATGATATTCAAGTAATATTTGTTTGTTCAATTAAAATTGTGATTATGTATACATACTGATTGTGAATTTTGTGGAACCGTTAAACGTTTTCTTTACAGCTGAGTTTCGGAGACCAGCAGTAGAGATAATTTAAGTCTTCTGTAGAGAATAATCTGGTGACCAAAAACCTAATTTGTCATTGATAACTCATGTTTCTTCTGTTTGATCCTTTTCCTTTCCTTTCCAAATAGCTTTTTTTCAGTCCCAACATAATAACCTGCTAATCTACGGAATTGAGGTTAGTATAGTGAACAACTGATGTGCTTGATACTTTTTTAGTTGCTTTCTCAGAAAGGTTATGAAAACACGTGAAATAAAAGGCTAAGACCATAGCTTAATTCATTAAAAATCGCAGAATCTTCGAACGACACGTCTCTCATACTGTATATAGGTTCTTATGATTCACATGCCTAATTTAAGCTAATATCCCTAAGAAGCTGAAAATTTAACCGATGTTTTATTTGATGCATTAAATGGAAGATGTGGTGGAAAGTGAGTAGAAATACCCTCCCCATTTTGTTTGCACATGTAGTAAGGACAGTACTGTGGCAAAGGCAAAACAAATAGTGCATTTCTACTGCTTTATTGGAAGTGTGGCTTAATTAACCGATACAAAAGTCATTGCACACTAAAAAATTAAGCTTCAGGTATTCCAGTATATTTAAAATCAAGAAGGTAGGAGAAAGCATTACAACGATAAAATTCCTGCCCGTCTAATCACAAGCCGAGTACTCTTACTTTACAAAATATCCTATAGATCAACTTAGGCAAATAATTGAAGTACGCTGATCAAAGATTTTTGAAATCAACCAAGTATTAAAGTTTACTCATTTCATTTTTCAGTTATTATTCAAACAAATACAATCAACTAGAATTCAATGGAACACATTAAACAGTATACCAATTTTATTGCTAACCCAAGTCACAAATGATATAATACTCAGAATAACTTTGTAACTTATGTGTTTATAAGCAACAATTTTTTGAGTTTACTAAACACAACCTGATGCTAGCACTTTGTAGTTTTCTTCCCCACCAACCTTCCATCTTCAGTCTGTATTATCTTTAATTTAACTTAACAGTATTGTATCGGTCATATAAATTTAACATATAAATGACCAAATTATCTAAGTTATGCAAATTCGATCAATCAAATGAGAACACTACAAAATAATATCTTTTGAACAAATTACAACTAAAGTTCAAATTATCATAAGTTAAAACACGATCTAAAATTTCTGCTTTTTTAGCCTGAAAATCTACTTTTTGTAAAGAAAACAATCGATAACTATGATTGTGGAAATTCATCGGACAATCCTGATTTACTACGGGCTCTTGCTTCTCTAGTAACTGATGTAGTGAGTCAAACAGATCGTCATAAAATGAATGTTTTCAGTAATTTGCTCAAAGTTACAGGATTTTCTACAGCACAAACGTATAATACTAATTCCCAAAATTGTGTAACATGTGTACCTCCATTACGGTACAGGCCGGAATATGTTTCTCCAGAAATTTTATTACTAATACAACAAACTAATGGAACAGTTCCTGGAACTATTCACACATATTCTGAAAATTTAGGTCCACCTTCAGATATATGGAGTCTCGGAGTATTAACGTATATCCTGTGAGTTTAATAAACAAAACAATCTAATTTAGCACTAAATAATTCAGTGTATAATTTCTAAACAATTAAAAAGGGATTTATTTTTGGATGGTTTTACCATTAAAAAATAAAACTATTTAGAAAAAAACATACACTGCACACCACTGGATAAATATTCTGTTATAGTTTGTCACTAAATGATACGAGACTTTCAAGCTAGTGATCTAACCTGAAAGTTCCATGAAGAATGTATAACTAAAACTTCACATAGTATCCTATAGTAGTTACATGAATAGGTTTAAAAAGAGAAGCAAACAATGCTTTCGTTGTTTAATATTATATAATAACTAGGTTTCAGGGATGTAAGTGATTCAGCTAGAACCTTATAGCTTAATAGTAACATACTCATAAATTAGGCAGAAGGGAAATCCATATTATGCAAAAGAATTCTAAGTTAAGATGAAACAATTACATTGACCTTGGAGATCGTCAATGACTTCACAAATTATTGCAACTTATAAGTCTGTTGAAGTTAATATTTATTTTAAAATCTTTCGGAGGAATATTTTTGATTGGCAATCTTCCTAGTAATGATAATGTTAATAGTTTAACAAAAACATGAACCTTTTTCTATACTGTCAATCACATTAATTTTTAATTACCACTATACCGCATCATTTGATTAGTTAGTTTGGTTTGAGTTTAAATTTCATGAACTAGTAGTTATTAATACAAAATCAGCTACTATATTGTTTAAAAAAACATTTGCTACCAATTATGTCAACTACTTATAAGTAGTAACATAACTAATTGAAAAGACTAATGACGCAAGTCATTTTAACTCAGCTTTTAATGATTTAATTTTTTTGTTCAATAGCGAAACAACTAGTCGCTAAAATGTTGTTTGAATACTTTGACAGTTAGTAAAATGATTTTAAAAAAAACGGGTGAAATGCACTGGACACAGATCATCGTAGGAAATGTAGAACAACGCCTACTGCTAAAAATGTTTAAAAAACTAATTCGTCAATGACAGTGCTATTGGCTTCCTCTTTGATCACAGGTTTTGTTTTATAATTATATTAGGCCGATGTATGATAAATGAACGTAAAGTTTTTATTGACATTGGGGGTTCTTATATAAACCCAATGACATTGTATTAACTGGTGGCTAGTTATGATAAATTTAATGTTTGGTCAAAACCTTAGACAGACTACCAGTTCACATATATCCATGTACTTCTAACTGATTATTTCCAAATGCGACAAGATCTAAATTTTGCATTCAACTGTCAGTTACTATCAAAGGTAATACAAAATTCAGAATTCCTGAAAAATTTCACTTATGTATATCAAAATGGGGATATGAAGATTGTTGAATTTGAGATCACTAGCCGATATAAGTTAAACAACCGTCGAAAACTTGGAAGTGATGGACAGTCGTTTGATTCTAGTACGAGACCTCTTAACAATGTGGATTCACGGCAACGCCACCTGCATTTGGTCTCGCACGCGAACGCCTAACCTCCAACCACCGAGTCAGGAACACATGGTATTGAAGTCCACATTCAATCAGTTCCCGATATTGTGCAACCATCTTTCATTGTCTTCAGTGGGTAAATTCTTCACGCTTAATACAGTTGAGCTCAATTTGTCAAGACATAATACTAGAACGCTGTAAATTTCCCCCTGATGCTGGTCATTACTGAGCACATGGCAATTATATCGTCCCTCCAGGTTTTCAATTGTTTTCTAAACAAGATCGGTTCGTGATCCCAACCATGTGTTTAAGAAAGTAAGCTTAAAATTCATTATTCTGTCTAATAGCAATCAAATAATCTATATTCATTTCATGATAAAGAATTACCATACATTATGTTAATAAAAAACACAACTTTAAAAAATACAGTAAAACCACTATTTGATAATAGTATATCCCTTACTTGATGTACCCCAGTATTTATCTAATGAATACAAAATGAAATAAAAACAGCCTTACAACATTTGGTTTAAATTGTATTTTGAATCGTGTTTTCATACAGTGTTCATTGATTTATCCCTGTTATTTCTACTATCTGTAGACTTGTCGGTTGGCCTCCTTTTATTGATTATGAGACAGGTAGTATTCTAACTGACAATATACTACAAGCTATTATTCCATTCGATGTACCAGAATTGGAAAATATTTCAAATGAAGGCAAAGATTTTATTTCACAACTTTTACAAGCTGACCCTACGTAAGTGTTAGTATTGTGTAATTACTTGACATAGAACTGTACAATAAGGATTCATTTTCAAAACATTATTCCCTTGAAATCTTTAGTATGAGTGAGATAATGTGTCCTAAAACAAACATCAGTGTATATCAACGAATTAATGATATGACGCTACTTTCAGATTGTCTTTTGGAAACGTAACAGTAGCTGTATATAGTTACTGTACACATCAATGAAATACTTTTGCTAGTAATGTATCCCCTAGGCTGAACGAAATTCGGAAGGTCCTTCCCATTCAGTTTGAGACTAATCATTTGGATGTACCTATTTTACTCACTAGCTCAGTAGATAACGCGTTGGGATTTGAAGCGAAGAGCACTGGATTCGAATCACTGAGTGAAGCTTAACACGGATGCAGGTAAATCTAGTTGACCAATTTCAAGAAAAATGCGTCTGGATTTTCATTGCTAGTTACTATCTTTAGTTAAAATACTTGTAATTTGATGTCAATACTAAGGTAACGCTCTTAGCAGGTACATATGCTCATAATTACTTATCAAAATTAAATTCTTAACATCAACGGGAAGACCCAAATATTTACAAATAAATAATATTTCCGAATTAAAAAATCATTCAGACGTGGATTTGATGAAAAAATGAGAAATCAAATCCTGTGTATGTGTTTTAATTAATTGTTTCAGTTTACCCGTAAGGCAAAACCTCTAATCACTATTCATAGGGATTTGTTCTCCATAACCATCTATCAAAAAAAAACACAAATGAATCGGTTATATTTACTATTATGTGTAGTAATAGTAGTATTATCGAATATATTATTGTTGGGTCGGCTTCCAGAGAACTTCAACGGAGCCTCCAGAGGCCCAAAAGGAGCCGAAGAGTCCTAGCCAATCAGAGTGTGATGGAACGTTCTAGAATTCCAACGTGGCGTGCTACCATTGGTCGGTAGCATAATGTGTTGTTATCGGATTGGCTGTAAATTGATGTTGATTTAACAGACGCCAAAATCTATAAATACCCATGATTTTCTGTACAAAAATGAACCTTGGAATAAAGTGCTTTCTCTCATTCCTGTGTCTTCTCTCTGGAGTTCAAGTCGCTGTGTAGTTCTAGACTGCGGGTTACCGAAATAGCTTAGGAATCGTATATAGCGTTCAACCTACACGACTTATCAGTGGCGACGGGGATGAAAACTTCAATGAATATTTCCTTGGAGCAATTAGAAGCTTATATGGTGCGTCAAGAAAAGAGGTTTGAAGAGTCCCATATTAGAATCATGGAAACCCTGATGCAGAAATTCTGCCTGTCCGAGAAAAACCCTGCTTCTAGTGAATCTCAAGTATCACATACTGATTCAGTCATTAACGCCATCCATGAATTTAATTTTGATGGTGCAGCAGGTGTAACTTTCGAGTCGTGGTTTAAGAAGTATGAAGATTTGTTTTATATTGATCTTTGCAAACTGGATGATGCTTCAAAAGTCAGAATACTTCTTAGAAAACTTGGTACTATGGAACATGAACGCTACAGCAACTTCATTCTTCCGAAGAACCCACGAGATTTTAGTTTTGATGATACAGTCAAAACCCTATCCCAAATATTCGGAGAACAATCATCTCTATTTAATATCCGTTACCAATGCTTAAAGTTAACAAAAGAACCAGGAGATGATTGGGTAAAGCATGCAGGAACGGTGAACCGAGAATGTGAGAGGTTTAGATTGTCATCCATGTCTGAAGATCAGTTTAAATGCTTAGTGTTTATCTGCAGCCTGCGTTTACCCGAAGATGCCGATATCCGAACCAGACTCCTAAGCAAACTCGAACACTGCCCTAATATGACCCTGCAAGAAGTGACTACTGAGTGCCAAAGGTTAGTAAACTTAAAGCATGATACCTCAATGGTAGAAAACGGTAACTCTTTCCGTAACGTCAATGCAGTTAAGAGAAAAGTCTTTCAAGGTTCCAGTACCCATAATTTCCAAAATAACAGCGACAAACCACCATCTCCATGCTGGGCATGTGGAGGTTGGCACTATAAGAGTTTTTGCCCATATAAAGAACATCGTTGCAGCAAATGTCATCGAAAGGGGCATAAAGAAAACTTCTGCAGGAGAAGAGACTATAGAAAACGTTCCGTGAAATCTTACTCAAAGAAATACAGATATAGTGCTCCAACCAACAAGATATTGGTATCACATAACAGAGCACGAAGCTGCCACCAAAGAAAGTATGTGACCTTGAATATCAATAAACACCGTGCCCGTCTTCAGCTGGACACAGCTTCTGATATTACTTTAATCAGCCCAGAAACGTGGAAGAACATTGGGAGACCCACAGTTTTCCCAACAACACAGCTGGCACACAGTGCATCTGGGGGGAAGCTGAATATTGTTGGAGAAATACCATGCACTGTTTCTAAAGGTACGGTAACAACAAATGCAACATTGTATCTTACTAAGAAGCCAGCACTAGACTTAATGGGGTTGGACCTTATAGAAACACTTAAACTAGCAGATCATTCTATCAACAGTATCTGCAGACGAGTATGTACAGACAACACCCCAGAATGGAATCAGAAAAACGCCATGCTACAAAGACATCAAAACGTGTTTAGAGAAGGATTGGGAGAATGTACGAAAGCTAAAGCACTATTAACCTTAAAGCCTGAAGCTGCTCCCATTTTTCGACCTAAAAGACCCGTACCCTATGCTGCTCTCCCAATAGTTGAACAAGAATTACAACGACTTCAGCAAATGGGTGTTATCGAGCCTGTGAACTTCTCGAATTGGGCTGCACCAATAGTGGTGGTCAAGAAGTCGAATGGAAGTGTTCGTTTATGTGCAGACTACTCCACGGGATTAAATGAAGCGCTACAGTCTCACCAGTATCCGTTACCCTTACCAGAAGATCTTTTCGCTAAGCTGAACGGTGGCAGATATTTTGCAAAATTGGACTTATCAGACGCATATCTACAAATTCCTGTATCTGATGAAAGCAAAGATCTCTTAACGATCAACACGCACAAAGGTCTGTTCCGGTATAACCGACTACCTTTTGGGGTAAAGACAGCGCCCTCTATTTTTCAGCAAATTATGGATACCATGTTACAAGGTATTCCAGGAGCTGCAGCTTACCTAGACGACATCATAATTACGGCAGTAGATAAAATGGACCTGCAGAAGAAACTGGACCAGGTACTAGAACGCATAGCTGATTATGGTTTTCGCCTCCGAGCGGAAAAGTGTGACTTCTATATGCAGCAAGTACGGTACCTTGGGTTCATAATAGATAAAGACGGAAGACGTCCAGATCCAGAGAACATTGAAGCAGTGAACACAATGCCTAGACCCAGAGACGTTACTACCCTACGATCATTCTTGGGATTGGTCAGTCATTACGGTACCTTTCTCCCCGATCTCCATCGTCTACGTGCTCCACTAAACAACCTACTACAAAAGAACACAAGATGGAATTGGTCTGCAGACTGCCAAGCATCTTTTGAGAAAATCAAGCAACTTCTAACTTCCGATCTCTTATTGACACATTATGATCCTTCTCTACCGATAGTCGTCGCTTCAGATGCTTCTAACTATGGCGTGGGCGCAGTTATCTCTCACATTTTTCCTGATGGGTCTGAAAAAGCTATCACACACGCTGCCAGATCTTTGACAACGACCGAAAGGAACTATAGCCAAATCGAGAAAGAAGCCCTATCAATTATCTTTGCAGTGAAAAAGTTCCACAAGATGATATATGGTCGACATTTTACCCTAATAACAGACCATAAACCACTACTTGCAGTTTTTGGGTCGAAGAAAGGAATTCCTGTTCATACAGCTAACAGACTACAACGATGGGCAACCACACTTCTGGGTTACGACTTCAAGATCAAGTATCAGTCTACTACCGCTTTCGGGCAAGCTGACGCATTGTCGAGATTAATAGGCTCTCAATCGAAAACCCCGGAGGAGACTCTTGTAGCAAATATAAAAGCCGAGGAAGAAGTTCATCGCGTGTTGGATGACGCAGTTAACGGACTCCCAGTAACCTTTGAAACTATCAAGAAGATAACTGAAAGTGATAAGATACTGAGCTCAGTTAAATGCTATCTCTTGACCAAATGGCCAAACAATCGCCTTGACGGAGAACTTTTGCAATATTTTCGTCGACGGGACTCTCTAATGGTTGTTGACTCCTGTATTATGTTCGGTGATCGCATTGTTATTCCGAAGTTATTACGTCACAAGGTTCTCAAGCAGTTTCACAGTGGCCATCCTGGGATCAGTAAAATGAAATCTTTGGCTCGTAGCTATGCTTATTGGCCGTCAATGGACAAAGATATCGAAAATAAATGCCGTAACTGTTCATCATGTATTCAAGCCGCTAAAAATCCTTCGAAATGCGAACCTCAGTGTTGGCCTATGCCCGCGGGACCCTGGGTAAGACTTCACGCAGATTTTGCCGGTCCAATCCAAGGGAAAATGTTTCTAATTATCGTAGACGCGTTCACAAAATGGCCACAAATCTACGCCATGGTGAATTGCACAGCCGGTGAAACAATCAGCAAATTATCCGACCTGTTTAGCTGTTTTGGAGTTCCGCAGACGTTAGTGACCGATAACGGTTCACAATTCACTGCAGAATCATTCAAGCACTTCTGCAACGTTAATGGCATTGTGCACATACGATCTCCCCCGTATCACCCTCAATCGAATGGCCAGGCAGAGCGCTTCGTGGATACATTGAAGAGAGCACTTCTGAAAGGGGGAGGAGAAGGGACAACCGGGCAGGTGATCGCAAAATTTTTAACATCCTACAGATCCACTCCGAACCCGAATGTTCCAGACGGCAAATCTCCCGCGGAAGCCATGTTTGGGAGGCGCATTCGAACCATCTTCGATGCCATGTTGCCATCCAAATTAGTGGATGAGCGCAGTCACGGTCCAAGTATCCGAAACTTCAGTGTTGGTGACAAAGTTTACATCAAGTCCTACATCGGGAAGAACCGATGGGAGCCGGGCGAAGTAGTGAAAAAACTGGGAAGAGTACTGTACAGAGTTCGAGGAGCTTTTGGGACATGTATACGTCATACAAATCAAATCCTTAAGGACAAAAGAACGGTGCAGACTCGAAGTAACCGGCCGATTTTCCCGTTAGATTCCATCTTAGACGCACCAACGCCACAAACGCCCAGGAACAGTGAAAAGAAGCCTTGGACAAGGGAAACGACAAGAATAATGGGGCGCCGTCGCTGTCCAGTCGTCAAAATACAATTAGATCCCAGAAAGAAATCTTATTCGGGGGAGGTGTTGGGTCGGCTTCCAGAGAACTTCAACGGAGCCTCCAGAGGCCCAAAAGGAGCCGAAGAGTCCTAGCCAATCAGAGTGTGATGGAACGTTCTAGAATTCCAACGTGGCGTGCTACCATTGGTCGGTAGCATAATGTGTTGTTATCGGATTGGCTGTAAATTGATGTTGATTTAACAGACGCCAAAATCTATAAATACCCATGATTTTCTGTACAAAAATGAACCTTGGAATAAAGTGCTTTCTCTCATTCCTGTGTCTTCTCTCTGGAGTTCAAGTCGCTGTGTAGTTCTAGACTGCGGGTTACCGAAATAGCTTAGGAATCGTATATAGCGTTCAACCTACACGACTTATCAATTATACTAGCTAATAAGTTCCTAGATCTAAGCAGTATGTTCTCTTAACAGGACTAAAGATAAAGAACTCAGTGCACACACTTGTATGTATTGTATTGAACTTTGAACTACACAGTAAAGTATGAGCAAAACATTTATTACTGTAAGAGAACACTACGGTTTTTGTTTTATGAAGCATAACAAAACAAAGCTTGGATAGAAATCGCTTTATTATAATATCAATGCATTATTAATATGGAAACTCGTTAATTTTAAACTTCAGTATATAAATGATAGATTAATATTTTGAAATCTTTCAGAAAAAGACCTTCAGCTAAAGAATGTTTATCTCATCCATGGATTCAAATATTTTCACATTCTGAAAATAAATCAGAATATATACTAAAAAAATTGAAGAAATATAAAGAGTTCTATAATTCAATAGTAAGTAAATAAATTGTTTTTAAATAGTTATTACTTTGAAGTGAGCAAGAATAAAGAATTAACTCATAATTTCGACTATTCAAATTTCTAAGTTCTCCAAAGAACACCTTCTGATAATAATCATTTGCTCATTAGTGACTAACTTCAAGAGACACTCCTGTAGTTCTAGTGAGAAGCCGTTACCAGTGGAGTTCAACAAGGTCTGTTGTGAGATATCAGCTCACTGAAGATAACAGTGTACGGTGGCGCAATTTCGTGGATTGGTTGAAGTTAGACATCAAAACCATCGGATGCTGGTTGTCTCAGTGGTCTAATGGTTAAGTGCTCGCGCACGAGACTGACAGGTTTTGGGTTCGAATCTCGCGGAGGGCGGGATCGTGGATGCACATTGCTGAGGAGTCCCACACTGGGAAGAAACGGCCGTCCAGTTCTTCCAGGTTTTCCATGGTGGTTTAGCTTCGATTGACTCATGATTTCAACTATTAAAACAAAGAATAGGACAGAATAAAATGAATTCATTTTACTTACCTTTCTTGTTAACTTTCTTGATATTCTATGGAGTATTGTCAACAAGTAATTTAGTGATTTGAATGATTATACAACGAGGGGATTTTCCAGAAGATTCATACATATAAGTTATTTAATGAATTCAAGTTATTCTACTTAATTGTTTGTTCATGCTATCTACAATTTATGGAGTTTTTTTAGCCATCTATTTATATATCCATCTACAAATATGTATTATTAGTTTTTATTTGATATCAGTTAAAGCATTTAGAAACCAAATAGTGTTCAGCTTATACTTCACTCGAATTTAAAATTATTTAAAAGATGTCCACCGCTTAATATAATCTATAGATGAAAAAACTAACAATATTGAATAATCTCTTTGGAAATAAACAGAGTCTGAGAAGCTTTCTAGTTCATTACAATAAATAACATTGAAAAAATATATAGGTATACATCATGTGCTTGTTTATAAATCAAAATGTGATCATACTACCTGTCGGTATTAGATTTAATTGAAATATCAGTCATGTGAAGCGAATTAATTATCTTTAAAAGCATATATTAACTGAAAGGTTAAGTGATTTTACATGCAGTTCTATGAGTCGTTGTTTGAGAGTAATACAAAGATGACTTAATAAATTTCGCTGATAAGCTGACCAATGTCACATTTCAATCCACAACGTTCAGAAATATATGGCTAAAACCACTTAAAGATTATAAAATAGGCTGAGGATTAATAACTTGGTTGATTTCCAATGTTTATTATACAAACAAATAATGATTCGGGTACTGGTAACTAATATCAGCTGATAGTTTCGATAATATGTTATACCTAACGTTATTAAGTAAATTCAATTTTTTCCTAAAAAAAATCTTAATCTAAATATTTTAATTCCCCGTTGATGTAACTTTAAAATGTCAATAGAGTTTTATCTAACACAGATGTTTACTAATGTAGCATTCAATATACAAAAAAAAACTATTCTACCCAAAGAATTCATATTAATTACAATCTTCTTAAATGAATTCCAATTAATTTAGACAATGGATAAGTAAAACTCATAGTTTTTTATGAAGTAAGACATTTCACAACCGGTATATTTTCTAAATGTACTCAATTACATATTAACATACCAAACAAATGTACTAGAAAGTTTTTGCAATGTATTTAGTAATAAAATCCTGTGATTTTCACTTTACTTTAAATAACATAATATCTACAGCGATCAAGGTGGATAAGTTTATTTTCACATATTTCCTGCACTTTTATTGTATATATTAATCTTTTTTTATTTTTCAGCAACCAGTTTACATTATCAGTGATGAGAAAAATTATAATTCTGATTTGAAAAATCATTTAGCTTCTATGATAAGGCAGCCAACTCCAAGTGAAGATACAGAAAGTGTACTTTCTTCGCGATCATCATCAATTCTTGGTTTACGAGAAAGTTCCGAGCCATACAGGTAAAACAAATATTGGAAAAGTTTCTCATCAGTTACTAATAAACGACTTGTGAAAATTAATTCGTTTGTTCTCAATGCTATTTTATCGATTTATTAGGATCATTCTTTGGATTTACAATATGTTCATGATGTAACAAAGGAATCTAATAAGATTTATATTTTCTCAGGTGATACAACTGGTAGATACGATAACAGACTGGGCACAATAGACCAACATGTTAGATAGTAGAGTAGATTATTATACCATTACACTAGATCACGTGATACACCAATACACAATTCCGATTAACCATTGAGAACAAGATAGTGTAAACCAAAATAACCTTTCATTTACACAGTGTAAAATCCCAAATCCAGTTCGGTGAAATCAGTAGTAGTAAAGAGTTCACAGTTGTATTTTGTGTCTTATACATAAGGGATAGCTAAGTCTCTATCTCCACTCACCAACCAATATCGGATCACTAATCTATGAATTAGTTTACCGTTTACCCACTGATTTTTAAATAATAATGGACCTTTATCATTTCAACATTTGTGTATATATGCAGACACCTTTGTATATCTATTAACGGTGGTTTCAAGTCTCCAGAATAGGCACTGCTACAAAAGCAATGTTATTATATTACCTGTTTTCAGCTAGCCAATCAGACGATCAAGAACTCAATGTGTATGACTCATAGTCATTTGATATAATTATCATATCAGTAAATGACGAATATAAACACTGGTAAAACTAATTATATGGTTGTCATAAATTAATCTTAGTAGGTGTATCATTAAAATTTCAGGAAGAAACAACTATGCAGTCCTCCCCAGTTTTTAATGATATTCAATAATATCCCGACCAAAGTCAGTCTGTGATGACTGTCATCTGTAAAATGAATAACTCTCCTCAAAACTCTTTTATAGTTCGCATAAAATTAACTGTAATTTGGCTCAAATTATCAGCTTCAGATAAACCATGAAGCGAACATTTATCCTGCATATCATTTTGATTGATCAGATCTCCAATTTCATTCAATTTAGATAAAAGCATACACATTTCAGTTCGAAATACACCAAAACGATCACTAAATTTTCATTGGCTAGACACTACTACAATTGCTTCTTGAATCCAAACATAATATCAAGAACAATAACTAATCAGACTAATCAAACGTTTTTGTCCACGTATTTCAATATTTGTTATAATTTAAATTCAGAATACGTATTTTTTCCCATCTTGGAGTTGGTAAAACAATCGGAATATGAAACCATGTACTAACAATGTATACATTTAGGAACTCCATACGTCAGACGAGAATGAAGGTTTATTCAGAACATACCATCTAATCTGAGATTCTAACCTTTGAATAAAACAATAATAATTGAAGAGATTTTTTGTAGTCATCCACTTACTCAAAAAGATTAAATATTCCTTCTACAAGAAACGCCAACAAATTTCACTATTATGTTTAACATTCTAAATACTTCACTGAGTAATCACAGTTACAAATGGGGTGAGACATATAAATCCGATAATGACAACAGCTAAATTTATTATATGCTATTTCCTTTAAAAATATTTCCTTTGACTAAATAATTCTTTTTTTTTCTGGAAGTGAATCTCAATCACAACTGCTTGATCGATATGAGGCACATGATTTTATTGATGAAAGATTTATAATTCCACCAAACACCAATATTCCTACTGCAGACGATGCGTCGGAAATAATTGAGCAGAAATTCAATTTACAAAGACAAAATACTCTTACAGAAGCTACTTCCTTAGAAGAATCAACTTATACATTAATAAAAGAACAAGAAAAATCATCAGTGAATCCTGATCAAGAAAATCAACCCACTTCAATAAAACGTAATGAGATTGGAAATAAATTTAGTGGTAGGTCGTCTTTAATAATTTGTTTTTGTAAAAAAACTTGAAATCAAAAAATGAGAAATATTTTAATTACACTTTGTTCATTTCCATGATATGCTACTTGTGTCAGTTTTAAATGAGTGAAACGTTCGCTTGTTGTTTATATTATTGGTAATTTAAACTTACAGCCCTACATTTTCTCAGTGGCATATTTTAACAGATTATTACTTTTTTCTATTAAGTAACCAATTGAAATTGAGAGAAATCAAGAGCTTTTAGGAACAACTGAAAGATTTCTTAGTACGAAATAACTAACCCCTTTGAATTCAAGAAGCAGTCACTTACATACTAATCTGAATACTTGTATTATATTGAATTTCATTCACTTAGATGTGATAAAAACTGTATCAATTTCAATCAACACCGATTTTTAAAAAAACGATTTTTTTTCTCTTTATTTAGCTCCAGTGTTTGCTAGTCTACTTCGAGATGCATATTTCAGCGTCCATACAAGAGAAGTGAGATTTACTTGTCAACTTGCTAGTGCTCCCTACCTTCCAGAGGGTATTAGTGATTATGAAGAAATTATCAGTGAAATATATCCAACCGGCTTGAATTTTAATAAAATCACTAGTTCTTCGGCTGCTGCCGCATGGTACTTAGATGGTTGTTTACTCTCCGATGGCCCAGGTGTTAGTTTAGGTGTAGAACAAGGAGGATGGTTATGGCTTTGTTTAAGTGATCTTCGTCCGGAACAAGATCGCAGTGTTATTGAATGCGTGGTAAGAAATCGTGCTGGAAAATCAAGAACAAAAGCACGACTTTTATTTAGTGGTAAGTTTCAATAGTCTCCATTTTTCGTAATTTGTACTTAATTTAAATAATCCTATTTTTTATAAGTAATGTATTGTGCATCATGATCCCAATCACTTCATTCAAATATCTAGTCGTTTTGCCATTGCACAAGTTATCCCCAATCTATACTTTGTATTTTTTGTGAGATACATGAAATATGTTAGTATCAAACTTATTTTTCTTTATTACAGATATGCCGAAACCCCCTGGTCGACCAGGTCTTATCGATATTCGTCCTACAGAAGCATTGATTAGTTGGCTATCTTCAACATCAGATTCGAATGAAGATCTGATTTATCGCCTTGATATCAAATATTCAGGTAAAAATATCCTTATATAAAAAGATACTATTTTGACTGTGACAGACAATAATTGTGCTTATTTATGTAAAAAGTTACCTTGACCAAATATAAAAACGTATTATATATATATATATATATATATATATATATATATATAAATTTTCAGATAACTTTTATTTCAGAAGTTATTTGATTAAAGGCAGTCATCAGAAATCTATGAATCTTGGTTTCGAGCTGTTTGGTATTCGTCAACTAACCATATCCAGCATTTTAAAAGAATAGATGCTCCTCATGAGATTTAAATCTGTACCATCCACTATCACAGACAGAGACATTATCAATGAAAAATTCATGTCGCAAGTCACCTCCTGTAGGACTGCATACAATGTCATCACTAAATGACTAGAAGTCACGTTGTAACTTGGTCTATAGAATTCAAGCAGCATTATGGATTGATTAATTATTCATCATTGATTACAGCGTATTTTTACGGTCGATAACGTTAACAGTTTAAATGCATAAGAGGATAAATATCATGGCTCTACAAGACGTATACATTTTAGTTACATATTAAATTATTAGTCATATTGCAGTGAACAAGAACACGAGTGGGGACAATCGAGTGTATTTGACAGGAAATTACAGAACTTGCAAATAAAATATAACAACCATATATTAAATGCTCAATTTGCAAAATGACCATCAGTTGTCTCAAAATGGCTCAGACATCATTGTTCTTGTGTTGCATTCTGTTTCCATTTTTTACTGTTCGATCCTCTCATCTCTCTGCTGCCAGACATTCTTTCCTGACTAACGTCATATACTAATTATGTCAATATAAGTAGCACATACCACAATATGAATGTTATAGGGCATATGATAGCATTAATAAATTTATAATTATTCTTGAAAACTACAAAGAATCGATCAAGAAATAAGCCATAAAACACTTTAGACAAATACAATCAGCATAAATTCAAAAATTTTATTTGTTAAATAATTTAAGAGAAATGTATGTCAACTTGTTTTGTCAATTTAATCGGTTAATTCACCTGATAAGATTCACTAACAAATATTGTAGAAGTAAATTAATTCATTTCACTTCATATACAACTATATACCTCACACATACAACTTTTCAAAGTACGATGTTTTATTAATGTTTATTACGAAATATATACCAAATAATACGCAGTTAATTTAAATATTTATAATTATAATCAATGACAGTTACAGACTTTATTCTAACTCCAATTGACCTTAATTCATATACATCACTTAGGCTAAGCCTCATCAATTCCCTCAAGATCATAAGTTCATCTTGCTGACGAGTCCCAAATAGTACGAAACATAAGTTCAAGGTTTTCCCTGACGACTACTGTTAAACACCGTCTTACATCATAACCCTAACTTGTACAATGACAATATTGAAAAGCCAACTTTGAAATGTAGCTGAATACATAATATTTCATATATTCACATACACATAAGTGAAAATTGAATAAGTGGGGCTGCTTGGTTTGGTTATACGACATCTTTTTTATGAGCTTACTCATAGTTCAGATAGACAAAGAATAGGGTAAACCATAAATCGAAATACGCATAAATAAAAAACACTTACATACGTACATTGATAAAAGATCAAAAATTATTAGGAGAATGCAAATGACTGATTAATTACATCCTGTCTGAATTCATAAAATCAGTCAAAAAAAAAGAATAAATTTACGCAAGGAGATTCTTATATGATGTCACCCAGTAATTGCAATAATAACATTACTAAATTTACCATTCTAATTATAAAATTTAAGTAGATTAATAAATTTGATATCAATCTAAGCTCAACGATCCTCACAACCCTATACGGAAAATTTGAAAAAGCATGAAGATTTCAATAGCTTAAGTGTTCGGGTCTTCATTAATTCTTTTAAGTAATGATAAAAATGATAATTATGATAAAACGAACTGTGAATATGTTTATGTAATCATTGAGGTTGAAGGAAACATGTGACCAAGATCAACGAGTAATATTAAGTCACCATGGTTATGTCACGTGAACTGCAAATCTATTTTGGAGCATCCCAGCAAAGGGCTCCTGTAAAATACAATGATCAATACTTCTATTTGTTAAGGATCTGCTACGTACCCCAATCACTGGTGTTTGTTTATAGCACTACTAGTTAGTCTACGGACATTAACTGTTAATCTTTTGATACTTGTTCAGAGATCCTCTCACAGTTATTGGTAAGCAAATAAGAAATTCGTGTTATAAGTAGATATCAGTTACACAGGATATTTTAAGAGCTGAATCATCTAACTAGATTTTGGGAAGATATTCAGGCTGCAACTGGCCTCATACGAGACTGAGATGTTTTAAATGATTGATTACTAAGTAGTAACCAATATCGTGTTTGTCTAGTCTTTTAGTGCTGAGCAAACTCAGATGCACAAGTTTTACTGTTGCCATAAGTACAACTGTTCTCAGATTATTTGATGAAAGTCACCAGGTAACTCTGGATCTAGGTTTCGTGCTAGCTGGGAATCGTCAGAAAGTCGTAAGTGGAATATTGAGCGAACCAATGTATTTTATAGAATTGGAACTCACATCATCCACGTTCCTAGCTATCACCTTCTACTTAAATCTTAGAGCTAGACACAACTAATCTAATATTCTACTAGTTAAGTTATAAAATATACTTTCCAACTACGTTCCAGAGTTTTCGTAATGCTTCTATACACTAGCATTTTATAAGACTACTTCCCTAACTACCATGGGTAGAATACTGGATTAAGCTACATATTGAGTTATCTGACTTCCGAGATACTTGTAATGTGGCTACCATACAAATAGTTCTCATCTAAAATATACTTCAAGGTAAAAGTAGAATCATAGAGAAGTAAACTTTTTCTGTTAGATACCTAATAAGCCTACGGATTCCCATCGATAATATCTCAAAAGAACTCTGGTGATTTATAGTTCCAGGTACTTTTACAACTGACATCGACCATGGAAAAAAGCCATAGAAAATAATGAAGGTATTACAACCGAAAAGCGTAAAGTTACTAATTAATGGTCCCGCTTATTCTACACTTTCTTTAAACAATCTGACCAAACAAGTAACTTTTTAATAATTTCTTTTCTGTTATCAGAACGTGATAATGAACCACCTTCATGGCATCGACTTGGGTTCACCGTAGATTGTCGTTATCTTATTAATAATCTTAAACCTGGTGTATATTATCGCGTCCGTGTATCCGCCAGAAATTCATTCGGTTGGGGCAATTACAGCATTGCATCTTCTGATTTCCGTACTCCTATTGGTAAGTTAAGACCTTACTCAATAAAAATGTGCATCAAATCCTTAACGGTAACTTAGACTAACAAATATTAGTATTGTATTGAATTACTAAATTTCATTATTCACCCAGGTTTCATGCCTATCATTTAGTAAAATAATTATATAGCGATTCTTATTGTAGTATTTTGTCCAGTCCGTCTACAAAGCACAATCCTAATCGTTTAACAACCAAATGAGGCAGCGAGAAGAGACGAAGACACTATAACAACCTATATTATTAATATAGTGAAAATTCCCATTTTGGCGTTTGGTAAATAAAGAAGGAAAGAATTGAGCGAAGAAATTTCTTTTCAATTAGTTTTTCATCATGGCTCTACACTAATATATATATATATATATATATATATATATATATATATATATATATATATATATATATATATACGTTTTACAATAATAATATAATACTCATCGAGTAGATACGTTACGTAATAATTACATAATGACATTTAAATTAACATTGATTATTTGGAAGAAAGAGGATTATTAATATTCAAAGTGATCAAAAAGTTGCTACGTTGCGTAACAAAGAAGGAACAGAATTTTAACGGATGGTCAATAGGATGGTAGTTACGTAAGAATCAAGAGATGAATGATGAGAAGTTATTAAGTTCAAAAGCAACAGAAATAAAATTACAAAAGTTAAAAAAAACAACTGGAAGAAGTATGAAAAATACTTCTTTTGAAGGAAATCTTAAACTGATGGCCAGGGCAGGGAAAGTGGTTGTACGAATCTCTTTTGAATGCAAAGGTCAGGTTTTTGAACATGGATTGCGATGGCTTCCGCAATGTGCAAGAGGCGCACTCGTAAACCATGTGGCAAATTAGATGGGATATTGTAGATAACCTTAAAAGCTTTATTCAATTCGACTTGATGATCTGTGTTAACCAAGTGAGAGAGAATAGAACTTTTAATCACTTTTACCTGTCCTTTGTTTAACCACGACGGATGATGTTCAGTTATGCGATGACGGACTTGCCGAATTGTACGCCCAAAATAACTGGCTCCACAGGAGCAGTTGAAACGATAGATACACATAGATTTGGTGAATTCAGGCAGTCTGTCTTTGTTGGCTGTTCTTATTTTGGGATAGTTGTGGAAGATTGCATTTAATCTGGCAGCATTAAATGTCTTTTGTACAGCTCTTCTTAGTTTCTGAGTCAAGATTTCTTCAATGGTGTCATTTATGAATTGTAGTTTTATGAACAGTACCTTCTCATGGACGGTGGGTATCTTTGTCCTTGTTTTCTTCTCCATCATATGTTTGTCGATGAATTTCATGGGATACCCATTCATACTAAGTAGGTTCCGAATATTATTCAATTCTTCTTCAATGGTGTCTTCAGAGCAAATCATTCTAGCCCGATGTGTCAAGATCTTTATCAAGTTCCTTTTGTATCTGATTGTAACCGCACTATGGAAATGAGTGTATTGTCCTGCTGCAGACTTCGTGTGTACCCCTCTTTTTAAAGTTCCGTCTGCTCTTCTTTTTAGTTGGACATCTAGAAATGATATGCTGTCGTTCTGTTCATCTTCTGATGTAAAATTAATTGATGGATGGACGTTATTAAATGTATTAAGTAAATTGTCCCATCAGTTTAAGATTTCCTTCAAAAGAACTATTTTTCATACTTCTTCCAGTTGTTTTTTTTTAACTTTTGTAATTTTATTTCTGTTGCTTTTGAACTTAATAGCTTCTCAACATTCATCTCTTGATTCTTACGTAACTACCATCCTATTGACCATCCGTTAAAATTCTGTTCCTTCTTTGTTACGCAACGTAGCAACTTCTTGATCACTTTGAATATTAATAATCCTCTTTCTTCCAAATATTCAATGTTAATTTAAATGTCGTTATGTAATTATTACGTAACGTATCTACTCGATGAGTATTATATTATTATTGTAAAACTTATATATATTAGTGTAGAGCCATGATGAAAAACTAATTGAAAAGAAATTTCTTCGCTCAATTCGTTCCTTCTATATTATTAAGGCTGAATAAAGATATTTGGAATCTATCTACATTTTTTAGGGTTAGAATGTAGAATTCGACTAGCCGTTGTAAATAATCCACCAACATTTACACAAACCACTGATCGACAGTTAAACAAATCGCACAGTTATTAGTTCTGATCAATTTCTTTTCTACAAGTAGTTGTGCTGAATAAATCAGATATTAGTATCTGATAAGTCGTAGATCTGTTAATTTGATGATTGAATTTTTCAGAAATGACTTTTTCTCCGCTAATAATCGCATGTTTTACTATTGTTTTGATAAGTTTCTATGGATCAGTCACCAACTATTCTATCGCCCAATGAACGAACATGGATCTTCAACTGGCGTCAATCAGCAAATATCTACGCATTAAGCGATCATCCAATAGCTTTACAATATGCAATTGATCAGCCAATCAGTGTACCTCCACCACCAGACAAAATTTTACAGAAACTCAATCGATATAATGGGATAATTCCAAGTTTAGATGTATTGAAATCCATATGTAGACCAATTTGTTTGATAAATAAGTAAGTAATCACGACCGAGAAATGCTTATTGGAGAAACTGTTGTTCAAATATGTGACATAACCATTGTTTTCATGTGATATTTATTTTAACTGATTTCCATAAACATATATTAATAGTTAGTTTCTCATCAATGGTTTCTTTATAGAATTATGTTTCAAGATTTAATAAAATCCCATTACCTTATTAGGATGTGAGGTAGATGATACTAGACAACTGAAAATGTTGGGTATTAAACTCTTGGTCAGCGAAACAATAGTGATGAGCTCTTCATAAGATCATCAAGGACGTAAGTTACATTTTATATGGTTCATTAGTATGGATTTCTGATGAGCTGTAAGCTATGACAGAATATCCATCGTTTCCTTGTTTTCAGTGATTCTCCGATTGAAAATAACGTAATGCAATTAACTAAATCTTTACAACGTTAATACGTTTTTGTGAATTAAATTATAAGTAATATATATGTGAGTTGATTTTATTCGATAAATAGAGAACAAATTCAATCCGTTTAATTTACCCTTCTAATAACTTTTCATTTAACTTTTAATGTATTTTTTAGAGGAACATATACAAAACTTATTCTTGGAAAAACTCATCCAATGCTAAGTGAAGGAGTGAATTTCAATAATGTTCGACATCAAAGCATATCTCTCCCACCTAGATTACTAAGTAAAATCACATATCTTAACTTAGAAGATAATAATCTATTGAAAAAAGCCCGTCGTGAAGCATTAATGCTTACTATTCTTCATGGATCTTGTGGTGGAACATATTCTTCATTTGAAGATTTTTATAGTGAACAACATAACTCATATCTTTATACTAATCAACGACAACTATTACCATCTGGTTGGTCAACTGGTTGGTTAGAAGATGATGCAGTTAAACCGACACGAAGTATATCAGTAATGCGATGGATTCCTGGTGGACGTCTTATTGATGTTTTGTGCGGCCGAGTAGAATATACTGAATTTTCTGTTATGATGTGGAGTCAACAAATTCTTTCAGCGTTAAAATGGTTCTACGCATGCTTTTTAGGACAACCGCATGGAAATATTTGTCCGGAACATATACTTGTTGCACGACGGACATCTTCGCTCCCAGATATTGTATTGACTGGGTTCGGTCATGAATCTGTTTTAGATGAAACCAACAACTACTTTTCAGGTAAATTTTAGGGAATTTTAATCCACATAGTTTGTTGCTTACAAATATATAATTATTATATTCAGCGCTTAAGCTTAGCACGTAGCTATTGTAAATGATCTAAAACTTAGTAATTATTATATTTCAAATGGTATTTGGAAAATTGAACCTGCATAAACCTTTTCAAATTCACTGAAAATTAAACGTAAACATCAACCTAGTAAATTACTACTGAGGTTCATGAAAAACATTGTATTTCAGTTGTCTTTGTAATACTACTAAAAATAAAGTATACGTATTACAACGATAAAAGCGGTGTAACTTTGATACAGTAATCAATCATCTGTATTAATTAAAGGCTAATTAGGCCAAGTAAGAAATGAGGGTGTTACAAATTTCTTACGAACAGAAAGACTTGGATTGTTAGATCGAATCCTTATGGCTGCCACGGTGTGTAAGTGACAATATCGAACTCCACCTGTCATTACGATATCAATTTATACCATTTACTGAATATGTTCATTTATATGATCTACTTCACTGTAATCACTGACTCATAAACTCCCTTGATTGGTTTCATAATTTCATATATGCGTGCAAATATTGTTGTATACGAGAGTAAAGCTTGATGAGGATCTAATTAAAAACTATGTTGTTCTAATTCACAATAAAATCTTGTATGCATCAGCAAATAGATAAACAAATATTGATTAAAGTTTCTAAGTGATAGTTTATGAACCATTTAATGGTGATATGACTTCCACAGAAGTATCGGATAACAGTTTTATTAATTATACGCAAGAAAAGAACAATTCAACTATTGTATTTTGAGTTCAAAGTGATATCAGTCCGTTAAACTCAAAGTAGAACCCAGTACAGATGTAAATCGGTTCAATTTGCTATACCACATTAACACAGTGAGACTAAATCATTAGAGAGAATTCTAGGGTATTAGATGTAATAACAGTTCCAAAGGCATTAGAAAAGATTACGCATCCAAGATACGATTCGAGAGAATATAAATCAATGTAATAAAAAAATTATGAGCAATTGAAAAGCTTAGCATTTGGGCGAAGACAGTGATACAGGAGATATAAAATTTATAAATCTTGAATATAGTGTGCATTCTCCTAGCGAACAAGTGATTACGAAGTATTTTTTTTAGTTTTCTGTGATTTTCAAAATGCCATCTAATGGTATTAGCAGACGGTTTGTAATCCTGGTTTATTGATAATAACTACAAATGATCAGTTTCCGTTGATGTATTTACATCCTCAACGAACTGTCTCTACGTAGTCACAAGGTTTTAGTACATTCGATATTTCGCTATCAATGGGACGTAGAACATGAGTTTATTCTTATTTGAAACTAAATATCAACAATAGAAAACCATGAATCCTTACGAATATCTTCAAACCAGTTGAAAATGTTGGTTACTAGGACGACTCAGAATTTCAGTGAGTAATGCATCAGCGTTTGTAACAGAAGATATTAAATTAGATTCTCGTTGTGAATATAGACATTATGATGCAAATAAATCCAGGTGATGAGTGTCAAATAGCAGGAAACGTGAGTCTTATGTTTCCTATCCGAAACTGTTATGATTATTAGCAACAACTTTAAAATAAAAACTAACCATGTTGGAAAAATAAATAAACATACGTATGAAAGATTAAGGCATATAATAAAAATATTTATATTTAGGATTATTTATATCTGTCTCAGTTGTTTGATCCTGTTGAGTTTATTAATTCGTTTTTTCTTTCTTTATTTATAAACTAGCTCCCGAGTTATGCAAGAATCAGTCGAAATCAATGGCTTCAGATTTGTGGAGTGTGGGAGCTGTCATGAGACTATTGTAAGTTTCATAAAATTCGAATGACTTGTAAGTTAGGTGGTTTGTGAAAATGCAGTATAATTTCAAGATGATTGTCATCAGGAACCGACTTCAGCTGGAAGTGAACTGCCCAAAGTTCTTATGCCAAGCCCCCATCTGTAGAGCTCAATGATCTCGGGATTCAAGAATTTATAGTTAGTAGAATTGGATGAAGAATGCTCTACATCACAAATCAACATAAATTCACGGTGTAGATAGTGAAATTGTGGCTTAATTATATCCTACTGACTGCGCGATGTTTAAGAATTCTATACAAGGGCGAGAGAGGTTTATAGTGTACTACTTTCAAAGTCTTTCAATTGACGTCAGTTTGTAGTGATAATTATTTTATTGGAAAACGAGACAATTATGCTAGACAGAATATCTCTCAAAATTTACAAACCTTATCCCAGTAATCCTGAGGCCAATATTAAATTTAGTAGCCTTCAACAAACTGGAACTTCTCATTTAAGTATCTCTTTCAGGCAAGGATTGTTTCCAGCTTGAATACTGTTTGATGGCTGAGCGTAGTCATAGAGAGGTCCTGCAGCTATGTTTTGTGTTAAATAAAATTAATCTACATTCTTGACAAATTAATGCTTAAGTTAGCATTCAATTCTGTCCTGTCTAATATTGAATTGAGAAGCGTAAAAACTGGACTATTTCCGTCCCTACTGACTTCCTGTAGGACTTAAATGTTTAAATTAGTCGCTTATTGAGCATTAACTTATATAATTTGTTATTGAAAATGATGAATCCTCTAACAATAAGAATCCCTTTCAGTCAGAATTTCTTAAATCATTTTTCTTTAAATTAATAATCATCTATAGAAAATAAATAAGGTTTAGCATACAGTTAATACTTCTAGTTTCGACTGTGACTAAGAGTGAGATCTAGGACACATTTTATCTTATTTTTAACTCACAAGCTGGATGCAATTGTATTCTAGTGTTAATAAGGCTAAGTCGATTAAGACTGATTAATGTTCAGTCCTAAATATCAACAGCGAAATAACAGAAACCTTTAAAAATATACATGTTATATTGTTGATAAAACCCCACAGGATCTATCACTTTTTTAAACTTCAAGGTTTATACTTACTTATTCTATCTGTTTTATGTATTTAGACTAACAGGTGAAAGTCCAAATGAAATTGATGTTCAAAGAAAAAATTCGACATCTGATGAATCAATAAAACAGCAATATGATAAAACCAAGATTAAACAATCTAATGAATTGTCATCTACAATTAATTCAGAAAATACTTTACGAAATCATTTAAATATTAAAAAATTGAAAAGGTTTTCCAAACCTGCAAGAAAATTTATATACAATTGTCTTAATCCTTCACCAAGGTAAATCTTCCGGTTATATATATATTTCAATATATATGCTCGTTAATCAATTGATAAACTTGTAGGTGGTAAAATACTTAAATCCAATGGGGAGAAAACAAATTCGATGTCATGATTTAACTAAATCAATGAAAGGAGGATTTGGTTTCAATGTACTGTAGTTGGGATTTGTTTGAGCTATGAAATGACACTTTTGCTTAAAAAGCGACTGAATATGTGAAACCTTTAGACAACTGTTTCGTGTTAGTTTAAGACCCCCTTACCCATGATTTATAATGAGACCTTAAGACATCTATATAAATCGTTTAGTTTCCTTCAGGAAACTAATAGATAACACATTTTTAGGAAATTTCAAATTGTGTTCCGTTACTTAGGATGGCTCTCTCCTTTAATCATATAGGTTAGACGCCTGAACCATGCATTCTTTAAAATAAAGTACTCTCATTGCCTGACCTTGCAGGAATTGATCTTCTACCAAGAGATTCACTTGTTGACTTGGAATACTCATATGATAGTTTTATTTGGTGAAGATGCTGACAAAATGCAGTCTTCTGACCACTTTGAGCAACAATCCAAGCATATTTGGGATGTGATTCTCTCCTTCCAAATGTAAAATGTTGCTTCATGATTGATCTGCATCAGCGGCTGAGTGAAGTAACTGAACATATCGGTCGCTCCACTTATCTTGGAAGTCTCACCAGCCATAATGGTCTGGTATCTGACGAAATCTCGCAACCGATTCGAAAGGTTCGATTAGCTTTCCCAAGTTGCATCACCAAAGGACGAGTTTATTGTTCAGCATCTCGCTCTGTTCTACCCTATGGTAGTGAAACATGACTATTAGGAATAAAGGATTTTCTTAGTTTACTAGTGCTTGGTCATAGGTGTCTTTGGAGCACATCGCTCGTGTATCTTGAGACCATCGATTAAGTAATGTCTGGGTTAAAAATAGGGTACTACGTAGAGATGGTAGGTCGATTGATGAGATAGTAAATATTCATCGACCGGAGCGATTGAGACATGTGTTACGTTTGTCCAATCACCACCTACTAGACGCGCGATGTTGTTTGGTGTAGAAGTAGGCTAGAAGAAAGCTAAGGGCGACCAAGCCAAAACATGGCACCAGTTTGACGTTACTAACAACTGTACTAGGTCATGTTAATAGATGTACATTATCTGACATAGGTTCGAGTGGTTACCAGTGGTTGAAGACTTTGAATGACATGGCTCAAAATCGTTCGCAATGGCGCAGGTGCACCCATTTTTTGTCCTCCCCCAAACTCAAAGTTTACAAGCCATAGTTGTCGAAGCAGTATTCAAAAATGAGAGTACTTTAAGTTTCTGACATCTTTCATAATAAACACATTCAATCATAAAATTCAGTTACAAACCAAGTCTCATTTTCTTAATCATACTAATATGAATATAGATACAAAATATTATGAGCGACTTGTGGGAATATTTCAATTTTATAGTGTACATCACAGGCTGATCTTATTCAGACAACCAACGAAAGCCAGGAACCACCGGACATCTGTCCCCACCTAGTATGGAACTCCATACACAACACCACCGATTATCTAACATTTAGGTCTTGCAGTGAGCGCGTAAGACTTGGGCTACGGCATCCAATGGTCTACACTGTGATAATAACCAACTATCGCCTAGAGCTACTGATGGGATGTTGGATGCTAGTTGTTACTACTACAAAACAGCTGTTTGGTGTCTTCTGGTTGCAGCGGTTGTCTAAATTCAGTCCGTGATGTAAACTATACATCCATGAGCATCCCAAATAAATAAGTCTTTTTATATTGACAGGAAACGTGGAACAGTTGATTTTTGGCTTAATTCTCATTGGTTCAATTTCAATGCTGACAATGTGAACAATTTAACTTCAGTGATCATTCCCACAAATTTACTAAGATCATGCAAACTTGTTCTAGATCAAAAAACAAATGTTGACGAAACAGAAGAACTACAGTTTCCTTGATACAAGAAAAACAGAATCATTTCTTCCTTTCCCTATTTTCGTCTTTTATCCCTTATATTACAAAAGTGCAATTAATGACCAATAAAAATTCCTTTAGTTATATATATATATATATATATATATATATATATATATATATATATATATATATATGATTTGCTGCCTCATTATGACAGTCACAAACCCACCATTATTCCTTTGGCTAGTCAACAGTAAGTGAAATATGGTTATAACATTTCAGGATACATCCTTTTATGCATAAATATTACCTAATCTGTTTCAAATATCATAATAAACATAATTCTCCGTATTTTGTTTATTAAAACCCGTTCCTAACCTTTTTCTTTAAATGTCCCGTTTCCCATTTAATCTACATTAGAATAAAGATGATTCTTCCTTCAAAATTTCGAGGCATTTTTTTCGATTTCCTTACCATTTCGTAAGTACTTCGTTTACATTTTCACACCAAAAAGCATGTAAAAGAATTAGCCAAAGTATAGATACACGAGCACACACATATATACTCCTTTATACATGAAACATACTCCTATCATAGTCTCAGAAACATTATATCATTCAAGAAAAATAGTTGCTTGAAAAATTATTCCGAAGGAATATATCAGAAAAGATAATTGCAAATGTATACTGACTTTTCGCTTTCTCGAACAATGTTAATGTCAGTTCGACTGACCTACAACTAACAGGTCATGGGCTCAAACTGCACTTCGACTATTTTGATTCGGGTAGTCGGGTCGTATCATATCCAAAAGCTAAATTATGTTGTGGCAAAATGTTTTCAATAAATTAGTAAGAAAATCTGTGAAGTTTACGACTTAACTCGTATTAAACTAGATAAAATTAGAGATGATACCTACCAGTTTCATACTATACAATTGTAAATGAAAGGTTAACTAGCTAACTGACAGTCGAATAAAACAACTGTTTAACGAAAAACACCGTAACACACTTATCCAGTAAACCTATTTGAATTTTACGCACACATACATAAAAGCGCATACGAAGTGAAACGATAATTTCTCGAGAAAACAATGAAACACAATCAACAAGTAAATAAGTATACATAAGTAGTATAGACAGGTTTTAAAAACACAGTTTAAATAAGAATAAAAATGAACTTCAATTCTATAAAAATTGAATATTACTATTGATCATGAGCATCAAAAATTTGATTCAATTTTAGACCCGTCTGATAGCATTTTTGGCAGTCGAGTTGCGTCCCTTCAGGGAACCTGTCCAAAGGATACCAATGAAGTAACACCTAACAGCAGAAAATAAATGCAAACGATTTTTACTAACTACTGTTTATTTTTACCCCAGCAGCAGTAGATGTAACTATCACGTGTAGGGATAATCCTAAGATCCAGTACCTAGGATGTCTACCTCACTATATTCAGTTATTAGGCCTTATTGTTCTGTGGTACTTTATCACAATACAGGATTTACAACTCAATTTTGTTACTGAATGTAGCCAGCCCATCAGCAACAACACCGACCCGATATAAAGAACCACCAGACATCTTCAGTTCAAATAGTCAGGGTTTTACACGCATAAACCAAATCTATCGACGTTGTGCGCTTGAAATTCTAGTCAAACTAGATATCCCTATAAGTAGATGGATATTCTTTTCCGCACTACCACAGGCACACACTACTGCATGAATACAAACTTTGCAACTACTTTTTTATAGCTTAACAACAATTGTGAGTATATACAGATGTATCTACTAGCCATTTAGAAATGATTTTCAATACAATTGGTCCAAGGCACAAATGATACTAGCGAACACTAACTAGATATTTGATGTTTGAGTAATTTTTACGTTAGTGGAACGAACAATCTTTATCTGAGTGACCAACCACAAACATCTATGTTATAACTAGGAGGCTAAATCACGTAAACGGAGACACTCTTGTCCGACTGTTTGATTAAAAAACAAATATTAATAACACAAGTTATATTAACATGAATAAAAAGTGGGTATAAGGGCTTCGTAATATACGAATTCAGTCAACAATATACAAAGATGTGTGCCACCTCTCTTTAACTCTTCTTAGCTCAAACTGTCTAACCACATTGCCCTACCTCAGTGAGAATTATTTTTAAGCTGTTGTCGATGGGACGTTAGGACCGAATAACTGATTTGCAGCAATTGAGAAGTAATAATAATTCCTCACGTTACCCCAGGTATTCTTACGAACAGCTTTTAAATGTTTATAAACATCTCAAACACCTCTATGAAGTAAGCTGAAAGTATATCATGAGCTTAATGGAGTCCTAATGTTAAAAGATACAAAAACTATTTCATTGAAATACTTGATGCTTAGGAATTTGGCGAAAGTCAAAGGTACAACCAATACACCCACGACCAGAACGAATTGAGATTTACTTTCCGTGAGACTACCTTCCAAGCACTTTGGACAATCGGCATATTGAGTGAAAAGCAACTACTTCAGACGCATCTGGTATCAAAAATGCACCTGATGACCGGCACTTACATCATGCAAGCCATTTCCAAAGAGGATCACGACAATCGATTCACTCCAAAGGGATGAAATACTCCAATGTCGTCAAAATATGTTAGACAAGAGAGTCGCCTTCTTCCCCTCACTATGCTCTCAAATAAAGGTTAAAATTTCTTATGAACAATTAATAACTTTCTTCCTCTCAGTTTAGATGATCTTAACACCTACTTATATTTTTAAACCACACTGTATTTGCGATTTATAACTTGACCTATATTCCCAACTATTATTCTGATTACGATTTCATAAACTATTTTATTTGTCGACGTCAACTATGTTACATACAGCTTATTAAAAAAAATAACAAATTTACTGAAGTTGAACTTAGCAGTTATACGATAGTCAAGCAACCAGCTTAACAGTCAACGCCTAATCGATTAGAACGTGACTTACAAGCTGATTTTTTCCGAATCTTTCACGTTATATTACACCATCTTTGTGTTGATATTTTGCCGACAAGCATTTCATTTTTTTTTACATGAAAACAACCTCATTCTTCTGACTAGTAATTTTTCAAGAGGGACTGACGTCAAGAATTTAGTTTTGCGTACAAACATCATTCGACCATATTTTGTATTACTGTACATCAGTGGTCAATCAACATGCTATTTTCGTTAATACTAATGCATAGAAATCAGCTACATCTTTTACTTGACAATAATAATACGAAGAACTATCCGATTAGAGTCTTATGCAAATAAATCTAAAAAGTACAACTACGATAATACTAAAATAGGAGTGTGATAATAATGACAATAAAGAAACATTAATTCGTATCATATTCAGTACACTGTATAGGTTTAACAAATTGAGAGAAAATCTTATACACTTGAGGCCAAATTTCATTTGTACGACATCCATGGAATATATGTAAAATCTTCTGTTTTCTTAATTTGCATATAAAGAAATGAAAGAAGAAAAAAAGGGAGAAATATATCACTTCCCTATTTCTGTTAAATATTAGAATAACGAGATAAAAAAAACCTCATACACCTTGACTGTGTGATAAAATATAATTACACTGGTTTCAGATTCGTGTTAACTTTGCATAATTCTCAGACTAATCCAGCTGTATAATCATAAAGAGACCCGATAACACGATATCAAGAAGTCTGAAACAGCATCTTTCGAAATGGATATATTTCAGACAAAATGTAACCAACACACTTAAACGTCTATTATTCTTATTTAAACACATAAACATTGGTACAAGAAGGCACTAAATATATATGCGTCACATAAATCATTTGATTTGTGCGAGGACTGGAATACTGCCCGAAAGCGCAAACCGAATCAGATGATTTTCTTAGAGGGCTACGTACCGAGCCTTTGGCCTCCAGATCTAATCCACGAGGCAGTGGAGCAACGTCAGGAGATGCAGTTCCATGGTAGTCGGTGACCAACAATAGGTTCATACGCCACTTGTTCCCTCAGGATACTGGAGCCCACGTGCACCAGTGGTTTGGATTCAGAGTTTTTCAACTCCCCTAGGTGGATCCTCCATATCCACCGAATCCATTAAAGCGCCGGACATTCGCTTATTGTCATATCAATTTCGTGAGAAAACACCCTCGCCGCGAGAAGGCAGTGAGTAGGACTTCCTTGGCAATAGCTGTATACGTGTGACCATGTGAGAGCATTTTGAGCGGGAGAGCTGACACTGTTCTTCGGTCGTACCAGAGCATTTGGGGGCCCTAAACGTGTAAGATCTAAAAGGTGTAGGAAGTACGTGTGAGTTTGAAGGCGTTCGTGTGTAAGCGTCGAATCGCCTAATGTATGGATTAATGTAGCGACTAGTCATTGCATGAATTGTTGAATGAATTTATATAGTCGATGAAGTTAGTGCAATAACATACACAGATATGCAAACAATCACAAACGTAAAGTGTGCACGAATGGAAGTAAATAATTATTTATATTGATAACCAGTACGATCAAAATGATACATATGACATATATGTGAAACCAAGTATAAGCTTGAATAGGTGTATGTTCTCCTTGTTTCAAATGGATATGTAGCTACTAAGACCAAATGCATGGTTGCACAAACGAAAGGGAACAACGATTATAATTCGATGTACAACGGTAATAGTCGGATGAATAAAAATTAAACAAAATGTAGTTGGGTTAAAGTATTCTAGTTTCATTTAATTAAACCCAGTGTAAAGGCTGACACATATGCATCGATCCATGTCGCTACATACTACTTGCCACAGCGAATTTATAGACTACCACAATTAGTGTCAACATTCTAACTATTATCTCATCATTGATTCAAAATAGCGTTATTAAGTGTTACACCACTGCCAAAATAGATTTAATAGCAAAACAAAATGAATCCATATCAGTTCAGAAGGGCTCTGAATTCATTTATAATGTGAGGTTCAATGCTACTAAATAAATCCCCAAACTGAGTGCCCAAACTATTTAGCTATTTATTACACATACAATACGGTAAAAATAAGAAAGTACAGGATTTTCAGTCTTTTATTAAATAAAATGGGTGGTTTAACAACATAGAAAATGCCAACCAATTTCGAAGGATCTACTCTCAATACAGTATCTACCGACCATTTTTAAGTTAGATGACTTCTGGACGCTACTGAAAACTAGAATAGGTAATGTAGTCAAACTAGAGCAGTAAAGAGAACGTTTAATGCAGCCAACCTGTCTGTCGTACTCCACCCGATCTATGGTGATTCCCCAACTAAAGGATAAGTTACCTGGTTATGCCACTTCTATGTGTATTTACGAATTCAGCTGCTCTTGTGGGGAAAGCTATATTGGGCGCACTACCAGGCAACTGAACCAAAGAGTTAGTGAACACCTCCCTTCGTGGTTAGGAAAACGTACTGTTAAGACGATACGCAGCTCAGTTCTATCACACTTGATCGATAGCGGTCATATAGTAGACAAAAATAAGTCCTTTAAAGTTATTTATCGTATTCCTACTAGTTTTCCTTATAGTGTTTGGTCTCGTCTCTTACGAATAGCAGAAGCTATAAGAATTCGAGCCAACAAGTTTTTGTGTTCATAAGAAATTTGTAACACCCTTATCTCTTCCTTGACCTTAATAAATGATTTTATCCATTATTATTTTCTATACTCTCTCTTCGTTTATTATTTTTCTCTTCACCGCCTCGTACCATTTTATTTTATTTTCTCTCAAATATACGTTTCACGGTCCAATTATCTGAACACTTCTTATTACGTAATCATATAATTTTTATAAATGTTATCTCACTGTCTATATTTTTCTAATAATTTCCGATTATGCAACATTGATTCAAGCCTTTATTATTCATCAATATCAATTTGTACTTTTCACTTATTATGTAATCTTTTCCATCGTTATCATTGACTCATAAACTGCCTTGATTGGTTTAATAATTTTGTATATGCAAATAAGTATTACCGTATATTAGAGTAAAGTCCGATGAGGATCTAATCGAAAACAATATTGTTTGTTTATATATGTTGTTCTAAATCAAATATAAATTATCAGCTTTACACCACGATTCAGTAAAGTGATTATAAAGAACAATCGACACATACGGTAACATATGATGGTTATTTAATTAAAGATTTAAAAAAACATTATTAGTCAAAATTGTACAGAAATTATTAACATCCTAGATTTATAAGTATTGAATGATTAACTTTCAAATATACATCAACTACATTGAATAATGAAGCCAAGTAATACTGTTTACTCCAATAGTGTTACACTAAACAATGAACAACTGGGAGTGACATTTTTGAGTAGTTAGATAGTTAAAATACTGAAGGTTTCAGGTTTTAAATTAGCCTAACTATTTTTCATTGGGAGTAGGATCTTTGACTCAAGGTAGTTCTTACACAAGATTGTACTATTTAATTGTACTGCAAACTATAAATTAAAAATGTTAACTTGTTTCAATCAAGTATTAAATGACAATTTGCATACACTTTACAATAAAATCTACAAGTAAAATAATTGCTCTAATATATTACAAACACTTCCAAAAGAAAAAGTCGAAATTAACGTACCCGTAATAATCAAGCAATGGTAAAGTAGAAAGTTGATAAACATCCAAACGTTTACGAACAGTTATCAGGTCATCATCATCTCTGCGTATTAGAGGTTCTCCAGTCACATCATCAAATCCCTATTTTCAAAATAAAAGTAGTGATAAAAGAGGATGGTTCATGGGTTACATTAAGTTATAAACTGATGACTATATTTCTCCAATATGAACACAGGACATTGGGGACGAACGCAAATATAAACACAAACCCCCCGTAAACACAGCACGGTTTTGACTGCAACGGAACTGTAACACATTTATATTGGATGACTTGTTTCAACATCTTATCTGTTAAGCTTAAGCTGACAATTGTGAATGACAATAGTAATTATCTTGTCCTTGTAAAGCTTAAATTCAACCCCCAACTAACATACATTTTTCCACAAAGCAGTGGCTATATTTAGGAAGATCGAACATAAATTTGGCTAACCTTACATACAAGTAAAGGAAAGACTGCTCATCACTAAGTGACAGAAATACGCAGAAATAAATACTGTTTGAGCTCACTAAATGAGTTGGATCCAAGACGCTTATAATATTGCTAAATACACCCACTAAATTTTTTTGACATCGAAATAGCAGCAAGCACATAATGGTATGTTTCTAGAATTGTTAAAATTACCAAAAAATTAAAACTCCCAAAATTTTATGGTAATGGTATGATCAATATACAGTGAGAAGTAGTAGCATTTTATCTCACAAGTGTTAGTAATATAAATCAATGAGTAAAATGCCACATAACAAGACATAGGAAGAAAATCTTTATAGTGAGACTTCCCGTCATTAATTTCGATGAACCTACTGAAGGATTGTTGTACCTTAACGCCTAACTGATTTAGAAGTATACAACCGACAAATCTAAGCATATTATTTAGTGTCTCTAACTCTCTAGTGTCTCTCCAACGCTTTATAAAGGTGGTGAACTAACAGGAAGATAATTGATTCTAGTACTAAGTGTCAGTCAGTCACTATCAACGTAGAACCTGGCAAAGATGTATATCGGCCCCAGTTGTCTTACCATAATATTACGAAAACATGAAACTAAGATGAACAGCCAAAGCGATCGAAATAATATGATACTTACGGTGACAGATTGAATAAGAATATGGCCCTGATAGACAGAGTGGAAAAGGCATGTATGTATAGATCCTGGGACTCAAGACCAAGAAGATAAGCAGTGAACGCATCTGTACAATTATGGACGATGCAACATCTTATTGCCCAAAGTCTCCAACCACTGATCGCAGTTATCACGCACACCTCAATCAGGTAGTCCGAATCAACCAACAATCAATGGCTTCATGAACTAAGGCTGTCTTAGTTTGATTATCCCTAAGTTGCTTTCAACGTATTTAAAGTAAGCATGATAGTTGAGCATATGTAATACACATCCTAATCAGCTCGACTTGCCAACTGACCGTGTAGACTGTAATGATTTTGTGGCAGCATCATGACGTAATTCACTTGCCTAGTGAATGTTTGTGTACTGTTTCCAGCCCAATTATTCATGGCTCAGGGAAAGAGACTAACCAGTGTTTTTACCGAACCCTCTTGAAAACGAGACGAAATAAACTTACGGTTGATTCTGAACTCATAAGAACGGAAAATCTGCAAAAGTTAGTACTAATGAACTTAAATCTACATGGACGATGATGATCAAAACGGGAAATTCATTATGCACACAACTTACCAGTACACCCAAAGGTATTAAAGATCCAAGCCGTATTGGTCACAAAAATTAAATGTTAAGATACAATATAATAGCAATGAGTAAAAGCTATCAAGTAATATAGTTTACAAGGTCATATCATACTAACTTTGCGTTTCGGAGGGTTAAAATTATCATTGTACGTCCTACCACTTGGGACATGAGTGTATCTCCCACTGATTCTATTTATGATTTCTTCAAAGGGTACATCTAAGCAAAGAACACAGCTGACAGGAAGTTGTTTTTGAACGTCTTCAGCTTGTATCATAGTTCTCGGAAATCCATCAATAAGTAAGTTATCGCTTGCATAACTTTGACACTCAGCAATCATCATTTTAGTGACTAAACTGTCCGAAACAAGTGAACCATTCTGGACAAACCTGCTTACCTGCTTCCCAATATCTAAGATATAAAACATACACAGGAAGATGTACATCTACCTGTTTTTAAAGCAACATGGTTTCTTAGCATATCGCCACAGCATATATATTTCAAAGCAAAGTCTTTCTGTAAACGCAAAGAGATGGTAGCCTTTCCTGAACCAGGAGGTCCAATAATAACAGTTCTGACATTAGATGTAAACACCTGAGAAAATCTCATACGGAGCTCACTCCTTGGTGTTGTGGTACCGTTCAAGGTCCTTAATAACGTCCAATGGGCAGTATTCTGGCTACTTGACTGCACTCGATCTAGTCAGTTTAATAGTCTTCTTGAATGTTTTTATATCTTGTAATCTGGAAGATTCGACATGTCCAGCATAGATAACTGTTAAGCTTTAAAAGTCAGGATAGATGAAAAGCTAGGTCAGGGTCAGATCTACCTCCACGACCTTGAGTAGCATAGTTCTAAACGAGGACTCCGTATTTGAAGTGCTCAGGACTGGTTGCGCGTTAACTTGTAAGAATACGTAGTGTTCGCATTAGTAGTTTTTGATGTCTGAAAGCCCTGAAAACAGTCGTTAAGATCCATATTAAGGATGTTATTGTCCTTTTTTAGTGCTAAAACTACATTCATGTTTAAGCGCCTGTCCATTGGAAAGTTAAAGGTTTCATTACATTCAAAATTAACGTAATATCCGCAAAAACTATGACATGTAATTCTAGGAACTGTTTATTTACGTTTGCACAGAAATTTCTAGCGCTATCGGTCAAGCTTTCAGTTTCCTTTATGTTTCGGTTGACATAACTGAACAATTTAGACTTATGATGCTGAGCACATTTTTCCTTGTCTCGAGAGATTTCCCGAAGGCATTTTATAAATTTCAAAGTGTAAGTTGGTGGTAGTTTGACTGCTTTGTAGATAACTATATCCAAGTGCAGAAACATCCGATCCTTGTGAATGGATCTTCAACACACAGGGAAAAAATCAATTTATTGAATGGTGTGCAAATGCAGGTTTTCTCATGAAATTGGTTTGGTTTACTAATATAACGAGTATTTTTATATGCTTTTAATGAGATTGAGAACATTCACTATCTAAATATTCTTTCACTGTCAGCAAATATCAGTCATTTTGTTTTATCATTCATATTCAGAGTTTGTGATATAATATACGATCAGGCTAGACCTCACCAAAATATGTGGATAGCAAACATAACCACCATAGAGATTGTGCTGGATTAACGGGCTGTTCAGTAAAAACTACCATACCAATTGGAGAAGCATGGTCTATATTTAAAGGTACACTTGGCTTGGTGACGTTCAAGTCCCCATCATATTTAGAACCATGCATACGTAACAAATGTCCACCACAAATAACTAAGCAGGTTAGGAAACACCTTGGACATCAGAAAAGCACTAGTGTATGTTTATGTACACAGACTTTGAACAGTGTGGATCCACTTACGATAAAACTAGAGATGTTTGAAAGGTGTTCGTAAGGCTTGACATTCAGATTAACAACTACTAGTCTAGTCTGTTAAAATGGTTCGTAAAGGTTGCTACATAGATTTATGGTCTATTTTCCTAATAATACGGCTATAATAGTAGACCTGATCCTGAAGTGATTGATTTGTCTTGACGTGACTACATAATCTACCACATGCTCATTCCGGTAGGTAACCCTCATTCTATTGATAGAAACCAGATTAGAAGAGGTTTCTATTTAGCTCGTCGGACAGTCACATTGCAGCGGGAGGTTACCTTGTAGCGTGGTGTCGAGTCGAAATTGACTATGAACGCCACTACAAGGAAATGCGTACCAAACAAATCAGAAGGCGAAGGTTGAACGTAACCAGATTTATTTCTTTGGCGATCTCATGGTATCGAACGAATACCAAGATCGTGCCAAGAAATGGTACAAGCACAAGCAGGAGAACGGAGTACGTGCGAACAAAGCCAGCAACCGCGGGACAATAATGGAAGGTAATGGAAGCACAAAATGACTGTAATTAGCACAGTTAAACAAAAGCACATTAAAACAAGCACTGGTACAGTTGGTTATAATAATAATTGTTTTCATTAAACCAGTCGTGTTCTCGTGATAAAAGTGAGTCACTACAGGAGCCGCCCGCTAGAAAGGGTATACACTTTTGATAAGTAGCGGTTTAATTCGTGGGACTGATCGGCTGACGAGCGATTGTAGGACGGAAGAATAGGCGAACAGGAAAGCGATCGTTGATCGTCGAGTTTCCAACGAAGGTCGTTTCCGGAGAACGGTACTAAGAGCGGTGTGTTGTATTTGTTACTCGCGTTGGCATACCACACCAGAGTGGTTTGTATCCAGAATCTGTAGATTGCGTTCGTAGGGATGCCGACCAGAAAACGCTGCAGACCACGTTGAGCCGAGGAACCAGAAGCGACCATAACAACCAAGTTCGAGACCAAGCGTATGTCAAACATTCGAAACCAAAATATCGACTGAGTGCGTTGACAAGAGCGTGGGTGGCCAGTCCAGCTTTCGCCAAAGTTGACTGAAGTCGACGATACCAAACGGGGATGGTCGGATGCGTAGGCTCAAGATACAGAAAAAAATCAAAAAAAGAAGAGTGTATCATGCATGTAGCATAGGAATAGTCCTACACCGTATCGGTTGTTGACTGTGCGGCTAGTCGCGGAAGCGTACGGGCAACCGTACTCGGCGACCGGAAAGTGAGACGGTAGTCTCGTTCGTATCGCGTAAGCCTGTAATCTCACCCGAAGTCAAGGGCGGCGTGGTCTGCTGATCTGGACGTGAGACTGCCGTCTCGTCCGTAGATGATGCAGATGACACGCGCTGTTGACCGGGACGCGAGAATGAGGCTTCAGGTGTATCTAGCGTGGGATCTGAAGGAGATTTAAGGATCCCGCTAGGTTTGATAGGTCTAGCATTGAATCTCAGGGTGTCAGATAGGGCACTGTCATCGACGTGTGCTGGTTTGAGACGATCAATGCTGACGATCTCGACGCGGCCATGTCGATCAACCTTGAAGGTCTTTTCGTGACGAGCGATCACGTGAAAAGGGCCTTCGTAAGGCTGTTGCAAAGGTTTGCGTACCGAATCTACTCGTATGAAAACATGTGTACAGGTAGATATCTCTCGAGGGAAAGCGACCTGTCAATGCTGTATTCGAGTTTACACCGGAGACAGCGTTCGCATAAATGCAGACAGTCTATGGACGTAGTCTGATTTACCGAAATTAGGTCTGCTCCGTGGTGTGAATAATTCTCCGGGCAGACGCAATGTCGTGCCGTATACAAGTTCAGTGGCGGAACATTGGATATCTGCCTTTAAGCTCGTTCTCACCCCTAAAAGAACGAGCAATAAGGTTTCGTGCCAGTTGCCATTTTCGTGTGCTCGTAGAACACTTTTAAGTTGGCAGTGAAACCGTTCAACCTAACCATTTGGTGCTGGGTGGTAGACGGAGATGCTTATGCGTATGCATTCCGTACCAAGTAGCCGGGTCAGCGAGGAGAATAGTTAATAGGGGAAATTTTCTCGAATGAAGCGTGGAACTTACCGTCACGCAAATAAAAAGTGACAAGGATTCGGTACATGTACATGGGAGTCCATTATATTAATACTATTCTTATCGTTATCCGTCTTGTCGCGTATATTATATATTGAAAGGTAATATGAAAATATACGACAGGCGTGGATAGATAAACAATAGACTTACCGAATTGGCTTCTTTAGAAGATTTGACCAGAGATTGTGGAGTGTTCGATAATTCGGCTCACCAGTTGTAGCGTGGTGTTTAGTCGAAATTGACTATGAACACAGCTACCAAGGAACGAGCGCCAGGATATCCATAAAATCCCCCGGAAGCGAAATATCAGAAGGCAGTTAATGGACCAAATCGAGATATATTCTCTGGCGATCTCGTGGTATCGAAAGGATACTGAGATTGTGCCAGGATAAAAAACCTTGGTTACAGAACGTAGCCGATCAAAGTGTAAGAATAATGGATGCTTTTTAGCACAGCTAAACAAAAGCACATTAAAACAAGCACTGGTACAGCTGGTTATAATAATAATTGTTTTCATTAAATTAGTCGTGTTCTCCTGATAAAAGTGAGTCACTACAAGCTGTTCAAACAGACAAAGCTTCTCAACATTCAATACAAGATTATAGGAAATATAATGTCTATGCAGAATAAGGAAGTGAATGAATACTTTAGTCCTATTGTTTTGAAACATACTTAATTGTTTGAGGTTGTATGTTCAGCTTTAAAGATCGTGTGGTTAGGAACCAATACCACTAAAGTTCATTCATATACAGAGGCAAACTAAGCGGAACAAAAGGATCCCACAACTTTCGGTACGAGAACTTCTAAAGATACTCATACGAATATTCGTCAAGATTAGAACGAATAGTTTGACAGAAATCGAGCGCCCAGTATCGAGAAGTCATTATATGTGAAAATTACATGTCAGTCGCCGAGATTATTTCAAATATAATGTCTTCTAAAGATATTGTTGAGAAGTGATGTAAAAGCTGAAGTTAAAGAACGAAAAAGACTCCAAAAACACTTGGAAAGCACATTGAGAGTACGATATAACCGTAGGAAACAAACCAATTTCCAGATGGAAAATACTTTGGAAGTGGATAGGACATCGATCCATATCACGAAGCAAGCCCTAACTTGGAATCCTTTAGGAAAGAGGAAGATCAAGGAACTTACGCGGCCGGGGGTTGGAGGCAGACATCGAAAGAACGTTCTGTCCTCCGTCAAATATCATGCGACAAGTTCCTAAATCGATCCATAGACTTTTATGACCCTGTCCCTGTATTAAGCAAACGACACGTCAACCATCATTCTCAACCTCGAGTGAAACCTCAATCTTAATAGGTCCTTGATACAGCAGCCAAGCCAGTTCATTCCAGGGCACTATATGGATCATATATTTCCGACAATATGTGGTTTATGTAAAAGCAGACCAGACAGCTTCACACCTTAAAATAAAAAATTAATATTATACCAGATCAATACAAAAGTCGGTGTGAATATATGATATCGTAACTGATTGATTGAGAATAAATCATGGACGGTAAATCTTATAATAGTGGTTAATGGGTCAGTCAAAACATTGTGGTGAAAGGAATCGAAGTATATATGATCTAGGTACCTAGTAGTTATTTGGTAAAAATGTTGACAGTAATAGTCTGTTAATAATTCTTGGAAATCCCCACTCATTTGTTCGTTGCTCGGACATAATAGTTAGGAAGTCATCAAACCGCATCACAAAGCGAGGCCCAGTTTGGAATCAACAACGCAAATGAAAAGATGTAGACCAAATTACACGTTGCCAAAGCAACCGAAGGCGGACATCATAAGAAGAAATAGCAGTTGGAAACAACTTAAAAAAAGAGCTTAGGATAGAATTGCTTGGTGAATTCTGATCAAAT